GCCAGACGACTTTTGGGAAGAGTGTCGGCATGATGGACTCAAACCATGGTTGCGAAATACAATAGTTCAAGTTACCTCTTGTTGTTACTTACAGCTCGAGGAGCAGTCGACTTGTTGCCATGGCATATCCATACAGAGTTCTAATAAACTACCATTATTTTTTCGATTAGAAGGCACAACAAGAACAGAACAGTGGACAACAATGCTTACATGCCCACATCATACCCTTACCCTACCCTACTTTGGTTGATTTAAGTTCTCCTTGGATCTGTGTCTTGTGTGTCATCGATGTTGCCGAAGAAGACTAGTTAACTTTTCTTTGTCTTCAATCGAGTTTGGACCCGCAACACATTATATCCCCGTCATAAGCATTGCTTCCAGCCTAACCTTCTTTAGAATAATATATACATATAAACAGCTACAGCAACAACTACAAATACAAATACATTTATGTACTTCTACCATACTTATTGAACAACAACACAACTCTAACTCAACATATAAGGTTATATAGAATGAAGAGGAATGAGTCCCAAAAGGATAAGGAAGAAATAGAGAGGAAAAAGAAGCAAGCCACAGATACTCCACAAACTACAACTACAACTACAACTACAACTACAGCAACATCAACTAAACCTCCAAAAGCGCCACCTTCTCCACTATCACCTTTGGATAAAGTACCCCCAAGATTGCGAAAGGAAATGGAGGATAAACAACATCTACTACAACAGAGACAACTACAACTACAACAACAACAACAACTACAACAACATCAACATCAAATCATTCAAAGTACATCTTACCATAATATTCCAATTACCGATCCTTCACATCCAAGATATATTCAGCCACAACAACATCATTCCCCTACTTCACATTCACCTCCTCCAGGTGGAGTCCATCACCTTCATTATCAATATCCACCTCAATTCCCTCTACAACAGATTGGTGGACCCCTTCAACAACAACAACAACATGCCAAACCTCAACTTCACTCGATGGATAATACTCAATCACTCATTGGAAGACCATTGGTTCCAAACATTCCCGAAGTCATAATTGTCTATGAGAAGGAATTGCTGGAACTCATCGATCCCAATCTGACACACTTCCCCAGGTCAGCACTACTGCATCCAGACACATTATTCCCATTGATCGATCAAGAGAATGTGCAGATATACTTTACCGAACTATTCAATCACCTCAACAAAATGGTGATCACCAACACCAACAATGAGCGAACCATTGCCGACAATGAGCGAGCCATTGCCAACGACTTTATGCGATGGAGACTGATCATCCGATATATGGCAGTCTCCCTGTTGGTCAACAGCGAACCAAACGACAACTCCTATTTTATTTATAATTATATCGATCGAGAAGCAGACCCTCCCGTCACTACCCTGCGAAGGTATCTGTTTGGAGGTGTAGATTGTATAAGCTCCCCGATCAAAGTGAAGCAGATACTACTCCAATTTATCCAATAAATGCCGTCCGACTGTTCTCTGTTCTCTATCCACTCCATATATATCTATATGGATAACTTCTAATTGTATGGTAAATGTAATTGTAATGATGACAGGCCTTCTGTGGCCCAATAATAGTGATAAAGTTTAGTGTAGTGTGGGGGCAACAGACGACCCGTCATCAATCATCTCACACATATATCTGATCACTTATATATAGTGTGACCATTTGTTTAGAACCCCTGTATAACTACTACAAGTACTATCTATATACACATAAAGATTGTGTAATGGAGAGAATACAACATATATCTAATCACTTGACAATGTCCGATGTGTCATCAACTGTAACTCAACAACAGCCACCATTGAACTCAAACATGTCCAATCGTGCAATACTCTATCAAGAGTATGACAATGGATGTAGAAAGATCATATTAAACAGAGAGGAGGCACTACATAGTCTTACATTGGGTATGATCACTCACCGAACGCATCGACCCAACAACACTAACAATCAAACAATCAAACAGAGATGATACTTGAGATGTATAGATTGCTCAAGTTATATGAGAATGATCCAAAGGTGAAGCTTGTTATGCTTGTTTCATCAGGTGGCAAGGCATTCTGTTCAGGTGGAGATCTTAAACAGTTCATTACAAGAAGGGAGGTCGCACATGAGTTGTTGAGCGCAGAGTATAAGATGGACTATCTGATACACACTTATAACAAGCCAGTTGTATCTATTGTGGATGGCATTGTCATGGGTGGAGGCGTAGGAGTGTCTATACACGCAGAATACAGAGTTCTGACAGAGAAGGTGGTCTGGGCAATGCCAGAGAACAGCATTGGATACTTTACAGACGTTGGCACAAACTACTACACATCTCGAATGACTGGTGGAGTTGGACTATACCTCTCGATGACTGGATCGAGGGTTGGCCTGAAGGATGCCATGCGTCTGTCCATTGGAACACATCATGTCAAGAGTGAGCATGTCCCCATGTTGGTAGACGACCTCTGCGAGAAGGAGATCAACGATCGGCGTCAAATACAGTTCATTCTAAACATGTGGAGGAAGTCAGTCCCCATCGGACAACACGCCAATGCCTCGAACATGACACCACTCGAGATCAATCGCGAGTCAATCCAACGATGCTTTGACTGGCGCATGACAGGTGCCACGACGGCCGAGAGCATAATCGAGTTGGTCAAGCAGGAGACTGCCACCAACCCCGAGTGGGCCAATGCCACGCTGAAGAAGCTGGACCATGCATGCCCGCTGAGTGTAAAGGTGACGCTCCGAGCGATACTGGAGTCATCCACTCTGCCCATCGACGAAGTGTTCAAGATGGACAACAGGGTCGGCCGATACCTGATGGGCAGTCTGGACAATGTACTAGTAGGTGTTCAAGGAGCACTCATTAATCGCAAGGGTCGTCCAGCCTGGTGGCCTGCCACACTCCAAGAGACCAGCGACGACTTGGTCGACCAGTGTTTCAAACATTTGGAAGACTCCAAGGAGTTGGATATCTAGATATAAATAATAACTTTATACCAAAGATTGGGTCGTAAGTTCAGCGATTGATCAATCGTTGTACACACCCAATTGCAACAATGATTGATTTGTTGGACTGATTGAGTGGCCCCATGACGACAAATATCTGGTGTAAGATTGAAAAAAGGTGGTCCACTTTTTCGAGGCCTTCGTGGACCTCAATAAGGCCTCACACTTAAGATGTCAGCATTGAATGAATGAGTCCTTATTAATACTTTGTGTACATTATTACTTATACTTATACATGTAAATAGAATAGAATAGTTTAAAGAATGTATCTCTCCAAATTATTTATTACTTGTGTGGCCTTGATGGTGGCCTCGCTGTGTTGTGTCACGCCAATCAACGCTCAGAACCTTCGACCAATCATTGGTATACTGTCACAGCCCACAGATGGAGACATGGCTGCATTGGGCGACCAGTACATAGCGGCCAGCTACGTCAAGTTCATCGAGAGTGCCGGCGCACGTGTCGTCCCCATCCTCTACGACATGAGCCAGGACGACCTCAAGACCCTGCTCTCACAGCTCAATGGCGTGCTGTTCCCAGGCGGCGGCGTCGACTTGGCCAACTCGCCCACCTACTACGACAACCTCAAGCTGATCTGGTCGTTCGTGATCGAGTCCAACGACAATGGCAACCCATTCCCGCTCTGGGGCACCTGCATGGGCTTCCAGGAGCTGTGTATGCTAGCCGCGGACAACCTCAACATCCTCTCGCCCTTTGACTCGGAGAACTACACCATCCCCCTCAACCTGACTGCCGCCGCGCAGACCAGTCGTCTGTTCAGTCTGGCCAGCCCAGCTGTGATGACGGCGCTCACCACGCTGCCCATCACAATGAACGCGCACCAGTACGGTGTGTCGCCAGCCACCTACACCGCGACCGCGTCGCTCAACACCTTCTTTGACGTGCTGTCGACCAATGGTGATCGCGAGGGCAAGGTGTTCCTATCGACGATCGAAGCCAAGAACTACCCGATCTACGGCTCTCAATGGCATCCGGAGAAGCCCATCTTTGAGTGGTGGGCCGAGGAGGTGATGAACCATTCGTACGACAGTATCGTTGGCAATCAGTACACTGCCATGTTCTTTGTCAACCAGGCGCGCAACAACAACAACAAGTTCACCACAGTGACCGCCGAGTCCCAAGCATTGATCTACAACTACAATCCAATCTACTCATTCGACATTGATCAAGACTTTGAGCAGGCCTATTACTTCAACAATGCCTCCACCTCCAGTTTCACCTTCTAGGTGACTCGTGGTCGGTAGGTGGAGACGTCTCCAGAGAGTGCGTCTTTATATAAAGGAATAAATGTGTGAGTGTGAGGGAGTATACCTCCCTCCATCCTACGATTAACGCAACCATCATCATGATTGAGTAGGGCTGGTCCTTGGGAGTCAGTCGACAACAGACTGATTGATGATTGAATGACTGGATGAATGGATACCAAATGCCAATTGCCATGATGATGCTGAACTTCATACGTTCAATGATACAATCAAAAGAAGTCCAACAAGAGTTGAGATAGTATCTTCTCCAAGTGAGTCAAGTTGACATCGTCACTGCCATCAATCTCTGCCTGTTTAGCCATTCGATGGAAACATTCAATGACCATTAACTCTAAATAATATGCTGTTAACTTGGTAGTCTCTTCAGATACTATTATGATCGATTGAGTTAGTAAGGTTACCAATCATTCATTCATCTCGTTCCATACTTCTAATCTTTTGATCTTTGATTGAACGTCTAAGTATCAACGCAATCGTCTTCTAATCATTCATTCAATTCAACATTAGTATGACTTGTACACATAGTATCTATGTATGTTTAACTTACTTCATTGAATGTATAATCATTGGCCATGTTGTACAAGTATGAGCACAATGTCAAATGAACGTCAACTTGATCCCAAACACCTTCTCATTCAATCAATTCCAATTATTGTGCACTTCACCAACTCAACTACATAGTTATATATAAAGTGAAGATAGAGATAGATAGAGAGAGATATAAGAGAGGATGTCCAACTCAACTATATCAGCAATGATGATGATGATGGCGGGTGATATGTCTTCACTGAATGCATTGCCATCATTCAATACAGGTCATGTTGATGATATTGGACTAGATGATGATACATTCAACTCATCGACATTCGAGATATATATACCCAGTCTATACGATTCACAACTCTGGTCCTCTTACGAATACCTTAACGACAACACTGCTAGATTCATTGATTGTGTGTCTCGCGATTACTTGGTCCAAGGTATGTCTTTCATTGATTGATTGATTGATGGATGTGTCACTGACCTTGAATGAATGAATGAATGTAATGTAGGAGAGCTATTGAAGTTCTTCATCATTGTTAGACCGACACCAGCTGCAAAGGCAAGATCATTGAGCATGAGCAATCAAAGAGCACCAGTCAATCAATCACTCAAAACGATCGCAGAGTCAACTGACTCATCATCAGCAGCATCAAGTTCATCATCTGGCCAATCAACATCAACGACCAGCACCAACACTGGTACAACTCCACCCATAACAATCATACCACCATTACCATCATCATCTCAGAACCTATCATTCGAAATAGCGATGCGCTACTCATCCGATCTCTCAAAGTCATCATCTGGCGACTTCCAGAATGTATGTATAATGTATATAAGGTGTCACTTAAGTACTTGGCCATTAACTAACTAACTCAAACTCACTTTAAGGCGGTCAACATTACAGAGTATATACCAAAGCATTCATATGTAACGACTGATATGAGGAATGATCATATCTCATCATCAAAGTCATCGACATCATATCTTCGACACGACACAAACAATCAGAATCAAAGCAATCAACGATTCATTGGTGGTACAATCGAAGTGTCCACTCCATTCGAGACATACATACCCAACAGGGACTCACTCAATCAGAAACCCAACTACTTCAGACTGTCCAACGGTGACATTGTCTTTCCAATTGAGATACCAATATGTAAGTACCGATCGATCAACTGATCATCACTTAGTTTAACACAACCAAACAATCAGATGTCAAAGAACTTTATGAAGACAAGATAATCAACTTGGTGATAAGGGTCACTCGATCAAAGAATCATCGAAACATGTCCAATGAGAACAAGTTGGATCGTTTGTTGCAGAATGATATCACATCATTCCCAAAGCTCAAGAATCACAGGATATTCTTCAGACCATTCATGTTGATTCAACCTCTAAAGTTGCACATCCAGCCCAATGTAATCACATTGGGCACAAAGAGTTTGGTGACTGTTGTGGCGGAGAACGTTCATCCCTCGCTAACATTGAACATCAGAGACGTCAACATCTATCTGCTTCACGTGTTGTCGATGGAGGTCTACCAGGGCGAGGGTGAGATGTCACATCGCCAGCTCGGACAGATCACCAAGACCACGGACCACTTTACCATTCGTCAGCTCACCGAAATGCCGCCAACACTGGCGCTGTCACCTCAATCTCAATACTCGTTCGTCCTGTCGTTGGAGCCACTGTCCTTGCAGAAACAACTGCCACCACTCGATGGCTTCTACACCAAGGTCAAGGTGGAGTGGGACTTGCCAGTGTCCTGCGGCCAGATACTGTCAATGTATGATCTCAAGGTTCCTCCACCAGCCACTTCTCAACTGATGGTGGCCATCGAATGTCCCTCACCCGTGGTCGTAGGTGAGAAGTTTAGCATCACCATCAAGATATCGAATCTCTCGCCAAAGTCTAAACAGATCAACATCAATTTGCCGGCGGCTCAGCGCCAGGCCAGTCGAATCCCCCTGCCACCAATGCTGTCACCACCAAGTACCACGGCAAACACCCAGGCATTGAAGTTGTCCACCTCACTCAATGCCCAGATTGCCAACAAGAAGGCATCATTACGACACTCCACCGACAAGACAACAGCACCAGAGGTGTTAAACAAAACCAACCCGACCAACATCAGTAGCAATAAGCTTCCACAATCTACCAACACCGCCAACACCAACGCCAACACCATCAACAGCTCCAAGTATATTCCAGCAGACTCACACATTCATTTCAACGAGATGAGCTCCAAGTCACTGGCATCCTTTGATGAGACACAGAGAAACTCCTCCAACCTATTATGCCTTGAGAAGTCAATCTATGTTGGGTATGTAGTATCCATATCCCTTGTCCTTTGGATGTACGTACTAACCTGTCTATCTCATACAAACTAACATAGTGACATCGATGTCAAGAGCTCAGTCAGTATATCAGTGGACTATATTGCATTGAGAACTGGTATCTTTGAGATACAGAACATCACATTGTACGATAGGATCGAAAAGAAGAACTTTGTCATCAAGCAATCACTCCAAATATATTGTATCGACCCGGTGCCATCCATCACAACTCCTCCTCCCCATCATCACAACAACAACAACAACAACAAGATTGAGGAAACTGTAAATGAACAATAAATTGTTTCAATACTGGATGGAGATGGAAGTCCAGATTATTTATTGAAACTGCTAACCATATGGCTAAACTTGACAACATTGGAACGATACTCATCCATGGAAGATGTTAGATTGCTTAGAAGGCTAAAGAGTGTCTTTCGGTCTTCATCGTGGAAATATTGAATAAACTCGCTTTGGTACAATTGTTCTTCCAACATCTTGTCATACAATAGTCTATCATCCTTCTTCCTGTTTAAGATATGGAACATTATATTGGCTGGTCCATTTATATTATCAATTTTCATTGTACTACCAATACCACTCAATACCTAGGATTGATTGTTTGATTGATAGAGGGAGTTAGTGAGATCCGAGAGAGATAGGAGTAATAATAACATACCACTAATATGTTCCTAAATAGTACATTACCATGAGAGGCAATGACCTTGTCGATTGTTTGGTCATAGACTCCTGGTACATGTAATTTGAGAAGCAGGATGTCATTGATCATCCGAATGATTTGACTTCTAATATTTATCTGTCCATTATCATTTTCCAACACACCTAGAATATTATGGACTGTGTATTCAAGTACTGTTGCAATGATATCAGTATCAACATCAAATGGAAATCGTCTAAATGCCTATTGTTTAGTATGGGTAAGTGGTACATCCATCTACATGTACTTGAATTAATACTTACTACAAATTTCATATCCAGGTAATCAATGGAGAGTTGTGGAAGTGAAGAAAAGCTGATCCTGTAGAGTGGATCAGCTTGGTACTTTTTGAGTGGATGGGTGTCAGGTAGGTTGGTGGCTGGGGAATTCCTCAACAATGCGAGAGTGGTCATGGTAACAAATGTTATTGATCGTCCATAGTAATGTCCAATCATGCGATAGTGTAGGGGGATAGAGTCCTTGAGCAGTGATAAATAGATAGAGTTATGTGGATTCCTCGAGAATGCCAAAGACACACTCTCGATCATTTCGGCAACACATTCCTCGTGATTCCTAAGTTGCCATCTTAGGACACCCTTATAGATATTAACAATTATCTATAAAGTTCTGAGAGAAAGAGTGAGTGAGCGGGACTGGACTTGATTGATCGATTGAGTATGGTGTACAATACTTACTGTGGCAACCTCAAGATCAGATCCAAATTGATCAAGAACATGTTTGAATTGGGGAAGCATAACATTGAAATAGGTCGTCTCTGCCTCGAAGGATACCATCAGATATGAACGTGTTGTACACCTTCAAGTGGCTAACCAGTTTGCCGATTTTGTTGTTTGAAGCTGGACCAGACATTGATGGTTTCAGTGTTTGGATAGTTCGTGATACAACCTTGATCAATGGTTTGATTGCCAGGTTGAAGGCATCTTGCATATCGAATGGTGTTCGCATTACTGAGATGATTGAGAGCAGCCCATTAAAGACAAGTGCTAATGTATTGTCAATTGGATCCGCCTCGATAAATGGTAGATATTCGACACATCCATTCAATATATCATTGAACTGGTCGACCAGTTGTCTGCAACACTTCATTGTAATGGAGCAGAATGATTCGGTTGAGACTTGTACCAGGTCAGACGTGGCAAATGAATCGACAATCTTGGTGATGATCATCTCAAGGTCTGTAGCATTGTTTTGGAAGTATGAGTACAAGTGAGAGTAGATGATGTTGCAAGACTTGAGCAACCATGTCGATGTAGTAGGGATCATTGGGATCAGCTCAAGAATGTATCGCGCAAAGTTGTGATCATTTAGCTTCAATGTCTTTTGATTGATAAAGTTATCCTACCAGCCAGACCTCATACTTTATCCATTGTTGATCGTTGTTCTGTATACTGGAAGCAATATGTGTAACTAAAAGGTTGATGAACACATCACCAATGTCCTTTCTAAAGCACATCATTGCTCTAAGAAATTCATTTACCTGCCTCCTAAAGGCTATGACACTCTTATCTTCACTATCATCTTGTTCGACATTACTGCTGTACATTGCCAAGTTGATGAGTGTGTACAGTATGTGAGTGAAGAATGGATCACATGTAGAGCCTAATGAATGATATATTGTTGCGGCTTCATTGAGATGTGTCTTCAATATTGGGCACAATCCATCTTCACGACCAACATGTTGAATGAGTTGACCAATAAGATTGAGATACAAGACAAGTGTGTTGACATCCAACAGAGGTGTGCGGACGTGACATGAGATAATCTTTGTGAGTGGTTCTATGAAGCACATGGCATGGGTAGTGACAATCTGGATGGTCCAATTCCTTCATGAACATCGCACAGAGCCATGGAGTGTGAATGCAATGTCTGGTGCAGTAATGAATGGACACCTCGATGTTGTCAAGTACCTCCAACTCAATCGCACCGAGGGCTGGAGAACCACCTCTGTGGCTACGGCTGCGTCCAAAGGATATCTCGATGTGATTCGATTCCTCCACGAACACAGACCCGAATCATTCATCATGAACGGTCGTAGTGCTCCTGAAGTCATGAACAAGGCAGCTCAATGTGGACATCTCAGCATCGTCAAATTCCTTCCAGATCACAGACTGAAGGTTGCACAGTACGTGCGATGGATTACGCGGCAGAATAGCCATCTTGATGTGATCATGTATCTTCACACCAATTGAATAGAAGGATGCACACATATTGCTATGCACTTTGCAGGGACCAATGGCAATCTGGATGTATTGCAATACCTTCATGAGAACCCAACTGAAGGTTGTTTGTTTAATACTATGGACGTGGCAACTAGTAATGGATATCTGGACACTGTCATGTATCTTCACAACAACAGAACAGAGGGTGCGACGATCAATTCGAAGGACCACGCTGCACAGAATGGTTATTTGGAGATCGAACGCTTCCTTCATCAGAACAGTACAGAGGGTAGCTCGACGTTTGCATTGGATGACGCCTCAGGAAATGGATATTTGGAGCTTGTTCAATTCCTTCATGAGAACAGAACTGAAGGATGTACTCAGGATGCAATGGACCGCGCTACTCATAATGGTTATTTGGAGGTGGTTCGATTCCTTCATGAGAACCGCAGTGAAGGATGCACGGTGTCCGCTGTGGACTTGGCTGCCCAGGCGGGCCACACCAAGACTGAGGAGTTTCTCTTGGACAATCGGACAGAAAGATGCACAGTGGCTGCAATGAACAAGGCTGCCAAACGATGACATCTGGACACAATCAAGGCGTTGTTGGCGAGAGGAGTCAAAGGAAATGGGAAAGTGTTGGACTATGCAGTCGAGAATGGCCATTTGGAAGTGCTCCGCTACCTTTATTTGAACAGTCTCTAGAGGGCATATAACAACTGCAAATTCTCAGGATGCATTTACCAAAGCAATCAAAGATCATCAAAGATGGTCTTAATAGACCATTCGACCAAAGTGATCAATATAATTCAATTTCTCAACAAAAGTTGATCATGGATATAGTAAATAAATATAAATATATATTTAACTTTAAGTTAACTAAATAGAGAAAGAAGTCAGTTGGTGGGAACCAGAGTCTGATTCTCATTTCGAATTTTATAAGTTATATCATTTTACAAATAAGGAAAGAGTGTCAAAACCTGGTCCTGGGAACCATCAATGATAACCCAGGGTGTTGGGGTGGGGAAAAGTATTATCAAAAATAGAGGTCCAGAGACCCAACAGAAGATTCCATCTTATCTTCTTTCTAGATCATCAATCTATTAAACAATTAATTAATTAAACCGTTTTTTTTTTGAACTAATTAGAATAACTTAGTATTTAAGGTGATAAGGGATCCCAATTGACAAACATACTAATTAAAAAATTATATTAATAATCAAATATAAATTAATATATACTAATACTAATCAACATTGTAATATACTTAATGATAATAATAATTAATATGAAATTAAATTTATCACTTTTAATATTTACATTACTCATTTTGAGAACATCATCGATAGATGTCTCATTGTTGGAACAAATAGAGATTAAACTTGATGAGATTGAGGATAATTTTGGACATTACAACTTCTTGCTCAAACTCAATACTTTACCCCACGACCAGATACAAGATCTATGTCGATCATTCTCCAACTCCATGTTCTCACCTTTCAAATGTGTAAACCACACTGCTCTCAATACATCTGAGCCTAGAATCGGCCAACTACTACGCAAGTCCAATGATGATCATCTCCTCAGAGGAGCCTCCAACATCTTGAAGCCAGTCGTCCTTGTTCCAGGTGTAGGTGGTAGTTCACTAGAAGCCAAACTAAACAAGAACTTGTCACCTCATTGGTATTGTGTCAAGAAGAACAATTGGTTCAGGATATGGTTGGGATTGTCAGAGTTGGCTGTACAAGATTGTTGGTTTGACAATATGAATGTGCATTACGATAACAACACTGGTGACTTTTCAAACGCCCCTGGAGTCCTAATGAGACCAATGGACTTTGGAGGTCTAAATGGTATTGACTACCTTGACAAGGCGTTTGGTTTCCCAATATCACTGACCAATGTATATGGAGACATGATCATGTTTTTCAAAGACCTTGGATATACTAGTACAAACCTAATTGGTGCACCTGTATGTATCTTTCAATCAATCAATTAATCATTCAACTAGTACTAACTCATCTCTTAACTTATAATTCCTTTAGTATGATTGGAGAATGCCTATTAGTCAATTGGAGAAAGATGGATGGTTCAATCAATTCCGCCTTTTGATTGAGGACACTTATCACAACAATAATGAACAAAAGGTTGTCCTTCTCTGTCACTCAATGGGTGGACTACTCTCTCTTCATTTCTTAAACTCAATGACAGATGAATGGAGACTAAAATATCTCGACTCATTTGTACCCATCGCTGCTCCATGGTCTGGATCACCAAATGCCCTGCGCACCATTGTAAGTTCATATATATCTATATAATCATTCTATATCTTATTCTAATATTCCTTTTATAGATATCTGGAGATGACTTTGGTATAACATTCATGTCTTGGAATAAGTTGAGAGATTTTTCTAGAGAGTCTGGAGGTGTGGCCCAACTGCTTCCAACCAACATCAACTATGAAGACAATCATGTCTTTGTTTCAAACAAAGGAAAGGATTACCAAATCGCTCATACATCAGACCTCTTTGATTCAATTGGATTATTTGTAAGTGTCATTGAATTATCAATCAATATCAAAACTAACTAATAGTAATAATCAAACATATTAGTCATCAGCCAACATTTATAATAGATTATCTAATCAGTTACATGGAAAGGATCCAAAGATCAAAACACATTGTTTATTTGGAGATAATGTAAAGACAGAGATACATTATGATTATAGAAATGGATTTAATTCTAATCCATCAATAAGTATGTATTACTTTCTATTAGAACTATCTTAAAATTATTTATTTATTAATAATTACTTATTCTTTATTTTTATTAGCATATACAATGGATGGTGATGGAACTGTCCCAAAGGAATCGTTAAACTTTTGTCAAAAGTGGGCCAATCATACCGAGTATAATGTTGACGTCGTAATGTTCCCTAATTCATCTCATAGAGATATTCTATCAAACAATGATGTCCTTACTTATTTATACAGTGTTATAAGCAACCAATAATAATTTAGATTATAAATAAAAATTGTAAATATTGTTTTAAATTTCATTTCAAATATAAAGAACCAGGGCTGATCAGAAAGTTGTTATGAACCGTTTAGACCAAAAATGGCCCCGAAAACTCGCTCGAATATGGACAATGGTCTTTGGCTGATCAAAAAGGGTGTTTAGCACAGTGGAAGTGCGATTGGCTACGAACCAATAGGTCGCAGGTTCGATCCCTGCATCACTCAAAAAGCTTTTGTTTTTTTTTTTTTTTTACACTGACGAAGAAGTAAGTTGAGGGCCTTGACGAGGCCGTTGGACTCATGACTAGTCGGTGAGGATAAAGGAATCCATCAATGAATGAACTCACTCTTCTTGGAAATTGTTTTTGTGAGTCACAATGGTTGATAACACAAATTAAACATTCATTTCATTCACTTAATCACTCACGCACAACAATCACATAAAGGTTGATAATAACATGATTACACCTGGATCATTGGACCCATGTCTACAGAGGTTCACTCAAGAAGATGATACTAACCAGTTTCACAAACCTGCAATACTTTTACAATTGCAAGGATGGAATACATCAAATGATAGAGTAATGTATGTTGTTTAGTATCCAATTGTTCAGCACATCATCATCCATCCATCATCCATTACTAACAACAACCAACAAATCACCAATAGTATGTATCTATCCGATGGTCTACACTATGTAATGGCAACATTCAACGACTCATACCCCAAGGATGAGATTGACTTGCTCCAGTCAGAGTTTGAGTTAATGAAACAAGATGAACAACAATGGGTCATGGTCAGACTAAGAAAGTTCCAGTTCGCCTACAATGGACACTTGGTAATCTATGAGTTGGACATTGTCGGACAGTGCGCAAACATTCCCGCACGAAAAATGCATCCAATGGTCGTAGCACTCTCAAGTCAACTGCCATCCAGGAAATACAATCGGGTTGGAGACTCTACGATCACTCTATTGTGCAATTGTTTTCAAACTACAATTAGTCCACTCAACAACATAGTGGAGGAGCTATCAAAGTACATTAACAATAACTTCTTTCACAATGCCAAACAACTTTGTGATGCTATCGACTCAACAACAACAACATATTAATCAAATTATGTATCCACTGACTCTCACTACTTCAACACTGTTCTGTTGCCTCTTGTAACCAAGGTATGTGATTTATTGAATGATCGGTTATTGATTTATTAACCTTTTCAACTGCACTACAGTTACTCCAAACGCCATATCTTGTGAAGCAATCTATTGATGAAGGCGTCTGTGATAGGATCAGTAGGCTGTTGAGCACGAGAGTATCACAAAAGTGTGCAATGTCATATATGGATAAGGCCATTGCCAAACGACATTGGTCATACTTGGTGCTCACACCATTGCGCATCACAGAGGATCACCAGCGAATCGATCAATTGTTTGAGGAATACGTCAGATTGATGTTTAGCTATATTGACATACATTGTTGCTATGACAACATTGTTGAGGCCTTTGGTGTGGAAAGACAGCATATCATCGATGAACAGATCAATCAATGGTTATTCTCGCCATTAATCTACCTAAGTGACAAACTCTTGTATCTCTCATCCATTCCAAACAAACTTCATACGGATGGTGGACTGCCAATCCATCTTTTATCTCATAAGCAGTCACTCTTTGAGTATGTAAAGTACTCACAATAGATCAATCAATCAATCAATCAATCACTTATTCCTTCATTCATTCATTCAATCACTTAGGTTACTTATCTCAAACGACATGACAGACCAGGACTATACAAACAATTCTAAATCATTCACCTATATTCTGGAACAGTTGGGCGACATTATCGAGGAGGATGACAATCAACAACGGATGATTAATTGCCTGACCAAACAAAAAAGGATCGACCATGCATATGAACTATTCCATATATACATTCGATCAATGCACTCCTGCTTCAATGATTGTTTCAAGAATCTAGGAACACAAAACAAGAATATACTCATCAAGTCACTTGGTCTGGAATATCCAAAGGTAGGTATATTACAATCAATCAATCAATCAATCAACACAACCTAACAAACAGAACGTAGCATCGGACTCATATCGAAGAATGTATTATAAAGGGACATGGTTGGTTGCTATTGGATGGAATTGCACATTGCTTACAGATGTTCTCGGAACAAGAGGACAGCTCAGATGAGTTGGTACAACAGATGATTGACAGTCTGAGCAGCTGCATTGAACAAGTGCAACCAAATGATAATGATGGTCTTGTGGACACTATCAGAGGCGCCATTACACTGTTCGAGCTATCACATCAACGATTGATCATATTTTTTGAGTTGGCCATGGCATTCACCATTCAACATTCAAAAGGTCTGTGCTACGACCTCAACATGGAGCTGATCAGTCGATACCCAACAGAGATCAAGAGGTACATTGATAAGCATTGGTGCACATCAACACAACAATGGGAGACCAAACATCATTTGGACGTATCAAACATCCATTTCTTTGGACTTTGCAATCGGATTGGTATTCTGGACGATCAACCGCAGTTGATCAATCACATCATTGATAGAAACTCCCTAGATTCTAAACAGATGATTGAGTTTATCAACTCAAACGCCAACAATAGCTCAACTATGTGGATAACACTGGTGGACAATTTGATGGGCGAGCGGGACCCAGAAGGAATGTATTACAACATGTCATATTTGAAAGAGTTGCTGTCCAACACTAAACAACTGCCCAAGTTGCACCCTGCCGCAGCATACCAATATCTTAAGTATATGTGCTGGCAACAGGTGATTCCCAACTCTGAAGAGACCTATCACATGATAAAACAACATATAATGGATCGAGTGGATATTGAGCATCCAGAGCTCATCAACCAGCATCAACGATTTAAACAATACAAGCACAACTCAATCGCTAAGGAGAACAGGATAAACAATGGTATTCCGAAATGGAGGATTGATCCTGACCATGAGGTTCTGGACCAAGAGTCATGGACGAGCACCATCCCAGCACTGCCACCTCTGCTCATCACACATGTTGTCCAGTTGTTGGCACTGGATGATCTTCACACGCACTTTGAATGGATGGTGAGGCTGTCGTGCGTGTCCAAGCAATTCCATCGATCAGTGAGCACAGTCCTATCAAACAACACAATCACATCAATGTCCATCCGCTCGATGATCAAAGACATTGGGTCAGAGTTCTGTCTCCTGCGCAATCCGCCACTTCACATTGATATCTCCCAGATGCACTTCATCCCAGTGGCATTCATGCCAACCTGTTTGGAGCGACTTGATTCATGACCATAACATTTGAAGAAAACCGTTGGAACAATGATCAAGTATTCTTCAGGTATCCAATAGTAAACACTCCCAACATCAGTCGGATCAAGTTTATTCAAAGTGATGAATATGTTGAAGGAAGTGGATTGTGCCGGAATTTGGTAGACATCCACAATCACTATGTCACAAGCAACTCGCTCATTCAAAAAGTTGAGTACTCTTTGAAATCAAATTCCATTCCCTACATTGTTGACATCATCAACAAGGCCAACAACATCACAATCACATTTGATATCAAGGTCGATTTTTATGAATTGGACTCTATTGACTTGACAAGTCATCTGGAGGTGTTGCCCCACATCACATCATTGACAGTCATAATGGACACGGAGAGCTTAAGGCAAACATTTGGCAACATTGACTATATTCAAGTATTTGCCAATCTAATTGAACTCAAACTGGACGTTATATCACATGTTTATTGTTTAGATCCTAGTACAACACTCGAGGTTGCCACAAGGATAGGGAGGACTTTGACTGAATGTAAGAGACTGGATACACTCACAATCCATGTTTATGATATCAAACTGGTCGTCCAATTGATTCAACAATCAAACCAGTCAGTGTATCCATTCAGAACACTAAACCTATTATTCAATGTTGATGAAATTACAATTTTGGAAGCAACCGATAACCTCCATTCACTCAAGCATCAATTGGACAAACTTGTGACGCATCTTGGACATCAGTCATTCGACAACATTACAGATATGTCAATGTATTTTCGAAACCAATGGTCCACCACTTTAACCAATTATCGATTTAATCAAAATGTTTTGGTTAATGCATTGAGTCCACTTGGATTCCAACCAGCCTACTCTCGTGGACATTTCAAAAGATATAACTCCAAAGTTAGTTACCCATCAACAGATAATAAATCTTGAGCATTTATTCAATCAATCACGCAACAGCCACTTACCAAAGTTTACCAAGACCTCCACTCATCATATTATACTTTGTCAATCACTTTATTATTATTCATTTGTGTGTGTCTAAGCTTGAGAATTCAAGTTGGGGTGAGTTTTGATGATTCATCAAAAATCAGTGGGGCTTGGAATAAATTGTTCCCTCATTTGATACATTCTTGCATTCATTCAAACACATTTTATTATCTCAAACAAATAATAAGAAAGATATTATATATAACAATAATAATATATAACTAGACACCAATAAAATCAATCAATAATGCAATCAGGTTCAAGTCAGTTCAGCTACTACTTTCAGCAGCAACAGCAGTCAGTCCCATTTGGACAAAAGATTGACATTGCTCTTCAGCTCACTCATCTGTAAGTGTAGCAATCAAACATCAATCACTTCAACATGATATATACTAACTAACTAACAAACGACATCTATCTTTATAGCTCACCATATACAAAGAGTGTATTGGTAAAGGTGTACACGACACTCTCATTCTGTGTCGCCTCTGCCTTTTTGGGATGTCTCTTTAGCATGTTCATTTACCAACCAAACATACTACTTCTGATCGTTGCAGACATTGCTGCACTCATCTACTTTGCCACACGTCCAATCCAACAGACAATGAATCGTTTCAGAGCTCTCATGGTCGTTGGATTCATCGTTGGTATCTCCCTCACACCATTGGTCAACTACTCCATCGACATCGACCCATCGTAAGTATATATATACATACATACACAGCCAAATGTAAACATGATCAGCTGATGACTAACTCACTCAATCACCTCAATCATATACAGTGTTGTCGTATCAGCCATCACTACAACAGCAGCCGTATTCCTCAGCTTCACCTTTTTCTCATTGATGTCTGACAAGAGATCCTTCCTCTACTTTGGTGGCACTCTCACCTCCCTCTGTGTGGCACTCATCTTTATGACCTTGTCCCAGTTCTTCCTCCACAGCCAGTCTCTCGACAAGCTCATCATGTGTCTGTACGCCGTTGTGCTCACTGGATTCCTTGTCTTTGGTATGCTTACCCAACAATGTCAATCAATCTATGTACACTCACTAACAAACAAATCATATGATCAACACTATAGACACTCAATTCATGATCTACAGGATTGAGAATGGCAATGATGACTACATCCTCCATGCCTTTGGTCTCTTCATGGACCTGATTGACATCTTCCGTTTCATTCTTAGGATTCTGGCCGAGAACAAGAAGAAGGAGAAGAAGGACAGAAACTAATTGACATTGTTCATCAATCCAATCACAACATCAATCAATCATTTCCTTGTATAATAACAAAACTCTCTCTCTATCCTAAACATCCACATCATCATCATCATTCCTCATCACCACTTTGTCCAACCATGTTTGGTTGTTGAACTTATCATCCAAACAGTCAGTCAATCAATCAAACTCTACTTCAGGAACCACAATCACAATTGATCTCGATGTTGTTGAGTTGTTGGATGTGTGCATGGATGCGAGGATGAAGTGAACAGTTACCAACAAATTGATTGACTGACTGACCTGACTCAACCAGACACACTGAATGTGTCCGAAAGGTTGGAGCTGAAGAGTACGTCACAACACCGAATTTTTCAATGAATGATGTGTTTGTTTGCAGGCAAGAATCTGCCTTGCGAGTCTGAGCTGTGTCTTGCATGCATGCTTGTTTGGTTTGGTTTGATTCAACAACAGCCATGAAAAAAAATCGCAAACACATTTGGCTGCTGGTCAATCAATCACACACTCATTCATTCTCTTTGATTCATTCATTCATACATTCATTCAAACACATCATCAATCAATCCTTATATACATTATAATAATATAACATCATATATACTTATACATATACATATAATATACATATATAGGTGTGAATTAAGCAAGCAATATATAGCATTCGATTAAAAATAGCTTCAATCACACGATCCAATCAATCACAACCTACAACAACAACAACAACAACATCTTCAACCCTGGAGAAGATCAATCAATTCCTAGGAAGAAAGAAGAAGTCCATTTTTTTTTCCAACAGTAACAGTAACAGTAACACTGGCACTGGAAATGGCAATGACAACAGCAGCGGCAACAACAACAACAATAATGATCACCATCATGCAAGAACATACTCTACATCTTCAGCAACATTGTCGTCTATGACCACCTCACCATCATCGCCACCAAAGACAATGACACGCACAAAGTCGGCGTCGAGCACGTCCGCCCACGGTCTGCTGAGCCAATCGCTCAACAACAGGGCTGAGCAAACCGGCGGTCAACAACAGCAACAACATGCGGATGGAGTGGGCGCAAAGAAGGGAATAATCAACGGCGCGTCCACAGTCAAGACTGCTTCACCATCGTCCAGCGAGCAGAACAAGGTCCACCTGTCACAGCAGTTCCAGCACACACAGGACTACTGCAAGACACTGCTGTCTGAGATCCAGTTCCTCGAGCGTCTGCTCCAGGATCAGATCTCGCAGCGCAACAGCAACACGCGCACCAACAAGGCGGCGACGGGCGGCAGCGCCGACAAGGAGATGTCGCTGCGCGAGGGCGATATAGAGAGCGAGGAGGTCGAGCTACTGCGCTATGAGGACCAGCTCAAACAGATGATCGCCTCCAAGAAGCAGGACCTCCGCGCCGTCATTGCGCAGACCGACAAGCACCAACCGACTCAAAAGCGCTCAGCCTTCCTCAAGTCTGGCACCGTTATCTCAATCTTCCCCTCGGTCATCGAGGAGAGGCTATGTTCCTCGCTGCCTCTGGTCCGTCTGGAGAAGCCCAAGATCAGAAAGACAAAGACACTCGACAAGGATGCATCTTCCAATGATACCACCGTTGTAATATCGATCAATGGGGAGGACAACAATAACAACAATAATAATAACGACGATGACAACACTGATACCGCGAGCAATGATGGTGGTACCAACAACAAAGAGGATGGTTCATCTCCACCACCAGCAGTCACAGAGCATAGTACCATCAATGATGAGGTTGTTGTTGGCGAGGATACACAATCAACAGCAGCAGCAACAGAGTCCAAAACTTCCACAACAACAACAACTACTACTGCCGCAACCGAAGGAAAAGACGACAATAGAGTGGAGCTGTTGGAGTCAACATCATCATTGTCCAACTCTCAGATCATTTCCAACAACCTCTTACCCAAGCCCATTACAACTCTTATCGGACCCAACGCAGAGCTGCCCGAAGATGAACAACTCTTCAACTCATCAGTGTGCTGCAAGTCAAACTCATCATATCCCAAGCATGCCGTCTCTGGCCGAAGGGTATGTACACATGACACCGTCCAGACTATCAATCCACCGCCATTCTAACTAACTATTCCTCCCTTCCCTTCACTTCCCTACCCACGCACGAACACAGCAAGGAGACCCAATATGTGATCGTTTCAAAGTCAGCATATATCGAGACAATATCATCGCCACGTTGGCCGATGGATGTAATTGGGGCCGTCTGCCATTCGAAGCGGCAACCAACGCCACCAATGCATTCCTCGCCTTTATGGAGGAGAACTATCACGAGATCAACACTATTAGAAAGGCCGGCTCCTTCCTGCTGGGCGCCATGACCGCCGCCCACAAGGGAGTGATCGCAGGCAAGTCCGAGGTCTGGGAGAGTGGCACCACCACACTGATAGGCGGCCTGCTGTCCAAGATCAGAAGGAGCAAGAACGACAACCTCAAGAACATGTCCAAGAGCCTCCGTGAGTCGACCGAGGCCGAGTGGGTGTTCACAGGTGTCACATTGGGCGACTGCAAGTCATTCCACTACTCAAAGAAACTCAAGGTATTCTCAGACATCACCAAGGGCAACAGACAGAACCTGTCCGATGCCAGAGACCCAGGTGGACGACTTGGACCCTACGTGGGCAACGGTGAGCCAGACCTCAGGAACCTCAGCGTCTTTTATAAGCTCTGTGATCAAGATGATCTGATCCTCTTGCTCAGTGATGGTGTACATGATAACCTAGACCCACAACAAGTATGTTATGACCATTACCAATCATTCATTCACAGTCACTCACTAACCAACGCCTACCCAGCTTGGAGTCACACCTAGGGAGCTTGGAATAGATGCCGATACATGGGACCTGTCCGGTCAGAAGTATCCCGATGAGACGGACCGTGTCAAGAACAACTTTAGGACCAATTGGCTACATGAACACTTCAATCAAGACGACCAACTGACGCCTCAATATATCACCAACCAACTCCTGAAACATTGCACAGAGACAACACAGACCAGCAGAGACTTTATGGAGAACACTTCAAAGAAGCTTCCACAAGACTACAAACTTGTAAGTAGTATACACACTATACATGGAGTGGAGGGTTCGGCAGGGCATTTCTAACATACTCCCTCTCTCATACTTTAGTATCCTGGTAAAATGGATCACAACACTTGTATTTGCTTTAGAGTTGGAAACAACAGCCTAAATTGATCATAACATCAACTCCACTTCCTTCCAATCCCCTATATTTAACGACACAACTGTGACCAACATCACAACCAACAACAACCAACAACGACCTTATGTATATTTAACATCCAAACATAACATACCCAATAACTTAGCAGCTTACTGGCAATAGACTTCCTCGCCATAGCCACAGATTGGCCTCTTGGTCCCCTCAAGAGGTAGAGACGAACTAGACAACCAATCAATCAATCATCATACTCCCCAACGACATACATACATACATACATACATACCCTACTTATACAACCAACAAACAAAGATAGATTGGACGTTTGTAACACAATCTATTTGAATGGAGACATACCCAATGTATTAATAAACAACCATATCAGTTGTTCCAGGCCACCTACCATGTTAACATCTTGTACCTTCTTCCAATCAATCACGAATCAATCAACCAATCATCCAATCATATAATAATAAAGACACTACGAAGTGTTTATTTGTAGTTGAGTTGTTGGAGAGTGATGGGGAGGGGATAGTATTGTTGTTGTTGCTTGTTGTTGTTTATAGGTCATCGTCGTCTGTCCTCTTGTTGGTGTACTTTCTAAACAAGAACAGTCCGAAGCAGAGTGCAATGAATGCACCGTAGATGATAACACCGAGGAAGGCACCCTTTGAGGCCTTGGCAGCCTCCTCAGAGTTCAAAACAGCCTCACCCTCAGCCTTTCCGTAGTTGTCGTTAATGAGTCCTCCAATTGACAGCTATAATTTTGATTGATTGATTGATTGGGTGAGTGAGATGGATGTCAGTAAAAGTGTCACATTGATGATCATGTCTGATGTTGTTGAGGATGATGATGCTGTTGTGTTGTTGTGTTGTCGATGAATTGCGATGATGATCTCTATCCACGTCCTTGATCAGTATCTGCGCTATAACAGTTGGCAACGACATGGTGATCAAGATCATACGAATGATGACTGATGGATACACTCGGTCGATGATCATCACAATCCAGTCTTTGAGTATATATGATCATAATCAAATAGTGACATGATATTCTCGAGAGTATAGTAGCAATGTATGATTGATCTGTTGATGCTGTTGTTGCTGTGTTCGCTGTTTGTGATGATAATGATGATGATGATGGAATCGATAGCCTACCAGTCCAATGACGCCAAACAATGAGAAAACCATACAACAAATAGAACCTGTATTATTGTGTAAATGTAAGTATTCAATCATCGTCGTCATGATCAGTTGACCGATCATTCAATCATTCAATCATTCGATCACTTACAGCCTGGTGATGGGAATTGGTAGCAAGCACCTCCTGGTGAGCAGACTCCTCCTTCTTTCTTCTTGGCCATCTTTATATATTACTGTTGTTGTGTTTGTTGTGGATATATGTCTATTACAAGTTTATAACTGCACCTATATATGACGATGATGATAACAACGAGACGTTAGTATGTTGTTGCACTGCTACGTTGAATGCTGCATGGTAATGTTGTATGAAGTCATACCGATGTAAGAGTCCTTTTTAGAGTACTGTACAACGATGTTGATGATCTGATGATGATGATGATATTGAAAGAGATAGTAACTTCGGTATGATCGAATACTGTTTCTGCTGTCAAATCAATCAAAAATAAATGATCGAGAGTGTGAAGAAGATGTTATATATATTACTAAAGTTATGTGTAGTATTCAGTCAACAACACACAATAATAGATAGATAGATAGACAGATAAATAGTTTGAATATAGATAAATATAAATTGCTGCAGTGGCAGTACTTTGTTCGTAGAGTGTGTCAATCGTGGAGTGAGTGAGTGAATGAGTGACTGAGTGAGACAAGGTGTGGGTGAGGGTACCAGTGTTAGACTGCTCAGGACTTGCTTGCCAGACTCAGTCAGTCGGCCACACACACTTCATGAATTAGAGAAACTGGGAGAGTGAGACTGAACACTCATTCAATCAAAACAAAAAATAATAAAAAAAACCAAAACCAATTCGTTTGAGATATCAATGTGGTGTTTGTATGGAGCCTGGTTCAAAATATGCTGTGGCATCCCAGGTCGACGATTCAACTGCCAGAGTTTGATATTTTTGAAACTGATTTGAATATTTCTTCAATTTTTTTTTATTAGTTCTTGTCACATACACAGGAATGAATTCATCCTGGCATCATTTTCTTCTCTTTAACACACACCACGAAGCACTCACACAAACAGATCACTCACTGACACAGGCCTGTTGACACGCCACTCATTCCAACGCATTTTGCTTCGCTCTCACTCACACACAACTACTCTAAGCCTGGCTCTAGTCAATAACAAACACTCTGCATCGACGACACTCTTGACCATCCCATCCTTCCCCTACCTATCTATCTATCTCTTCACTTCTCTGGTATCTTAATTGATATTAACAAAGTTGGAAAGTAGTAACAGATCAAATCAAACTACTACACAGGTCATTCTTTCATTCAATCAATCACTTTATTTAATTTCTATTTATATTTTATATATATATATATACATACAGATACAGACCAATGGCATTGGACAACGGTACGACCATCGGTATGGTCACTGCCATCTACTTTGGCGTCGGCATTATCTTCTCGATCAACCCATTCTGTGTAAATGATAAGGCGTATGTAATCATCATTATCATCGATACTCAAACATACACGTGCTTCTTATACTAACTTATCATTCAATCAATCAATCAATCAACAGACTCTGCCGTGTTGCTATTATAACAACTATTGTCTGTTGTTGGTTATTGTAGGTTTCTCTTCAACTTATAGGATACATTAATCGATTGATCGACGAACGGATGATGATGATGATGATGACGATGTTGCGAATACTCAGACGAGAGGCGATCGATATGACGAGACGATAGGAGATGAGATAGATGTGACGACGACGATGATAATGATGATGACAATACGAGAAGACGTCGACATAACGATTATGATTATGATGACTAATACAATCAATCAAATATCTAGATGGTTGCTCTGTTTCATGTCACAAATGCATCCAATGGCCAACCCAGAGCCACAACCAATCAATCCATCAGAACATTCTGGCAGCAGCAGCAGCAGCACTCACTAGTGATTCGATAGACACAACAAACAGTCAAACAAACAAGCACACATATACACTCTTCCCCTTTTGCAATAATAGTAGTACATAAACGAGGCATAGAGTCTTTAGTTACAACTACATCATCATAATCAACATCATACTGCCATCCAATGAAGGGCTGGCTGGCTGACTACTAACTCGCCGACTTTAACAAGATAGAAACAGCAGGCACCTAAGCGACACATAGTAGATAGTTATGTACATCACATTCTATTGTTGGTTTATTCATTCAGTTGTCTTTGTTGTCGTTGTTGTCGTTGTTGTTGTTGTTATATATAACCAGGTAACACTCGGTATATGTTCCTATGTCTATCTATCTAATCTAATCTATGTAATCTAGAGGTTCTTTAGAAGCTTCTCACGGTCACCCTTTGAGCCAAACATTCGGATGAGTGTCTTCTTCAACAGCATTGATCCCCACCAGGTGTTGAGGGCCATCGTCGCGACGCCCTCTCCTACCAGAATGAAACTCTTGTCCACTGGATACAGGTGGATATGTGAGGACACATGGTAGAGCAGTGCCAGTGTCAAAGGGATGCCCCAGATACATCGTACAAATATGAACGATATGGCGAATGCCAACAATGACCCTTCATAATACTTGGACTTTGGATTGACCGCCTGAATGAATCCCTTGATATTCAATGGTATTGTGCTCGCCTCATACAGCAATGCCTTGGCAGTAAAGCATGCATAGACATGTCCTCCATGTTTCAACTTCAAGTTGAGCCGAGAGTTGAGATGTTAGTATAAGATACATGCTTATTCCAATGTACTTGTGCTACTTACATTGACATATTGCATTGCAACTACTCCCAGGATTGCGTGGAATACCATTGCAGTACCAACAATGTCTGGTCTTGTGAGACTGACCTTCAAGTCCCAGAAGAAGTAGCCTCCAGTGACTACGAATTGTCTATACATAAGATCCGTGTAATAATATATTGGGTCTTTCTACGATGGTCGACGATGAGTATATTGGGTTGTTGTTTGTTAGACATTGGACTTCATCCTCCCTTCTCCACTTCCCTCCTCCTCTGATCATCAAGCTACAAGACATACACCTATTGAATCATAGAATATATAAGCGCAAACGGGCGTAGCAATTAGAGCATGAACCATTGATACTAATCGTTGGTCCCACATGATCTTCTGCTTGGCGTCCAAATGTTCATAGGTCTTGCCATAGCCAAACATTGTCGTTATCATTGGTGACAGTTTATCCAGGGCAAAGAAGAATAATGAGAACAATAAACTATGTATAACATAGTTCCAATTGACTAAATCATCGAATGGCAATGTTGATGTTGATACCATCTCTTTCTCTATATTATATGTATGTCTGTGTGTTTGTTTGTTATATATATATGTATAATAATAATGAATTGAATGAATGACAAGTCAACATTTATTTAAACACAGCCTATGGAATCCAACAACATGCATCAACTTGACTTCCAAGATGGAGTTGTGGGGTGGGATGATGATCAAAACGTGAAGAACTTTGGGAACCAAGTGCACTTGTTCATCGAACTAGCTCAAACAAACAACATCCATATCCAAAAAAGTCAATCAATTGATTGACTTTGTTACTCAAGTAACACCCTATGAGATATTTATCACATACTCGCGAGTGAATATAACTATGACTGAATGATGATGATAATGACGACGATGACGAATATGATGATTCCTTTACTCGTTAACAAAGTCAATCAATCAATAACAATCAATCAAACAAATGGTATATCAAATACATATGGTTATGTCACGTCATATAGAATAACTCGATGACATTGATCTAATCGACCAATCAATCTTTCTGTTGATGAGGTATTACCAACTACATCGAGATTATTCGATATTCAAGAGATAGTCAACATAGGTTCAAATTGTAGGCTTGATGATTGATTGAAGACATACAAACGATTGACAATGATTGATAATGACTGAGGACCTACTTCATATATTGATTAAGATGGATGGTCTTCATCTCCGTCGTCATAATTATTATGTTCAATTTAAATGATCAGACATGGGGGTTATCGATTGTTGTAAGGCATCCAATAAAGTTGTCTGTACAACGACAGTCGGCATCCCTTCATACATACATTCTTACTTACCATGATGGACTCCCAATTTGATGAGATTGTTAATCATCATGTATAAATTGTGGATAGTAATATGATATAACTCATATCCTCCTCTTCTCTGGCAATTTGTTGGACTTTCAGACACTAGTCATTATCATTTAACAAATAATATTATGTACAACTTTATAAAATCATTTATAATTGTAATATTATTATCTATATTTATTATAGTTGGTACTAGTTCAGTACCACCCAATAATAATAATAATAACCATTATGCAGCCAGTGTATTCAATAATCCTGACAAAGTCACCAAAGAGGATTATCTATTCTCCACCTCGCCAAAAGTCAACAAGAGAGATCAATTTAAAGATATAAATAATATCTTTTATAGAGATTCCTCAAATGTATATGAATCACAAAACTCTTTTTAATTCATTGAGAGAAACAGGGAGAGATAATTATAATTTAATTAACAAAGTAATAAATATTATTATATTAATATTTTTTCTAGAATCCAGAAATTTAATAAATAAATAAATATATTAAAAGGTGTTCCTTGAGAATCCGAAATTGACTATATTATTTTTGCTTGCTTGGTCTCTTTCGATCACAATTGATGTTTGATTTCTTTGGTAAGTGCTGGCCAAGATAGTTTACAATTGATTTGTGTCCTTTGACCTTTGCAATCCTCAACGCATTGGGGATATCACCTTCGGTTTGGTTCTCTCTGAGGAATTTGACTACGTCCAAATGGCCATTCTCGGCGGCAAACTTCATCGCATTCGATGTACAACCTTCAGTTGTGTTGAAATGAAGGTAGGATAGCATATTCAAATATCCATGCTCGGCTGCATTGATCATGGCATTCCCATCACCTTTGATTCCTCTCGTCAACAAAACCTTGACACAGTCCAGATGTCCGAATTTGGCTGCTTCGTTCAATGCTTCTTCCGTACGTCCTTCTGTCCTATTGTCCAAGAGAAACTCAACAATCTTGGCCTGACCATCCCTTATGGCCCACTCTACCGCGTACATGTTACATCCCTCACTGCGGTTGTAATGAAGAAAGCGAAGAATGTCCAAATGACCATGGGCGGCAGCATAACTCATGGCATCATGTGTACATCCTTCCGTTCTATTTGTGTGGAGATATCTGACAACGTCAATGTGGCCATTCCCTGCTGCGTTGTCCATCGCACGAGTAGTGCAACCTTCAGTTGTGTGTTCGTGAAGGAATGTAACAATGTCGAGATGTCCATTTCGAGCTGCCTCATCCATGACATAATGAGTGAATGATTCGGGTCTGAATTGGTGGAGGAATTGAAGTACATCGAGATGTCCATTTGATGCAGCTTTAATCACTGAGACGGGAGTGCAGCCTTCAGTTCCATTGAGGTGGAGGTACTTGACAATGTCGAGGTGCCCATTGATCACCGCTTGGTTCGTTGCATACTCGGTGCAACCCTCTGTCCTATTCTCAAGAAGGAATCTGACCACATCAAGATGTCCACCAAAAACAGCTTCGTCCATTGCCAATTGAGAACATCCCTCTGTTCTGTTGAAGTGTAGATACTCCAACACATCCAAATAGCCTTTGCAAGCAACAAAGTCCATTGTACCAGTGTTGCATCCATCATTGCCAAGGTTATGTTCATGAAGAAAGCGCACCACATCCAAGTGTCCACCACTGGCTGCATTGTCCAGTGCGTCAGTGTGATTCAACTTGTCGGCGTCACCACCAGCCAAGTTGTACAGATACTCTACAAGTGGCATACATCCAATGTTGGCGGCGTAAAGAAAGGCATTTGGTGTATGACCTTCTGTTCGATGTTGTTGGAGATAGATGAATATGTCCAACGAGGCAGCATGGTCCATCGCGTTTGTTGTTGCCGCTGCACCATTCTCATGAAGAAACTGAACGAGGTCCAACCGTCCAATCAATGACATTGCATCCAACGCCATCAATCGCTTGAACTTGTTGTACATGATGTACTTGTTGTTGCTGAGTATGTAATTGATGATCTCCTTGTGTCCTTGAAACTGGTCAAATGACGGTCCATATTTGAACTGGATGGTAGCATTGCAGTTTGTGTCGTCCGTGTCCCAAACATTAAAGAGGGACTCTACACATCTGCTCCAGTGTTCGACGAGACCATTCCACCTCACACAAGTCTTACTTCTATCGGTTGTTGGTATAGATCTAACAATATGTTGTCATGTATTTGATAAACATGATTGAACAACACCCTTGTTACATATCGATTGTTTATCAATCTTTTGAACAACACATCCATTGTATTGCTGTTGCTGTTGGACATGGTGTTTGAGGTTCAAAGAATAGTGATGTGAATGATTGGTTGATTGATTGATTGATTGAAGAGTGAATGACTGGACGAAGGACCCAATCCATCGGGTCCTTTTCTTGTCTTACCAACAGAGCAGTGCATTCGTTTTAAGAAGTAAATGGGAAGATGGATGGACCTCAAACACTTACTTCCCTCATTTGATCGCCCATCAATGAGACTCACTCAACAACAACAAAGAACAAACACATCTTGTCATTGTTTGTGTCATCTGGTGGTTGATGCATTGGGTGGGGGGGAAGCAAGAGCTCACCCAATGCATCACCTCACACTTTGCTTGATTGATTGATTCAACACTGTTGGGTCATTGTGTTGATGGTGTGTACGTGTGTCTGCTCAAAGTTATAATTAAAGATGATGAGAGTGGCGATCAGTTTAAAGTTGCATCGGGTGAGTACTCTCTTTGCTTCCCTGTATAAGTATGTATGAGAGGCTGTGTGTGAGTGAGTGTCTGTTGGTGGCCAACTCTCATTGTTTACTTGGGCAGTTGTTGTTGTTGCTCTTGTTCCGGGAGTTAAGATTCACTTTGATAGAGTAGTTGTAGTAGTAGTAGAGGTAAAGATAGAGATACAATATATATATATAAATATAGATTAGATTGATTGATTAATAAAGATATGTTTGGACTTGGTCAATCAAATAAGGATCGACAACAACCACAACAGGGTCCAACTTTGAGTCAGTCCACGACAACAACAACAACAGCGCATTCATCTTCAAGAAAATCACTTCCAGTTCCTCCACAGGCTCCAACAAGATCTTTGACGGCATGCGACTCCTTGGCAACAGGTGGCGGCGCATCACCCACCCAGAGCACAAAGTCGCGTATCCAAACAGCCAGCAGCTTCAACAGTTCATATGATACATTACAATCTGCTGGTCATCTTCAACAACAACAACAACAACAACATCAACAACAACAACAACAACAACAACAACAACATCCACCATCACCAAACTCACTTTCATCAGATCGCCAACAACTTCAACGTGAGAGAGAGGCACATAATCAGACAAAGAAGAGAGTGGCACAACTTGAGGAGGAGAATAAGATTGTTAGGGATAACTTGTCGGCACTGCGGACCAAGTATGAGCGATCAATACAAAAGATACTTCAATTGACAAACAATTACAATGCATTCCAAAAGGCAATGGTCGAGACACTGCAAGAGGTGGACTTGTCGTCACCTGCCGCAGTGCCAGTGTCAACCTCCTCGTCGTCGTCATCGTCGACCAACACCACGCCATCCCTACAAGTTCCCAATGCTGCCAGTAGTCCACTGCCAATTACGCCGCGTACCAGTCCCAACATGTCCATCTCACCACCCAGCGCCTTGCCTGCAATGACCCCTTCCGGCACCATCTCCGGACGACCCAAAGCCCTGACGATCAGTGAGGGATCTGGACGCTACTCCATATCCAAGGGCAGGGGGTTCAATGCTGGCATGCTGTCCCCACCCAGTGTATACCCTGGCACCATTGGCGCGCTGGACATGACGATCAACTTTGATCTGGATGACCCGCTCCAGATCAATCCGAACGAGGAGGAGTACGCACGTATGATGGAGAACCGCAAGGCCATCACCAATCAGATCCTCAAGACAGAGACTGAGTACGCATCCCACCTGTCACTGATTGTAGAGGAGTTCCTGAATCCCATGCGAGTGGAGAGCTATCAATCCAACAACCCATTCGTCACTGCAGTACATGTCAAGCAACTCTTTGGTGATGTCGAGGTCATCCTTGGCTCAAGTGGTCTACTGATTGAGGACCTGGAGAAGGTGATCAGTGATCCAGCCAACCGTGGCCTAGGTGATGTGTTCCTAAAGATTGTAAGTTGGACCCTCTTGGAGCTTGCCGATGGCGATACTAACATTATCTCCTCATCAACAGTGTGACTACTTCAAGCTATACTCGCCATATGTCAAGAACTATTACACTTCCATTACTGTGTTGAACAAGTTGAAGGAGGAGAGTCATAAGTTCCAAGCATTCATTCATGTAAGTATAATTATAAGTACAAGCTGGACTCAATCACATTGACTAACTTCAATCAATCACTCAATGATTGTAGGAGAAGGAGCAGAGATTGGAACACACCAACTTCTCAGACCTTGGTAGTCTGTTAGTTCTTCCACTCTCACGTATTAGCCAGTATACTCCTATGCTTAGCGACTTGTTTAGGAGCACACCAAAGAGGCATCCAGATTATGAGCCTCTAAAGAATGTAAGTGTCCCTCACTCATCGAACAATATGATTGATCACTGACACCTTGCACGATATCATAGGCTGTAATCAAGATGAAGTCCATCGTTGACTATGTCAAGGAGAAGTCAAGAGAGTATGAGAGTCAGAACAAGGTCAGAAGTATACAAAGCCAGATGCTTGGCAAGTTCAATGTATGCATCCATTCAATCAATCGATCATCCATCCACTCAATCAATCTAACGCCTCCTCACGACACAAAAGAACCTGAATGAGCCACATCGTAGATATGTTAGAGAAGGACTGTTGACGGAGATACAGAATAAGGGCAATGGTAATGGCAATCAGTTACATTGTTTCTTGTTCAATGATCTGTTGATATTGTCATCACCAGTGGTCAAGAAACAACAGACCAACTATATGTTCAAGAAGGAGATTAGACTTTGTGAAGCGGATGTAGTCACTCTGGTAGGTGACTCTGAGGACAGGCCAGTATTCCAGATCAGCTTTATGTCCTATGTTCAGGCGGACAGTGGTTCGGGTGGCCTGACAACGGCATCCGTGCTGAATAGTTTGATCAATGGCTCATCGGTGAGCGAGAGCGAGCAACGCGAGACACTGGCCTTCTGCGCAGACAGTGTGCGTGATCGCGAGGAATGGGTACAGACTCTCAACACATACATTGCCATCGAGAAGAAGAAACTGTCGAGCAAGCGTGCCGAGGAGCTGATCGAGAGCAAGGGCGAGATCGACTTTAAGAACAGCGACATTCAACTGTGCGAGCAGATTGGCAGCGGCGGCAGTGGATGCACTGTGCATCGCTGTACGGTCGACGGATTCACATGCGCCGTCAAGATCCTGCGAGTGAAGAACACGCAGCCATTCCTTGTGGAGCAGTTTGTGTCAGAGATCAAGATCATGGAGCAACTGAATCATCAGAACATCGCAAAGTATCTGGCGCACAGACTGACCAACAACCCCGAGCGACTGTGGTTGTTCATGGAGTTCTACCCCTTCTCGCTCAAGGACATCATCACAAAGAAGACAACGCCCTTCCCAGCGACCGAGATCGTCTGGATGGCACTCGAGATTGCAAAGGGCATTGAGTATCTTCACAATCAGAAGCCACCCATTGTGCACCGAGATCTGAAGCCTGGCAACGTCATGTGTCTGCTGGACGAGCGCAATCGTGTGTCCAACATTAGAGTGTGCGACTTTGACACGTCCAAGGTCATGACGTCAGGCGTCGTGCTCAAGACATGCATTGGCACGCCAAGCTACATGGCACCCGAAGTACTGGACGTGTCACTAGACGCCAACGCCGAGGGTTACTCACTCAAGGCTGACATCTGGTCATTCGCCATGCTAGTGTTTGAGATCATGACACTGCAGCCACCATACCATCAGTTTGCCCATCTTCAAACCATCGAGATGATATTGAAGGGCACGCCACCACCCCTTACAACACCTGTCAGTGCCGGTCTCCAAGGTCTGGTCGACCTGTTACACCAATGTCTGGAGCTCAATGCCAACAAACGTCCATCTGCGTCCAGTGTCGTGTCTAAGTTGGTCAAGCTTATGAAGCAATCTGGCAAGTTACAAGAGTAACACATTCATGATGATTGATTGAGTATCTGTAGCGTAGATATCTCAATCCTTCAGTGAGCGTGTGTGCGCAAGACCTGGTGTTGGGTGGCCATCCAGACTGGATGAGACCATCACATGTACATTCAATCAAACCTCCGCCCAGGCCCACCTGCCACAACTACATAAATATATATATATGCCCATATTATTATTATTATTATTATTATTATTATTATTATTACTATTAGGGTCCAATCAATCAATCTATTATGCTTATCATGCTTTAGACTCTCATTCCTTCATTCTTAAGTTCCTTAAGCCAACGCATCCAACATATTTTCCAAAGTATGTTCGTAGTTTGGATGAATAGCCGATACCTACACCATCATGGAAGAGAATCCTATCTTACCATTGACACGGCCTTCACTTCTAAACTTCTTTTAGAACTCGACTTTTGACATCCTAAAATGGAAGATTTTTGATCAGAGACATGTAACAAAATATCACTTTCCCGAACTACTATTTAATGATGGATTATCACTCGAGAGAGTCAATCAATTAATCAAAGGTAGTTAAGTACATTATTATATATACACCAATCAATTACTATTCCATGGCCTTCACAACATCCAAGACAGTAGTGTTTGATGAGTATGGTGATGCCAGCAAGTTATATGTAAAGGAGTTGCCAATTAGGATACCATCTGTTGGTGAGGTCCGTGTTAAGATTGCTGCTGTTGGTCTTAACCGTGCCGAGACAATGTATCGTAGTGGAATATTTTATGACCTTCCAACAAGTTTCCCTGCTTCCATTGGTTACGAAGGTGCTGGTGTGGTCGATGCCCTGGGACCTGGAGTGACTAACTTCAAAGTTGGTGACAAAGTAGCCATCCTCACTACCAATCTCATGTCCAAGTATTCGACCAACATGGAGTATGCAATCTTCCCCGAAGAATCATTGGTCCTAATGAATGAAGGTCAGACTTTTGTTGAAGCCGCCAGTCTTTGGACCGCCTACTTGACCGCTTACTTTGCCTTGGTCGAAGTCCACAAGGTCACAGCTGGCCAAGTCGTCGTTGTTAATGCCGCCAGCAGTTCAACTGGATTGGCTGCCATCCAACTCGTGATCTCCCTTGGTGCCACAGTCATTGCCACCAGTCGCTCAAGTGCAAAGAGACAACAACTCTTGGACCTTGGAGCACATCACTTCATCGCCACCAAGGAAGAGAATGTCGCCCAGAGGATCAATGAGATCACCAACAATTTTGGAGCAAATGTCATCTATGATCCAGTTGCTGGACCAATGGTGGCGGAGCTTGTAACAGCCATGGCCCCCAAGGGCACCTACATCATCTATGGAGTGATGTCTCCTGATCCAACTCCATTCCCAATCAACAGTATCATTTTCAAGTTTATCAACTTCAAGGCCTACGCTGTATTGGAGTTCTCCTTTGATCCTGTTGCAATCCAGCGTGCCGTCACATTCCTTCGCGATCGCCTTCCAACCTTCCGATCAATCATTGGCAAGGTGTTCCAAGGTATCGAGTCAACGCCATCGGCACACCAATACCTTGATGGTAGTGATCTATTTGGAAAGGTTGTCATTGAGTACTAAATAACTATTGTGGTTGTAGTTCGGCCCGGGAATCAAACAAATAAAATGATTGATTGTCATGTCCCACCAACCCCCACGATCAATCATTTACATATCTGCAGATTCAGATATAGATCAACAGATACAGATACTGATACACACACATATACACAGACTATAACAATGATTAAGAGGTTCCTTAATCCAAAGTTATGGAGGGCAATCTTTAAGTTACCACCTGTTGGCGATGCGGCTACAAAGACGACGACGACGACAAGTTCAGCACACCACCGCGCCCCCTCAGCACATGATCAAACACTCGACTCACTTATCAAGTCATCAGAGTCGTTGCTAGAGAAGAGCAAACGATTCACCGAGCTTGGAAAGGTGCATATGACTGCCATCGATGACAATGAACGCGCGACAGAGGAGATCAAGCGCAGCGCAGAGAAATACATGAAGGAGACGGTCATGCGCAGTCTGAAGCAGGTCGAGGAGAAGTTTGCCAACGTCGAGCTCGACAAGGACATGAATATAGTGATGCGCACATCCGATGGCAATGGCGGCGTGCTCGACGACGACCCCAACACCAAGCATATATACGAGAAGATCGACCTGCTACTCAAGATGGCTAAAGACTACATGATAGAGTCGGCCACATTAGATCGTGGCAAGCTAGTGGCTATCGAGCGAGATTACAAACTAAAGGTCAAGGAGTTGGTCAAAGACATCGAGACAAACACTGCAATGTCTAAAGAGGTGCGAGCCAACTTCCTGCGGATAGTCGATGGTCTTGAAGACCTAGGCTCAGACAGTATTGCCAAGAGTAGTTAGTTGGTTGAATATAGATATATATATAAACAGAAGTGTAGCATCAGTCATTCATTCAGTCGGTCATTCATTCATTCATTCATTCATTGGCCGGCGACAACAACGAAGACAACAACATTGCGAGAATGAGTTAGGATGAAGTAGTGTATTTATGGGTTCGCGGCAAACGCTTAAGTACAAGCCGCGTCTGATGTTTGAATGAGGGTTGATGTGCACAACAACAACATGGTGGATGATGATGATGACAATGAATGCCGTCGCGTGTAAAGTCATGGCTGGATGGCCGCAACAGGTTCGGGTTGGGGACAGACAGGGGTGGTGGTGGCGGGTGCTGAAGGTGGCGCGGCAATGGCGACCACGGACTCGCGTCGGGTCAGCACGGGAGATGGCACTTTGAGCTTTTGGGCACTGCGCTTGAATGCCGATGAGAACTTGGCAATGTTGCCAAAGAACTCCTTGGTGGAGATGGTGGCAGAATCCTCGCCAAAGTATGTGCAGCACTCTGTAAATTGGCGCATGGTGGCCTCAGCCATCTGTTTGAGCGCGCCAAACTCATTGATGTTGGCTTGGTAGAAGGGTCGCATCAATTGGCTGTAGTTGGCATCGATGGTGGCCAGTGCCAGCTGCTCCTCCACCTGTTTGAAGCGTCCGCCAAGATGCTCGACGTCGTCCAGCAGCACCTCGAGCGAGAGGTTGGCCACGGCGTCAATGGCTGACAGCTCCTCATAGAAGCTCATTAGCTCGGGCTTGTTGTCGCGTACGTATCCCACGATAAAGTCGATGACTGTGTGCTTCTCATCGCGTGACTTTGTCTCGGACAGCTTGGCCAACGAGTCTAGTCTGAAGCCCTTGCCGTGCAGATAGGTCTGGCCGCGATTGAGGATGGTGCCCACGTGCAGGATCACCTTGAGCATCTGGATGAAGCGGCGACTTGCGCGTACCTGGTCCAGGGCGGCGGTGACGGCGCCTAGACTGATGGTGAGCTCAGTCATCACGCTGGAAACTTCTGCGCGGAACAGGAATGTCTGGACGCGCTGTTGAAGGTTGTCGATGGCCATCATCTCGATGAAGAAGCGCTCGGCGTTGCCTAGTGTGGCGCGATCGCCATTGAACGCGTTCAGCTTCTTTGCCTCCTCCTCGGTGATGGGCAACATGGCATCGATGGCGATCAACTGCTCAACAGACAGGCGCTGCTCGTCACACGACAGGATAGCCTCCTTGATGTCGGCGTACGACAGCTTGAACTGCGCCAACAGGATGCAGGCGTTGTTGGCACGACGCAGATCGAGTAGGTTGACGATGGTTGGTGCGCCGCCAGACTTTCCGGCTAGCTTGTCCTTGAGGCCGCCCACGGGCTTGGGTGGTGGCGACAGACTGAACCACTGCTCGACCAGCGACTGATCCTTCTCATTGCTCTTCACTGGTGACAGACTGTCCCAGAACGTCTCCTTCAACTTATCCTTTGGAATGACGCTCCAGTGCAGCTGACGCATCTTCTTCTCCTTCTTGCGCTGCTTCAGCAATAGCTTGGAGTTGAGGGGTGGAGGAGGAGGTGGGGGAGGTGGGGCAGGGGGTGGTGCGGGTGGGGCTGTAGCGCCCTCGCCAGCAACTGGTGTCGAGTCCACGGGGGTGGACTTGGCAGCGCCATCAACATTGTTGGATGACTTGTCCTGTGTGTTGCCACCACCAACAGCCTCTTTGGATGGCTGGTAGTTGGCGGCAGTTGGTGCAGACACAGCAGCAGATCCGGGCTTGTTGATGATGGACATCCTGCTCTTGACGCGGTTGACCACGTTCTCCATGATATTGACGGCATTCATATTGTTCTCGTCGGAACCCGTTGAACCGCCAGTGGGTGTATCATTCTGGTTCTTCCACTCCCAGTCGATCCTCATGCGACTCTTCAACTTATTGATGGTGTTCTCACGCTTCTGCTTCAACTCCATCGTCTCTACCTTGGATCGTGGCTGGAACTTGTTCAAAAAGCGTGTGGCAATATTATCAGAGGACAGTGGACCCTGTGATGAATGATGGTTCTGCTCACGAAGCACCGATATACGCTTCCAATCCTTTGGACTTGATGGGTTTGTGAAGGCTGCAATGGCTACCTCCACCTGTTCCTTGGCATGATGTCCCTCGAACAAGAACTATGTCGTGTTGTGTCATGTGTTAGGTTAGATGTTGGACAGCGGGAGGCAACACATAATATAATGTCATGGTACACATACCCTTATCTCATTGTTTTGTAGTCGTTGTAGCATTACTGTGTCGTCTTGGTTGGCGTATATAGTGTTGAGTATGAGGTCATTGATACGGTAGAATATTCTACATAGTTGGCCATCCTCCTCGATGAACAGCATGCCCTGATTCATCTTCCTCTTTGTGAAAGCTTCCAGTGCTGATGTGGCAATATCCTGTTGTAGTATACCTTTCTAAATATCATTGATTGATTGAAGGTTAGTGATCCTGTGATTGATCGATGGTGATGTGGAATAGTTCCAGCCATGGACAAACACTTACGATTGAGAACTTCTTGTATGATTTACATTGGATGATGATCTTGTTGGCAAAGATCACCTCATGTTGATTCTGTCTGATGATTGGGGTATCCCTCTCGGTGAGGTAGATGTAACCAATCTCCAACTCTGCCAACGAGTGTATATACTTCTTGGACTTGTCCAAACGATGTACCAATATACCTTCCTCATTTGATATTGGTCTAATATATATCACTTTGTAACAACCAAAGGTTAGTTGTTGGACTTGTTGGCTGGGATGAACGTGTACACATACTTGCATCTTTGAAGGCATCGATCTCGAGCTCATAGTTTGACTTCTTCTTGGAGAATGAGAATAATGAACTGAGCTTGGATGACCAGTCTGAGGAGGGTGTATCGATTGATGTTGGTATTGATATTGACTTGCCACCACTACCATTGTTGTTGCTGGCTGTCAGTTCATTCTTGTAGTTGTCATAGTTTTGAGTATCTTGTGAGCTTGCCACACTGGGTCTCCTATCCCTAGTGATGGTGTTGGTCACTGGTGCTAATGCTGTATCAATCATAGTTTGTTGTTGTTGTTGTTGATCACTGGGTGATGGGAGGTACAACATAAAGAAATAGTCTGCCACCAACAAGTCGTTGTCTGAAGCAAGGTCCTCCGTTTTCTTGATTGAATGAATGTGTTCCTCGCTTGCGATGTATACTTAAATACAAACACAAACAATCAAACACTTCTTGTACTACTACTTATTCCTATTGATGATGACTGTACACTAACTTTTAATAATTATTGAAACCAAACAATTGATCAGATCTGCAAACCAACAACACATGTGTTTCTAACGGTCATATCAAAAAATGAACCGCCAATCATTTATTTCAAATTCAAATATTTCCAAACTTCCGGAAACAAGTTGTTTTTGTCAACTTCCAACTTCCACCTTCCAACTTCCAAACAACAAATATTTTCTTGTTGACATCCAACCATTTTATCAAACCAATAAATAGATAGATATACAAATACATACATTAGAGTTATTATTGTCCAATATTGTAATTGGTGCTAATTGAATGAATGATTGATGTACCTACATACATTAGTTTCCTATTCTCAATTCAATTGTCAAGATCTATTAGTAAAGCAAAGAATGAATGATCTGTGTAGCAACTACCTTAATCGCCACCTTCTAGACAGAATGATCAAGAATATCTACACCGAATGATATCACCCCGCTAACCTTACATTTGTCGACACGATCAATCAATGTTGGCGAAGATGATAGATGTCCAAGTTTGGTTAAATGTAATATCGTTATAATAGACCTTACTAAGATGATCGGTATTGGCACCTTGAAATGAAATTTCATTTCAAGGTTGCAGACGAACTAAAGATGACGTTAATCACATCCTTTGATTATCCAAGCGGTGGTGAACCCTTTTAAGATTACTAACTCAACATTCCTCTTCGGTGTAGAACTCACATCTATTAATACATTCTTGATGGTACCCAAGTACACTGAAGAGCCAGTGGAAACCGATTGCATACGAGTCAACTATCTCAATCAAGAAGGTAACCGCGGCCGATGACTACTACCTGTTGTATGTATAGAATGCTTGTTGTTTAACACATCTCCATCTACGAATACTGTTCCTTATTCATCCATCGTCCAATCATCGACAATTATCAAATTGAATAGCGAGTTGACCCTAGGTTGGCAGACGGATGGTTGGTAAACATTTAGATGGATGGATGGATGGATGGATTGATGGAGGGATCGTCAGTATTATAATAAGTTTAAACGATTGATGTACTGATGTGGTCCACAAACACACCCCACCAGTTCCTCAAGACGGACGACGAGACGAGTATGGAACAGGGCCACGGAGAAGAAGATACTTAATGTCATATGCCTCTTCGGGCTTGAGATCTCCAAGGCATCGGGGGAGATGATCGTCTGTTGAAGGACAGGGCCTATCGCCCATCAGTGGTACCCAACGGAACAACCAGCCCAACAACGAATGATTGGGTGTAGCCCAATGAGTGGTATCCTATTCCTTTCAGATATTTAGTTGCAATTGGCCGATGTGCAATGACATGCCCAACCGTAAGTGTAGGGCAGGCCGATGGGATGCCCGATGGACACACCAAGTTGTAAATGGGGGGTGCCCTGCATGCAGTGAATGCATGCAACAATCTCGTCGGGGTTACATTACCATTACCATCCTTTTCAATCACATATTCATTGGAATTGGCATTGGATTGATTCACCCGAGCTTTCTCCAGAGAAGGATGAGTCATGCTTACATCAACCGCGCATCGGCCACACAAGGCAGGTGATAGCCTACCACTATGTTTTCTAAATAAATCAGGTAGGTTCGCGTGGTGTCTACTCTCTGTGTTTGTGACACCGCCATGTGTGTGGGCTGGTGGCGATCATCATGCAGACCATCATCATATCGAACGATTGGGCATCGAACTGCACATGTTGGGGCTGAGTCTTCACCCGACCCACAGCCAACATTACCCCCAACCCCACCTATCTGTTTGAAGTTTGTCAGAACACACACTCACGTTGGGGGTTGTTCGTTAACAGGGTGGTTAGGCTCCTTCTTGTTGTGTTTTGACCAGAGTTGGTGGTGTTCTGGACCTGTCCTGGGCACACACTCCGAGGCAATCTGTTAACATGTTTGCCAAGTGGCCTTTCACATGACCATGGGGCATGCATCGAAGGATTCTCTCTAGATTTTTTGGTCTATCTGTGTGTGTCCAAAGAGGTGTTCAAGGTGACGGTGGCATGCTTGTATGTCTAACAATGACTAAGTGTGTATCTATGTGAGTTTGGTTGAAGGTTCCATTTCAAGGTTCATGTACTTGTGCGGTTGCAACTCGCGTATCAACATGTTGAAACCTATCTTCTTAAATACCATCATTTAATCAATTTTATAACTGCTTCGTCAAATCAGATAATTATTTATACTTATACAAATCTTATACAAATATTTATATACTATTACATCACAACAACAACATCTTGATTTATATATATATATCACCAACTATAACAATACAATTACACATCCAACATAAACATCAACACCCATTCACTCAATCAAACAATCAATCAAACAATCAATCACACCCACAACGACGAACATCAATCGCAACAAACACACAGGCCGAATCAAACAACAACAACGTAGTAACCCTTAGTTAGTTCATTGATGTCGTCATTTGACACCTTTCACAATGGTGGCACCGGTCCCACCTCTTCGTCATCGGGTTGGAACGAGCATTCTTACTTTGACCAAGAAGGTAGTCTGAACTCACCTCCAATCACTGAGCACTTTGCCACTGGCGGCACAGGCAGTAGCACGAGTAGCAGCAGTGGTGTCGGTGGTGCCAAAGGCAAGAATGACATGACTTCACCCCCGTCCTCCTCCAACTCCATCCCCCATTCGCCACCATCGTCACCGGGCGCACTCGACGACGATGACAGCAAGGATGGAAATGACGATGGATGTGGTGAGGGCAAGTCAGAGAAGCAAAAGACCAGAAGAACGAACCAGAACATAGCAAGCAGGAACTATAGGCAGAGAAAGAAGGTTTACATCAAGGAGATGGAGGATAGGGTATGTGTTCATCTTCATTCATTCAATCAATCAATCATTCAAATACTAATACAACAACAAACATGTAGATACATCAATTGATGATGGAGAATGATGGACTTAAGAAGGACTTGAGCAAGATTGGTAACAATCCAATTGAGTTGCTAAAGTTCCCTCAAGAGTTGGCATTCCTCATGACAAACATTAGGAAGATAGTCATTCAATTGGATCAAGCATTGCGCAATGGTGAATCAGACTTTGTACTCAGGACCATCCTGAACAGCTGGAACACCTCAATGGACCAAGCTTCAGCACTCAACGAGAAGGAGATCGAGAAGGTATGTAWTTATCAACATCATTGAGCGTCGCGAGTGTCCACACGAACAACTCATACTCACTCATGCCCCGCCATCCCAACAGTTCGTCCATCCTTATACACAGGTCAAGCTCACATTGTTGGGATACAAGCCATTCAGCAACCCTTGGACAGACTTTGTAATGAACTCTAGCCATATCAATTGGTGGCCACGCTATACGGACAAGGCCGAGTTGACTTTGGAACAGAATGAGCAAATTACAAGTTTATGGGCAGCCTACTCGGAGGAGGACGCAACGCTGCGCAAGGAGATGTCGGACCTGGACGAGAAGATCAAGAAGTTCTACATGTCCAAGGTGATCATCTTGCCCGACTGCGAGAAGCTCAACGTGTTGGCGCAGTCCAACATCCCGATCGAGGACAGCCCCGAGGGCGAGACTGCAGAGATTGGCGACATCCTGGAGTTCACGTTCAACCTGGAGCGATTGAAGCAGAAGTTCATCAAGGTGAGCCGTCTGATGTGGGACACGTCCAAGAAGATGGGCAAGTTCCTGTCGACGCGCCAGGAGGCTATCCTGCTGGTGCTGGTGCACTCCAACACCAAGTACATCCACCAGAACATGGAGATGGCCAACAACCTCTGGAACCAACTGAACCAATCGAACTACCGCCAGCTGGCAACAACTCGTGCGAACGGCGCTGGCGTCTCGCCCGGCATGGCCGGCCTCAAGATGTCAATGTCGTCCTCTTTCTCACCGCTGGGCAGTGGCGTCAGCAAGAGCATCATCACAAGCTCGCCCTCACCTCCATTGCACTCGTTCGACAACAGCAACAATCCACTGGCGAGCTACCAGGCCAACTCCAACATTGGCATGTTCTCTCCGCACCAATCCTACCGCCTCCCGCCCCAGACAGTGCAGGCGCCACAGCACCCACAGTTTGTGCTCGGCATGCACCAGACGCCCGGCTTCCCCGCCCAGCAACAACAGTTCACCGGTCCGATCAACGACCAGTTCACACCCAGCAACACTCCGCCAGGCGGCTCGTCAGGCCGCTTCCCCAACGCCAACCACAACAACAACAACAACAACAACCACCACCCTGTTGCTTCCAACAACACCAACGCCACTGGCGGCAACAACAGCGAACCATCCTACCAATTCCACTACTACAATCCGATTCAATAGCGTAGCGCGCGCGAGCACGGAGGGTCTGGCCTACGCGTAGGCCCGACACCTCGACTACATACATGTATAATACCGATATTACGATATATATAACAACAACTCCCCTTCCCTCCCTCCCTCCTTCCCTCCTACCCTCCTTCCCTCCATTCCATCCATTCTTCCCTTCCTTCCTTCCTCCTCATCCCCTCCCATCCCCATCCCTCCCTCATCGCCACACACACATGGGTCGGCAAGGCAAGTCTAATGAATGTATGACTTGGACGTGTCTTGGGTGAATGAATGTATGACGGCGCGCCAGCAACAGGTCATGAGTGGGTCTACTTCGCCACACAGCGGTGTCGGTTGAGTGTCTACATTGACCTTGTTTACATGGTTGTCTGTCTGTTTCCGCCCACGCGTCCAACGTCAATAGCGCTACCCAGTCAGTCCTTTTTTTTTCTCTCCTGAGTCGACCGTGTACAGATAGGTCTCGGTCTTCCGCCACCTCCTTCACTCCCCTCTCCCCTCTCTCGCTCTCTCTTTCTCCATCCTCTGGAACAACAATAAACCTCCCTGCTCGACGAGATGATTCGTTCATCCGTTCTTGCCCTGGCCATTGTCCCTTCAAAGGGCAACCAATACAAACTACGACTACTACTACGACTATGACTACTAGTGTTAGGATGTTGATTGAATGATTTATTGTAGTATGTATGTGTAAGCGCTTAGATGGCACCAGAGTTGACAATGACAACGGTCTTGGATGGGGTGCCGCTCTGGGAGCCGACAGCCTCGACTTGCTTGACAATGTCCATACCCTCGACGACCTCGCCAAAGACAACGTGACGGCCGTCCAACCAGGAGGTGATGGCGGTGGTGATGAAGAACTGGCTGCCGTTGGTGTTTGGACCAGCGTTGGCCATTGACAACAAGCCGACCTTGGTGTGCTTGAGCTTGAAGTTCTCGTCGTCGAACTTCTTGCCAAAGATCGACTCGCCGCCAGTGCCGTCGCCACGGGTGAAGTCACCTCCTTGGATCATAAAGTTGGGGATAATACGATGGAACTTGCTTCCCTTGAAATGCAATGGCTTGCCCGATTGACCAGTGCCCTTCTCACCAGTGCACAGAGCCTTGAAGTTCTCAACAGTCTTTGGTACAGTCTTACCATAAAGACCCATAACTATCTTTCCTACATTTACACCATCGATCTCTATCTCAAAGAATACCTTCTCAGTAACAGATGGTCCCTTTGCCTATATGAGTATGATATTGAGTATGATTGAGTATGAGTATGATTGATTGAGTATGATTGATTTGAATGAGTGTTATGTGTACTTACCTCGGCTGCTGGTGAGAGGAAGAAGAGAACCATAACAAATATGGACAATACAAATACAGTCTTAAACATGATTGATATTAGGTTGTTATTATTATTGATGCGCAATCTAAAATGACCTGTTGCTTTCTCTTCGTCTGCCATTAATAATTCAATCTAGAACTTAGGTTCTTCATCCTTGCATGACTCACTTGATTCAAAGTCTGTATTTTAGTGAGTTGCTGACGCACCAAACTTCAAACTTCAGAAAAAATGTGTCAAAATTGTCAAAATTACAATGGATACCATTTTTGATCATGGGACCATCCAAATGAATAAGTAGAAACAATTTTAAAACATCAATCAGATACAAATAATAATGTTGTAATAAATAAGATACGTATGAATATATTAAATTTATTATCATTAAATATTATAAAGGATATTATATTTGGATATTTGAATGATGTGGATAGAGCATGTTGGTATTTGACATGTAAGATATTGTTTAATAAGTTGGAGTTGGACAATGTTGTTGGATTAACATTGTCAAAGTTACATTATATATGGCATAGAGACAAGTATTTAATATTCTCACCATCATCAATACCATTGAATATCAAAGAGTTATCATTATCAAATCAATCAAATCGTTTGATTACAATCAATGATCATTTACCAAATGGACTTGAAAGAATCACATTTGGGAAGGAGTTCAATCAGTTGATTGTACCTGGTTCTCTGCCTCAATCACTCACCTCATTAACCTTTGGTCATATGTTCAATCAAGTGATCAGACCCAACATCTTACCAAACAGCATCACATCGTTGTTCTATGGAGTAGACTTCAACTCGCGAATAATGCCTGGCTCACTACCAGCTTCACTCAGAACATTGATAGTTGGATATGGATATCGTGCAAAGTTCAATCAACTGATTGAACCATGCACGTTGCCAGACGGTCTGATAGAGTTGGAGCTTGGGTCATGCTTCGATCAACCAATTGAGCCAGGTATTTTACCCAACTCATTGACCAAGCTCACAATCAATGATGAAGGTCCAGAGGCCTACACACAAGACATCTTACCCGGCGCATTGCCCGACTCTCTCAATGACCTGACCATCGACAGTCTGTACCTACGACCCATACTCGATGGGGTAATCCCATCATCTTTGACGTCACTCCATCTACGCCTCACTGGCTGGAGGGAGTGTGTGTTCCCTCAACATTCATCACTGACATCACTATCACTGATACTGAAGAGTGGTGGAATGCCACGCCCACTTCCAACCAGTATCACACGATTGAAACTCTCGTCTGACGGTGATGCCTTCATCCCGTCACTTAGCATACCTCAATCAACCATTGAGTTGGAGTGCTATGGCTTCCCCTTTCAAATGATAATGGCAGCACTTCATCCAAAGCTTCATACATTTCTCCTAACACTAAAGTTTGGTAATGTCGAATGCATCGAGTTGGAGCCAAACCAACTTCCAGTATCACTCACATCTCTGACCATTGGTTGTTTCAAACAGCCCATTGTACCAGGCCTGCTGCCCGACAGCCTTACCTCTCTATCCTTTGGCCAATTCAACCAGCTCATCTTACCAAACACTCTGCCATCATCACTGATCAATCTTGACCTTGGTTGGTTATATGACAAACCAATCGTCCCAGGCATGCTTCCATCATCGCTCAGAAAGTTGTCAATCAACAACCTCAATTTCAATAGTGAACTTGACTTTGGCTCATATATCTCATCACTAACCAAGATCAGATTGGCAGGCACCCGCTCAACCAAAGGAGTAGTGTTCCCCAGATCACTCAAACATCTTCGTATCCTTGATCATTCATATATGGGACTATGCCAGGCCAGCGACTTTGATGATGGCAACATGCATTCGGTGGCCTTCCAACGAAAGATTAACAAAGTAACAGGCATCCCTACAATTCCAAACTTGGTCAATGTGGACAGATTGAAAGTTAGGTTTAAAGTCAATCACCAGAGTGGGTATGATCAATCACGTGGACTGGTCCATCAGGCCAGAGTAATGATAGGTACATTGCTTAGGAACATACCCAATGTAAAGACATACATCATAGAAGATAATTGGTTTTGTGAGGCACATGTACGAAGGTTGGATGAAAGCAGTGCCATATGTTTGATCAGAACAAGGGATAGCGAAGATCTACCTATTCCACGATACCATGTCAACTTTATTAGAAACATTGATCAATTATCTATTTCCACCTTTTGTGCAAATGATGACAATTACAACTCAATCCAGGATACAGATTCGCCCAACAAGAACAAAAGGGTAAGAAATATTATTGGAAAGACACTTGATTGGTTTAAATATATCCAAACTCAAATAAATAATTAGATTATTTATTATTATTATTATCTATAATCCATTTGAATTGAATCGATTGGATTTAGTCCAACTTGATTTGAGATCTTACTAAAGCAGAGTATGCCATTACTAAACCATTCAGTTTGTATTGGTTTAACTATTCTATACTTAATTACATAACAATGAGTTCATTCAAGATCAATCAGATCCGGAGTTCCCCGAGAAACACAAGTCCTTCATCAAAATGTCCTGTGTGAGAGTGCCTATACAAACATTCATTGAGAAGTGCAATTGGATCCCCAACTTTGTCATCAATGATTGCTTGAATGCTGCTGCTCCCAACGACTACAGGAAAGTGCAATTCAACCCTGTTGATCATACCGACGTGTTAGTGGATAGGATTGTACACCTCCGCGCTGCCACTGATGACTTCTACGTAGGGCCGGCCGATCTGGATCATACAACCACCATCACTGGAGAAAGGTGTAACGAAGTGGTCACAAACATATTTGAGACAATGATAAACTATCATTCATTCAGAACAAACAGATAACAAACAAATAAATCACTTTTATATATTCACTCTATAACTACATATAGTCTAGACACATTGTTAGTGTTAATGGGTACTGTGGGGTTATTGAAATTCGCTCATTCTTTCATTCATTCTTCTTATTCATTCATACTCATTCTTTCATTCATTTATACTTATACATTCATAATTAATCATTCAATTAGTTAATATTATAATTGGGTCCAAGGAATTAAAATATAGTCAATTAATTGGTTCCCATCATAAATATGTTGTTATTGGATGAGTACCAGACTATTTAGTAATACCCACCTGACCAGGAGTCTTATTTATATATCTATGGCAGAGATAACTATACTCTTTAAGCATGTGTTTCATTTATTTTTGCGAACCAAGATTTTCTTAGATGTCTGAAGGGATACAATGACAATGGATCGAGCAGCAATCAGTGGACATCTGGAGATCATCGAATTCCTTCATCACAATGGATACCAGTGCTCTGTCGTTGCGATGGACATGGCTGCCTCGAACGGACATTTCAAGGTAGTCGAGTATCTCCATCACAATAGGACAGAGGGCTGCACCAACATGGCAATGGACGGCGCTGCAACACACGGCCACTTGGACATTGTCAGGTTCTTGCACGATCATCGAAGTGAAGGGTGCACGGTTGTAGCGATGGACCAAGCTGCAGCACATGGATACTTAGATGTCCTCGAATATCTCCATCGCAATCGCACCGAGGGCTTCACAGACGAAGCCTTGGACCTGGCTGCAATGTGTGGACATCTGCACATCGTGCAATACCTTCATGCTCATCTGTGCAATGGAACGCACGACGCACTTGAGGAGGCTGCACGCCATGGACATCTCCCCATTGTTGAGTACCTTTGTAAGCTGGATATTAAGGCATCCATCGATGATGCTATGTGTCTTGCAGCCTTTAATGGACATTCACCGGTCTTTGAATATCTCTATCGCAACTTCCATCAGCAATCATCTGATCTGGATAATGGTGCACTCAGATCCATGATTATCGTGGCGGCACAGGCAGGCCATATGGAAATAGTGCAGTTCATTCATCACCATCTGCCGCCAGAGATAGATGTCTCGACTGAGGCAATGGACGAGGCAGCGGCCAATGGCCACCTCTCAGTGGTCGATTTTCTCCATCGCAACAGGACAGAGGGTTGCACAACCCACGCAATGGACATGGCAGCACGCAATGGACATCTATCAGTGGTTCACTTCCTCCACTTCAATCGCTCAGAGGGCTCCACCGAAGAAGCGATGGATATGGCAGCACTCAATGGACATGTATCAATCATGGAGTTTCTTCATCAACAACGTGGCGCAATCTGCACCGAACAGACAATCGAAGATTCTGCTGCCAATGGACACTTGCATGTGTTGGAGTTCATCAAGGCGTCGTACGGCCATTTCGAGTTGGCCTCAGTGGCCCACGCAATGAGGAAGGCCATCACCAACGCTCACTTGGATGTAGTGGAGTTCCTGCATAGCCATTTCCCAGCCCAAGTCAATGAACGCACCTCATTCATGGACCAGGCTGTGATGTGTGACCATGTGGACATCGTAGAGTTCTTCCATCGCATTGGCCATCACTGTTTGGGCGAGTCGTTTAACCAGGCGGCCAGTCATGGCTCCTTTGCTGTAGTGCGATTCCTGACCGAGCACACCACCACCCAGTGCACCCCTAAAGCTCTGCGGCTGGCAGCAACCAACGGACATCGACTTGTCGTGCAATACCTAATGATGGAACGTCGGCCCAATGTCATTGGTGGACTGGGCAACGCCATTCGAGATGCAACAGACCCCCATATCCTTTGTTTCCTCAAGCAATTCATCTGACGTCTAATAATAAAGAAAAGAATATGATCAGAGTACTGTGCCTGTTGGCAACTACAGCAGACTGTCATTGCAAGACCTTGTTTCTTGTCGTATCCATCTTGGAATGCAAACGGAAGTTGGTATGATTTATCAGATACAAACCACCTCTTGAGGAATACCTGCCTAAAGAATATCTTTAAATTTCTTTCCAACCAAGTCATCAAATGATCTAATTTGTTTGTTATTTGCATCTTATATATATTATTAATATTATTATTATTATTACCCCGAGGAGATTCCAGTTCTTATATACATAAATGGAATTTAGTTAAGGTCCCTAGATACCATTTTTGGTAATAATTGTCAACTATGGACGGATTGATTGGACAATCAAAAAATCGATAGTCCAAGTGTTATTAATAATAATAATAATAATAAAAATAATGTTTGATGATTGATTGATTGGTACAATGAAGGAAGGAAGGAAGGAAGTGAATTAACACTTTCATTAATTCAATCGAAGATTATTGGTCGCCAGATTGGCTGGCTGATTGTTGTTGCTTGGCAGTAGCAGTCCTCTTCTTTGAGAAGAACACTGGAACTGATTGTTGCTGCTTCTGATGCTCCACTTGTTTGCGCAATGATGCCAACTTCTCACTGCTGATTGAGAATGAAGTGGTTGTTGTGTTGGTGACATTGTCATCGTCATCATTATCATCGCCAAATGTCTGTGGAAGTGATGATGCAAAGGCTGGCAGAGTGCTCGTGCGCTTGGTTGAACTGGTCAACACATTGGACTGATGGATCATTTCCAGCAACTGCTTGTCTCTCTCATTGTCAGCGAATGGCATTGTGTCCATTGTAGCCTCTCCTCCAACGCCAACGCCAGTACCAACACTACTGCTACTGCGCGATAGACTGCTGTGACTGCGACTGAGTCTGAGTCGCTCGACACGTGATCGATGCTGTCTCTCTTGCTCCTCATCCTCGTCCGAGTCGCCCTCTTCATCACTGGACAATGTTGTGAGCAGGTTTGATTGAGTGGTCTGGCCATTGCCATTGGTCTCCATTCTCTTCTTCTTCCTCTCTCTGAGTGGTTGTGATGATGTGGACTCGTTCTCCTCATCAGTGATCAATGTGCCATCGTCGTCATCGTCCTTTCCAAACTTCCTCTTGCGATGATCACCCGATACTATATCCTGGATCCTTTGTAAATCCTCCATGTACGTGTCCTTGTTCATTACAATTCGGTTGACTCTTTCTTTCTCGTGATCAATATCTTCGTCTGGCTCATCCTCCTCATCCTTCTCGTCTGCTTCGTCGTCTTCCTCCTCTTCTTCACTATCTTTAGCATCCTTTGTCATCTCTTTGTCCTCCTCAACATCTGCCTCATCATCGACAAGTCCATCCTTGATTACAATGTCCACCTTGTCCACCTTGTCCATGTGATCCACCTCGTCCTCCTCATAGTTCAACTCCAATGATGCTATCTTTGTGGCTGGATGATCTCTTGTGCTTGTCTTGTTGTTCTGTACCTGATCGATCTGACCCGTCTTGGTTCCAGCTAGTTCATTCTCCATTTCTAATGTTGACTCATAAGGCAGTTTGAGTTGGTTCTTGGTCACCTCCTCCTCAGCCTCCACCTCCTCCACAGCATTATTGTCCTCCTCATTCATGGCCTTGTCCACTTTCTCCTCCGCCATCTTGTTGTCTGTGGTTGTGTCTTGACTATATTCTACAATTACTCTCTGTGATGGAGCGTCCTCATCCTCATCGGAAGAGTCATTAGCGGTGTCCAGAGATAGTTTTGACTTGGTCGGTGTGCCATTGGTCGATGCCTCATCCTCCAAATCCATTCCACTACTATTCAATGAGTTGTTCAATGAGCTACTACTGTTGTTGTCAATATTGTTGTTGTTTGGATCTGATGATGACGATTGCACTGCTGGGGTTGGAATGGGACGATTGGTCCTGGCAACAGGCTTAACACTGACGAGGAAATCAAGTAGATTCCTCTTGGTTACAATTGGTGCAGGTTGAATCCATGTCTCTGTGATTGTCTGTGTCAGTACGATGGATGGTGACTCAATCTATCTATCATACATACTTGATGATAACTGCATCTGTGGCTTCTTTAACACTCTGTCCTTGCTCTTCTTCTCGTCATCATCTTCGTCCATATCCTTATCATTCTTCTTCCTTGGAACCTTTGGTTTCTTGCCATCATCTTCATCCTCATCCTCATCCTCATCATCATCATCCTGTTGCTCATCATCATTAACATTCTTTCTTGAACTCTTTGATGGTTTGGCATCATCGTCACTGTCATCCTCCTGTACACAAGTATCATCCTTCTCATTATCATCATCCATCTTCTTGGCGGCGTCATCCTCTTCCTCCTCCTCCTTCTCTGAGGATTCACCACCATGTTGTGGCTCTGTCTCTCCTACTTTGTCTGTTTCCTTCTCCTCTTGTTGTTCCTCATCATCATCATTCTGAGACATAACAGGTGTCTCCAATCTTGGCCTATCATTCTTGTTCTTCTTCTTCTTTGTCTCCTTGTCCTTGACCTTATCCTTCTTCTTCTTGTGCTTGTCCTTCTTCTTCTTCTTCTTGTCATTGTTAACTATATTCTCACTTTGATTCTCTTTATCATCATCATCATCATCATCATTCTCCTCTTCATCATTATCATCTTCTACTTCATGTTCTATTGTACTCTTGCCAAGTGATCCCTATAATGATTGAATGTGTCAATGTCATCCACTCTCTCGCTCACTCTCTCTGTCTGACATAGTAACATACTGATTTGCTGCTCTTTAACAACTTCAGTATAGAGTCAATTCTATCGTTGGTGTCCTTTATCATTGTGTTATCATCTTCATCATCATCCTCATCTTCATCCTTATTGTCATTGTCATTGACAATATCTGGATGTGAAGCTGTTGATAATGATGTTGGTGGTGTCACAACCTCATTATCAAACACATCATCAACCACAGCCAATGTATCTTCTGTATCAGTGGCTGGTGTCAGCTTCCTTAATCTTCCCAACCTATATTATATGTTGTTGTTGTTATGATCATGGTATCATTGTAAGTAACAATGAACATGTCCGACCCCCAGTCCACTCATTCGACAACATGTCAAAGGTTGTTTGTCAAGTCGAACGTTAGTGGACCAAAGAATGAATGAGTTTGGTTGCATACCTTGACATTATAAATGATTATATGACTATTATATCACTATGTTATCACTATATTATTATATTACACAATATAACACTTTATGAACTCAAATAAACGAGTACTTGAATATTGTCACACTGAACAGAAAATGGCGCCAACATTCAAATTTTCAAATTTCCAGCACTTGGATCTCTAAATTAAATAAATAAATAATATATATACCATTTATTATTAAATAATGTTATAGTTGTTATAATATATAAGTGTATGATTGATTGATTGATTGATTGATTGATTGATTGATTGATTGATTGAGATGGTCCCGACTTTTTGAAAAGTATGGACATTGATTGGTGGTTGAGTACCAGGCCCCAGGGCTAGGAATGAATGGCTATCACTCACTTTGGATGATCAAACAGTTAGAATAAGAGTTTGATTTAGGCAGTCTTGACAGTGACGAAGTCAGAGCAGTTGATGAAACACTCTCCAGCTGGATCCTTTCTCTGGAAACGGGAGACGATAACACCTTGAGCATAACGGTTTGGAACGGTGAGGGTGGTCTTGAACAATTGGCTGGCGCTGCATCCGGCGTAGGTGCCAGAGACTGGCTGCAGGTTGTCGACGGTCTTGAGCAAGACGACGTTGTCCCAGGACACGGCATCGACTTGGGCGTTGAAGGTTGGCACGGTGACGTAGAACTCCCAGTAGTTGGGGACGTGGGCGGCGGTGGCACAGAAGGTGAAGGTGATGTTGACGCTGTTGGAGCCGGCTGGGGCGCTGATCTTGGTGGCCTTCCAGTTGTTGGGGATGGACATTCCGGACTTGTCACCAAAGTTGTTGTTGCCGACTGCGTTGGCCGAGCAGATGGCGGTGGGCACGGCAGCCTTGAGGGCGGGCAGACCCTGGCTGTAGGATGGGATCATGACGGCGTACTCGTTGATCTGGACGAATTGGGTCTGGGCTGCAGACGAGTCGTTGCCATGCTTGTTGTAGACGTAGTCCCATGCGTTACGGCACCATGAGTCTTGGATTCCAGATCCATCAGCTGGCCACCAAATGCTGTTTTGGTTATTGTTGGCACAGATCACCTGGCGAGCAGCAGGGTACACTGGGTATCCATGTCCATTAACCAAGGCCACAATGGTGGCGCACAAAATGATTGAAAGTATTATTCTCATTATTTATAATATATTTGATTGATTGAATTGATTGATTGATTATTTGTTAGATTTGATATTTGATAGACTGGTCAGTGGATCCTTTTATAGTCTTTGCTACATGGTATCCAAGGTCATCCTACCCTTGCAACATATGGCCACTTTAATAATTTCCAATACCGACACCTCTAATATTGGGGCCAAGCTGGGTTTGAAGGTGGCCAGTTGGGTCCAATAACTTGGTCCATCCCCCAATACTTCACTCCAGTCCATCACAGACTCTCTCACATAGCTCCATCAATGCCACTCTCTATGTTTGCAAAATATAGTCGACTTGTCCTTCTAAATTACGATAAAGAATGAACTGTGATGATGGATTTATGTGGATTGATGGATTGATGCATGATTAAAGGATCTGATGGTAGAGGGTGGTACTCAACAAACCATACCTACCCAGTTTTGGGCGTGACTACCTCGTTGATACTCGAGGTGTAGGACCCTAGAAGAAGAAGAAGAAGTAAGGCTACTTACTGTCACAGGACCTGGATGGATGGATGAATGGTGGATGTGTTTTGATACCATTACCAGCAAGCCCCGTAAGGACCTGCCTTTGCACTCCTCCTCAGTTTAATATCTTGCCCCGCGTGAGTGTAAACGATCATGTAGGTTGAGGCGAAGCATAGGACGTTCTTAAAAAGAGGAGTCGCAATCAAACACACAACACATACTTACACTTACGCGGTTTCCACATTGCGGGTTGACGGCAGTGGTGAGTGGGCACAGAGAGGGGGGCATTGGATGGATTGATGGATGGATGGAAGGATGGGGGATGGTTGGTATAATGGGGCGGGCATGTAGATCACTAACACAACACACAACACACACATACACAGTTTGAAGATATCGGTATCCTTGATTGGGCAAAGTAGAGTGCCATTGTTTAGATTACAAAGAGGTAAAATTGGGAAGTGTACATACAAATACATCAGAGTCACATTGGATCAATGAGATATTTAACTTTGGTGATCTTTGAAAGTCTATGTGCTTTAGCCACTAAAGAGTACTTTGGATGCCCAATATGATTCCTCTGGGTCCTTCATGTTTCGGGTAAAGTGATAAGCAATCCATCTATTCTAATGAAAAACCATGGGCGATTGGTTGGTTGGCATACGAAGAAAGTTGGTTGATGTGATCACAACAACACAAATGCGCATATTACCAAGATTGGGATTGATACCTACCTTATTTATTTACTTCCCTACTCCATCCACTATTATTAGTATTAAATGAATGGAATGGAATGGAGTGATAATACTATACTTACTTACCTCATCGTTGTTTGAATCCTTTTCAGACATATGACGAGGATTTGTGTTGTTCTGTCATTCATGTCTTACCATCTCCTGTCTTGTCATGTTTTGGTGACAATCGCGTCCGAGTCAACTCGTCCACTTAGGAGGATGAGCCTAACAATCATCATGAAACTGTCATTGACCTATTGTTATCATGTAGTATCTCTCTTGAACATTCATGAATGAATGCGAGTGAGCGAGGGAGAGAATGAAATGAATGAATTTGGTTGGGTCGATAAACAATGATTGAATGATTGAGTGATTGTTGCGTATAGATTGCAATTGATATGAATAGTAACGATAACAACAATAATAATGAAGATCATCTGATGTTGAATGATGCGTTGGTCGTTCCTTCGTCCAACACAGAACCTCAACAACCATGGACTGAGCCTAGTACAACTTTATCAACAGAGATAACAGAGACGATACCAACAGAACCATCATCATCATTGGAAACAACGATTGTGACAACAACAACTTATAGATGGTCCAATCTGAAGACATGTTGTTATGCACCTTTGATGACTAGACGTAGGCTAGATGATGATGTTGTTGATCATGAAGATCAGTTCACAAAGAGTATCAAGTGGTCACCTGATGGAACATGTCTACTAACATGTGGAGAGGACAGATCACTTCATCTCTATGAATTGTAAGTTGGTCACATTCTAACGAAGATGGACTTGACAAGACACTAACACACCCTCGACTGGTCCATAGACCACACAGCGCATACTCGTCTTCATTGACATCAGACACAACAGACACAGACAGTCAGGCCACACAGATCAATCCAGTGTTTAGTATACATGAACATGACACTGTGTACGACTATGCATGGTACCCTTATATGAACTCGAGCAATCCTTCAACATGTCTCTTTGCAACAACGAGCAAGGACACACCCATTCATCTCTGGAATGCATTCACAGGCAAGCTAGCCTACAGTTACATCCCATGGAAAGATCCTGATTGTCTCGAGGCTGCAATATCAATCCAATTCAACAATGATGGTTCCAAGTATGTTGACTCGCTCACTCACTCATCACATGGAATGATTCCATTACTCACCCCAATCACTCAATCAATCAATCATGAAAACATGTAGACTATACTCTGGATTCAAGAAGAACATAAAGATATTCGACCTGCAACGACCTGGAGATGATTATGTCGAGTTTGATACGTTTATAAAGAGAGGGAGGAATCAGAGTAGACAGAACTACTTCCCTGGATTGCCTGGAATAGTCAGTTGTATAGCATTCGATCGATCACGTCAGAGTGGCTTCTACGCCGTGGCCACATACAATGGCAACATCGGCCTGTTTGACGAAGCCAACGACGACCTCATCGACATCCTGCCCTATCCACAATCAGCGCCACTGCGCGGTATCACACAGTTACAGTTCTCTCCCGATGGCAGCCATCTGTTTGCTGGCTATCGCAAGTCAGAATACATCATTGGATGGGACCTACGCACGACCACCGCAGTCGAGACCTACTCACTACATCGTCCGGTCAACTCGAACCAAAGATATACATTCGACATTGATCGAAGTGGACGATACTTGATCACTGGTGGGCAGGATGGAGTGATGCTAACATACGACCTGGCCATCACTGGCAACACTCCAACACCAATTGCCACTCAACCACTCACAGGCAACGACAACCAACGTAGTCTCAACTCTGTACAATTCCATCCTTATCTTGACATCATTGCCGCGAGCACAGGTGAGCGAGTGTTCAACATCCCAGACGACGATGAAGCACCCAAACTTGAACATGAACATGGACATGAGAGATCTCTGACGCCAAAGTTATCTTTCTCAATGTGGAGGTAATACAGGCTTGGTCTGATTGATGGACCAATCAATCAATCAAACAGTGTTAGTTTAACTTAGTTCAACTTTATGTCAAAGTCCAGTGTTCCAAAGAGATCGTCGTAGGTCTCGGCTCTTCTGATACATGTGTAGCGACCATTGAGCAGGATGTACTCGGCAGAGCGCAGCTTGCCATTGTAGTTGAAGCCCATGGAGTGCCCATGGGCTCCAGTGTCATGGATCACCAGCACATCATTCCTCTTGATCTCGGGTAGCAGACGACCAGTGGCGAACTTATCGTTGTTCTCGCACAGTGAGCCGACAATATCGTATGACTTGAGTGGACGGGACTCCTCATCCTCGGGCACCATCACAGTGATGTGGTGATATGCTCCATACATGCCTGGACGCATCAAGTTGGCCATACAGGCGTCGACACCTATATACTCCTTGTACGTGGACTTTGAGTGGATGGCGCGGGTGACCAGGCAGCCAAAGGGGCCGGCTACGCAGCGGCCACATTCGGTGACGATGCGGGGCAGTGCGTATGGCAAGCCGGCGCCTTGCACTATCTTCTTGTACTGTCCGGCAATGAGGCTGGTGAGCAGGGTATAGTCGACTGCCGGCTGGTCTGGGTGATATGGGATGCCGATGCCACCGCCCAGGTTGACCAGCTCAAAGGGGATGGCCAACTCGGTCGACAGTTCGACGATCGTGCGGAACAGAAGTGCGGCAGTCTCCTCAAAGTACTCGAGTTGAAGTTCGTTGGAGGCCACCATGCAGTGCAGGCCAAAGCGGGTCACGCCCAGCTGCTTCAGCAATGTGTAGGCTTCGGTCAACTGTTGGCGTGTCAGTCCAAACTTGGCATCCTGTGGCTTACCAATGATGGCATTGCCACTCTTTAGTGGACCTGGATTATAGCGCAATGAGACCAACTCTGGCAAACGTCCATCCAACGATTCTCTCAGATATTCAATTTGTGTAATATCATCCAGATTGATAATGGCGCCCAACTCAAATGCCTTCTGGTATTCCTTCTTTGGTGTATTATTACTTGTGAACATTATCTCTTCTCCTTTGAAGCCAACTATTTTGATTGGGTTTGAATGATTGGGATAGTTCCAAGGGGTGGGGTGGGGGAGAGGTCAGTCCAAGGTCCATGGTCCATGGTCCAAAGGTCGTCCTTTCCAACTTTGTATACATACCCTTCTCAGCTAGTAGGAGCTCGGCCATGGAACTGCAGTCTACACCCATGCCAGCAGTTTTTAGAAGTGATAGGATGTGTGGATTTGGCGTGGCCTTGACGGCAAAGTAGTTGGTGTATGTTTGGAAGTGATGTTGGAAGGCTGAGACAAATGCTTTGGCATTGTCCAACATCATATCACCATTATATAGATGGAATGGTGTTATATCACCTGCAACCTCAATTGCATCATTCACCTGTTCTCTACTAAAAATACACTTCTTCTTCTCACTTTCATTGTTAATGGTGGCACCATTACTATTTCCATTACAGTTGCCATTTGTTGTTTGTAGTTCTACCATCTTTGTTTGTACTGTTCTGTGATTGATAGATTGGATGATTGATTTGATTGATTGATTGATTGATTGTGCTCACTTAAGTCACAAGACGAATGAAAGAATGAATGAATGGATAGATGACTATTCTTTATATTTATAAATGTACACATAACAAAGATACAAAGATATATAATGTAATGTTGAGCTGGAGGAGTCGCAGCAATCGCCCTAACCTGATTGTTCGAGTGAAGACCCATCGTTCGTGATAGCAAAGCTCATAAGATGGCTTGAGTTTTTGGTGTGTAGGCTGGCCCGCCAGAGTGCCATGCTCGAGAAAAAAGTAGTGTTTTTGACTCAATCTTGAGAGATATTTTGATGAAGAATCTATCTTTGTAAATGGAGGAGCTCCTGGCACTGGTTCATTGCTTACTAAGACTTACATATTGATAATCCCAATCCAATCCGGTAACATGTGATGCGTAGCAAACATACATTTGCTGTTTGGATATTTATTTACTTTGCCATCGGACCGATCTTAATCTTATGAATGAAGCGGGGCCGGTTGTCGATACCGGCATCATGTCATTCGGCAATGATTGGATGGATAGCAGTGTAAGTGCAATGAATGGGATGAATGGTATTGATGGCTGAAGGATGATGGATGATGGTGCAATGTTGGTGCGTTGGAGTTGGATGTTGATGGAATGAATGGGGGAGGGGATACGGATGGTCACGACCAACCGCCGCGCGGTAGTGTCCTTTACAATGGGGTGTTCCAAATCACCAGGTGTTCATCATCGATGTTCTTGTAACTCCTTCTCTTTCTGGCTTTAACCAGTGTGATATAACAGACAGCGATAAGGCCGAATAAAAGGGCAACTGAAGCAGCAACACTGAGATTCCAACCGATGTACGGTCCCCAAGTTACCGTTCCACTCTTCCGAATGAATCCATTCTCACCATCAGGTAGTTGAGCACATGGGAAGTTGATCAATGGCCGTGAATCACTATTGCAATCCTATTGATTGATGTGATGGTGTAAGTCAAGGGGAAGGGCAAGAGCAAGAGATAATAATAACTTACAGCATGTATAGAGTTCATCAATCTTGTAAAGTATGAAATGGTTACGACGATGGCTATTAGTGCACCTCCAGTGATTAGTCGTGATGTTTGGGGCACTGTTGACGAGGACTTTTTGTAGCCGAGGAGTAGTACGGTGTGAAGTGCAAATGCTACTAGTACCAGGACAAAGGAGAGTGCCATCATGGCAGTGCATACACGTAGTACACTCTCAGTATCATCCAAATATTCATAACTATTATCACTGGACGTAGTAGAATTGATATTCCTAAAGTGTTTAAAGTACAAATATGTCTTACTTCCATCGCCCCAGTCCAGACGGAACCAATAGACTATGGATTGATTGATACGATTGATTGGATTAGTATGTTGTGGAGTTGAGTTATCATTGTCATTGTTATATATACCTTGAAGAGCAGCAATGTATATACATATTGTCAATAGGAATGTGAATAATGGTAGTAGGTTATAATATCTGTTCATATCCAGATAGTGTAATGTAATGTGATTGATTGGATTGTTGTCGATGTCGATGTTGATGATGTTGATGGTTGATATTTATGTTGAAGTTGATGGTATGATGGATGTCAAATGTATTCGTCCAAGTAGCAGTAGCTGGTCTGACGCAGAAGTAGGATGATTATGTCTTCTTCTGCTTGTAGACAAGCAATGACCATGAGCTGGGTAGTTAACAACAACAACAAACAATAAGTATAATTATCCACAGACCAATGTCTTGTCTCTCTATATATCTCTCTTTGTTCCTCACGATTGTATTATATATAACAAATATAAGTTATGTACGAGATGTAAGTTATAACAACATCAATGCAATGATGTTGTGAGGTCATTGTGGGCATACAAGCAGGCATGACTCTCCTCTAACATACACCATTCCATTCACTTCGGGTTGTGCGAAGTAGCCAACAGATATTTGGGGTCGCGCATGTGTGGGGTGTCTCGTGCAAGCCTAGGAGTGAGGAGAAGTCCTACGAACTCTTAGGGGTTGTTCATTCATCCATTCATTCTTTATTTACTTATTCATTCATTGAATATATATCTACAGATAATACATTCAATCAATCATCCACTTATATAACATACATGATGACCTGAATGAGACTTGGCATTGTCTTTGTCATTGATTAATGACCATTTGTCATCTTGTATGGAGTATTGTTGGTTGTTGTTCTTGCCACCTAGTTGTATGATTGAATGTGAATGTTCAATGTAGACAGCTGGTTGGAATCCAACTGTTGGACACATTGCCAAGTTGGCAAGTTGTCTGGTCGATATTGTATAGCGATGGAATGCACACTTGGTATGAATGTAGATCTGATCAACACCATCATAACAACTCCAAAACATCGTACCGATTGATTCGACAACATTGGCAACTAGTTGTTCAGCAGTAGTGGTGGTGGTCTTTTCATCTGTCATCATGTTGAGCTTGATGATGTTGTATCCAAAGAACATTCCGGCATCCACTACAATCAGACTGTATGATGGTTTGTGGAAGAATACCCGTGTGCCAAACAATCCAGTCTGAACCCGGGCTGGGTAATCAAACTGTTGCGTTACAATGTTCAGACGGGCCACTCGATCCAGACTCTTAGTGCCCAGCTGTCCACCAACCAGATAGATATACTTGTCACCATCGAAACATGATGAGATAAGTCTACCTCCTCCTTGGAATGCGCCATCATAACATTGAGGAGCTTGTTGATTCTCCAAGAATGAGATGCGATAGTATTTGTTTGGTGAGGCACTTCCACCAAACAGATATACATTGCCTTGTGCGTAGACAACAGACATGTCATCCTCAATTGACTTGGCAAAGGCATTCTTGTATGTTGTCCACTTGGATGTCTTTAGAGAGTATGTTGAATACTCTCTCTTGTTCAAAACAACTATTTGAGAGGATGTTGTTGCCGCTTGTTGTTGGACAGGGACAGGCTGTGGCTGATGGACGGGAAGCTGGACATCACTGATCAGTTTGAAGCATGACACGATCAAACTCTGGAGGCTGTCCAACTTTGGTATGTCAATTTTGAATTGATAAGTTTGATGTAGATGGCTAGACTCGGATGTCAGCGAGCTGATATCCTGGGTCATGACTGCACCTCCATAATTGCCAATTGTGTCAACATTTGTTTGAATGAACTGTTGGACAGAGTTACATGATGAAATGGATGTTATAATACGTGGAATGATATCATTATCATCACCAATGTGATTGTTAATGTTATTGTTGTTGTTGTTGTCACTTGATTGTTTGTGTTGTGAGATGTATCTCATCTCGTTGATTATATCATTGATTGTTGATTGAAGTTGTGATCGTTGTACATTGATTGGTAACTTTAACTTATGCTCTTGTTCCATTAACGATATGATCAATTGTTGATATTGAACATGTATTCTCTGGCATGTCTCTTCCAATGATTGATAGGTTGTTGCACATTTCTTCAAACACTTCCACAGACTCTCCAATCTTTCTTCTTCCCTAACATCCATCTCTGTTCTTTGATATGTTTGTTATTATCTCTATCTTGATGTTGGTTGATTGGTTGAATAGTAGTTGAGTGAAGACCAACAAAGGATGTCTAACCTTCCAGGTCCTTCGCTTTGGAACCTTGAAAGTTTGAAAATTGAGTTTATGGGACAAAACGACAAAATGAAGTGAATGAAGTTGAGTTAATGTCACATGCTTTGATTGATTGCTGTTGCCCCTGACTTTGGTGATACATATACATATACATATACAATGTTCTTTCATGTATGTATACTTACCAAACTATGTATAGATGATATGAGCGAACGATTGAATGATCACAATGACATGACATGAACATGATATTGACCCTGACCTCAATATATATACATTATATATAGTTGACTCTAGAGAAAGACCTACATATACATCCAAAGCATTGTGGACCCAACTTATTCAATACAGCAACACAACAACTACATAGTGAAGTGGAGGGCACTTGTTCAGGTCGTTATGGATTCATCATCACCATTACATCAGTGGAGTTTGTCAGCAAGGGCAAGGTGATTGAAGCAACAGGCTACGTCGTCTTCCAAGTGCGTTACAAGGCAATCATCTTCAAACCCTTCAAAGGTGAAGTACTCGATGCCGTTGTCACCAAGGTCACCAATGTATGTTCACATTCATTCATTCATTCAATCAATCAATCATTCAAACATATGACTAACAACATCTTCACTTGATATAGCTTGGCTTCTTTGCCGAGGCAGGACCTCTATCAATCTTTGTATCAACACATGTAACTATACGATAATCATCATGCTCTAATACATGATGACCCTTTACTAACATAACCTCTTTCTTCACAATAATAGCTGATACCTGCGGACATGCAATTCGACGCACAGAGCGCCAATCCATGCTTTGTGTCAGAGGATGGTTCGACAAAGATCAGCAAGGATGATGAAGTTAGACTTCAGATCAAAGGAACAAGAGTGGACGCAACTGAGATCGTACGTGTCACAATCATAATGTGTACAAGCATCATGCATACGAGTTGATCCTAACCTTACCTACCCTTTAGTTTGCAATTGGATCAATCAGAGAAGACTATTTAGGTGTAATTGGATAAGCTTATGAATGAATGAATAGGCAGCTACGACTACTACTATGACAACACAACAGCACACACACATGCGACGATGAAAGATGACTATCACGCGAATATCAATGGGAAGTTGAAGATGAAGGATGAAGAAGAAGAAGATTWAAATGAAGTAAGAGAGCGATTAGCTTAGTGTACAAACATTGAAGGACTGGTTGCCTTATGGTGCAAAGGTTATATTGATTTGAATTGATTGAAAGGAAGGAAGGAGAATGAGGAGGGAGGGAGGGAGGAAAGGAGGAAGGACATCGACGACGACAATGGCAGCAACATGGCGCAGCAGCAACTACCAACTGTCCAGTGAACTGAAGGATATGTTTGATATCGAGTCTTAGAAGGGCGAGTTGTCAACGTCAAAGGAGAGATCGGATCCTTTTAACTCGGTGAAGTCCACGCGACTGCTGAATGCTGATCCACGTGCCTTTTGACTCTTGATCATCGCCAGCAGTCTGAGGAACTGCACACCATATCGTAGTGCCGTCAAGAATATGATAACAATGCCTTCGTAGTCGAATTGGACAGTGTTGTGTGCCACCAAGTACATGAGCAATCCGCCCAACGACAGCACCAACACAAACAGATCGAACCTATTGGACCACAACGTAAAGTACCGACTACGTTGTGATATTATCTGCAATGTGACCTCTGCCAACAACGCCAAGTTGACCATTATATCCAACAGCACGAATAACCAATGAGACGGCAGTACCGTTTGCTTCTTTATAATGTTAACAATGAGCTGTGAGTGTAGGAATGGGAGTAAGTATGATAGATTGATTGATCGACGTCGGGGACATGAACATACCCAAAGTAGGAGTACAAAGTTGATGCCGATCATAAAGATGTAGGCATAGTAGTACTTGTTGGAGAAGAGGACGCGATCGGCGTAGTTTGAGCATTGTCGATCGTTTGAGTGAATAGAGGAGTCGGTATAGGTTGCAAAGCTGGGTGACTCTGGGTCGTGCCAACATGTGAGCACGGCGTCTCCGCCATTAGTAGTCGAGTTGTATCTTGATATTGAAGAATGATGAGCATATTCCCCACTACTACTATTCAGATCACCACTTGTCCTTGATACACTATCATTATCATTTGATTGATTGTTGTTATTGGCATTGAAGTAACTATATGACGCTGCCAATGATTCACTGTTTAAGCCTGGTGTACTTGTGCCACCTCCAAAGCTACTACCATATGATTGAGTTGTTGTAGTTGATGTCGTTGTAGTGGTTGTTGACATTGATTGATTGATTATATTATGACTATTCAAACAAAGAAAACAACAACAAACAAAGATATAAATATCTGTATTTACGCCGATTAATGTGTCTTGTTGTGGTTCGCTCACACTCTTGGCTTTCTGAAAAACAGCAACCACTTCTTCTTTAGGTGTCCCTGGGTCTTGGGGGGACATCACTTTATTCCAAATCAGTCATTATTATTCCATCTTCATCATATGAATCATTGTTATTAATAATTAATTAATCAAAAAAAGATATATTACTTGTATAAGTATACAAATAGAGAGATAAACATTGGATTTTAAAGTCCTAATCCGAAAGGAGTTCAACAACAAAGTATGTTCTTTAGAAAAAGCAAAGCATAGAGTGAGAACACTGATTTTGGGATCTTTGCAGTAAAAACGACAAAGAATGAAGGAATGAAATGAAATTGAATTTGAAGTTGTTTGATTGGGTTGAATGTTCTTACAAACTTTGCTGAATCCCACGCATAAAATATCCAGCGAATAAAAGTTGTTATAAAATAGAATAAAATTTATTCTCTTGATCATAAAAGTTTGACCAGGTGTTGTTTGATCATCAACAAGGCCCTGCTACATATTACCCATCATCAATCACCTCATCACTCGCTCATCAACTTTACATTATACATTCATTCATTCACATACTTAAGTATTTTATTTATTCATTTATTCATTCAAAACACACACACATTTACTCTAGAACAACACACCATAAGGGGTAAGTTCCACTTCAATTCACATTCAATTTCCAAACCAGTACCACGATTAAGATCTGTGGTGAAAGGAGGTTGCGAATGCGTTTGTTAATTGGTTGGCTGGCAGGCTGGCAGGCTGTTTGGTGGTCGGTCGGTCTTGTGGGTCTTGCGATTGAGTTGGTTGAGAGGTGGTGGAAAGAGAAGTTTGGAGGATTGCCTTTATTATCTCTATCTCTATATCTCTATATCTTGTATATACTTGAATTAACAATCAATCAATCAATCAATCAATCAAAACAAACAAAACAAACAATCAATCAATCAATCAGTAGTATTATTAATTAGATAGATAGTTTATTAGGATGTCTGAACCATCATCACCAATTGTAAACAACATCAAGGATACGACTGCGCCCGCGTCGACGACAACAAATGTTGTGGATACAACAGCAGCAGCAGCAGCACCAGCTGTAGTCACACCACCAAAGCAAAAGGTTTACACTTTGGGTATTAGAAGAGAGGATAAGAATAGATGGGAGAGACGTGCCCCTTTGGCACCATCTCACATTGAGGAGTTGGTCAAGAAGGGCATCAAGATCATTGTCCAACCCTCCACTCTTAGAAACTACTCTAACGCTGCCTACCAAAAGGCCGGCGCCATCATCCAGGAGGACATCAAGGAGTGCGACGTCATCATCGCCGTCAAGGAAGTGCCATCCGAGTACCTTTTCCCAAACAAGACCTACATCTACTTCTCCCACACCATCAAGGCTCAGCCATACAACATGCCAATGCTTGATGAGATCAACAAGAAGGTATGTGATCATGCCCATCCATTCAATCAATCAATCAAGTTAACTTACACCATCACACTCAATCGTTCGATAGCATATTAGATTGATTGATTACGAGCGTATCACTGACGAGAAGAATAGAAGATTGGTACGTTTCGGTTCGTTCGCGGGTTATGCTGGCATGATCGACATGCTTCATGCTCTTGGCGATAGACTGTTGGCCAAGGGTTTCTCCACTCCATTCTTGCACGTCGGTTATTCATACGTGTACTCCAAGTTGGAGAACGCCATGGATGCCGTTCGCGCCATTGGCGAGGAGATTTCACAAGTTGGACTTCCCGACGACTTGCTCCCATTCACATTTGCCTTCACCTCTGATGGTGCCGTCGCCCAAGGTGCATTGACAATCTTCAAGCTCCTTCCACACAAGATGGTCACTCCCGATGAGATGGTCGATCTTGTCAAGAACAAGAGTATGTATACACTGAGTAAGCAGCGAATGAATGATGCTAACAAACATGTACATTGAACAGAGGGAGAGCGTGGTATCCTCTATGGAACCATCATTACATCTGAGCACATGGTCGAGCCAATCGATCCAACCAAGAAGTTCGACAAGAATGAGTACTACTCTGACCCATCAAAGTACAAGCCATCTTTCTACCAAAAGGTAATGTTTTCCAGGACCTGTCCAATCTTGTTCAATCAATCCAGTCCACTAACCTCCTTCATTCATCACTTCACAACATATACAGTACGCTCCATATATCTCAATTATTATCAACTGTATGTACTGGGATGCCAAGTTCCCTCGTTTGATCACCATCAGACAGATGGAGGAAATGGTTGAGACTGGCAACTCACGTCTCTTGGGTGTGGCCGATATCTCTGCAGATATCAACGGTTCATTGGAGTTCTTGATGAAGACCACCTCAATCGATCAGCCACTCTATATCTACGATCCAAAGACCCAGGAAATCCACGATCCGTAAGTATTCCATTCCTTCCTGGTGCCAACTCAACCCACTCACCCACTCAATCAACACAGATCTACCGATCAGAAGTACATGTATCGTGATGGTATTATGTTCTTGGCTGTGGACAACTTGCCAACTGAGTTCCCGAAGGAGGCCACTCAATGGTTTGGTGACCATTTGTCAAAGTTCATGGAGGCAGTCGTCAGATCCGACCCAACCAAGCCATACGATGAGATGAATGATCTGCCACTGGAGATCAAGCGTGCCGTCATCACAGCACATGGCAAGCTCACTCCACCATTCGAGTACATCAAGGAGTTGAGAAAGAAGCGTGAGGCAATGTTTGGAAAGATCCTGATTATTGGTGCTGGCTACACCTCACATCCAGTCATCCAATACTTGACAAGAAACCCAAGCCACAAGATCACTGTTGGTAAGTGAACAAATGATTGAATGAATGAATGATCAGAGTGAACAACACATACTAACTCAATCAATCTAACATACTATAGCTGATATTGATATCGAACAAACAAAGAAGGTGTTGAACTTTGAGCCAGACGTTGCTACAGCCATCGTTGATGTGAATGATGTGAAGAAGTTGGATGAGTTGGTCAGCAAGCAAAGTGTTGTTATTTCTTTGTTGCCAGAGGAGCTCAACCTAAAGGTGGCCAAATCATGCCTTCGCACCAAGAAGCATTTGGTCACAGTCGGTTACCTCACCGAGGAGATGAAGGCCTTGGACAAGGAGGCCAAGGAAGCCGGTATCACCTTCTTGAACGAGATGGGTCTCGACCCAGGCATTGACCATCTTGAGGCTGCCAAGGTCATCAACGAGGTTCAAAGCCAGGGCGGCAGAATCAGGACATTCGTCTCCTGGGCTGGTGGTTTGCCCGCTCCAGAGTCCTCTGACAACCCTCTGGGCTACAAGTTCAGCTGGAGCCCAAGAGGAGTGTTGGAGTCGGTCACACTCGACGCACAGTACAAACAGGACGGCAGAGTCATCTCAATCCCAGGCCAGGAGGTCTACAAGAGGACACAGCAGGTGGACATCTTCCCAGCTCTGGCTCTCGAGGGTGTGCCAAACCGCAACTGCCTCGACTTGGCCGATTATTATAACATTACCGACTGCAACACATTGTTCAGAGGCACTCTTCGCTACCAAGGTTTCTGTCAGGTGATGGAGGCTGCCGTCGAGGTTGGTCTCTTGGACGAGACCATCCACGAGTACTTGCTGGCCAACTCACCCAAGCTCTCATGGAATGAAGCGTTGCGCAAGATTCTGCCAGTGCCCCTCAGCGAGGACATCTCCACCGAGGAGATCTTCAGAAGGAAGCTCAGGACCAGACGTGGCTATCCCAACAAGGGCTATGATGACGACAAGATCAGCAAGGTCCTCAGTGTGTTTGATTGGCTGGGCATCTTCTCCAAGACCCTCTGGATCGCCCAGAAGGGCTCATACATGGATGGCTTCTGCGAGCTCCTCAAGGGCAAGCTTGAGTTCAGTCCATCGGAGCGCGACCTCATCATCCAGCATCTCATCTTTGGCATTGAGTGGCCAGGCGGCAAGCACGAGACCAAGACCTCGACATTGGTCTACTACGGTGACAAGGACATCTCGGCCATTGCATACTGCATCGGTTTGCCAGTGGCCATTGCATCGGAGCTCATTGTCGAAGGCAAGTTGTTGAAGCGTGGCGTTGTCGTGCCCACCAGCGAGGAGTACTACAAGCCCATCCTCAAGGCCTTGAGCAATGAGGGTATTGCATTCGTGCATCGTTCTCAGTTTGACAACTACTAAAGCGCCACAGAGAGATCGCAATCAACAACACATTAAACAATATTCAATCGATATGTCCATCCCCTCCTCCCATCCCCTATCCCCAAGACAAGACAAAGAAGTGTAGACATGTAGACGTGTAGACATAGACGTAACTTATTACCAACGTTCATTTCTATGCATGTAGTTAAACAGCAAGCAAGGCAGTGTTGAGTGAATGGATTGGAGTGGATTGGCATGGTATGGCATGGTATGGCGAAGAGTAGGGTATGGTTTGTTATGGTACATCATCTCACGCGCATTACGACTGCTCCAACTCATTGGCAGCCAATGCCAGGGACTTGAGGTTGTTGATGAGTTTGCCCGGTTGGTTAATGTCTGGATGCTTGTTTACAAACAGCTCGTTGTGGAAGTGATGTGACAGGTCGGCGTAGAACTGCTGGATCTCAATGGCTCTCTGCTCCACCTGCTTCAAACGTGGTCCAACCTCGTCCACCCTCATTGTAATGCTCAGGATTGATTCCCGCAGTGCTGTGATCCTTGGATCCTCCTTGCGTGCGACTGGTGCTGGTGCAGGTGCGGCTGCCTGGCCTGTCGCTTGAGATTGAGGTTGACGAGCTGGCGTGGCATCTGGCTGGCTCAACGTCGATAGGAAGCTCGATGTAAGATTGTGCTTGACGACCAGTGGCGTACTGAACGGTTGAATCTGTGGCGCTGGCTTCTTCTTGGTGGTCGAGTTGAAGTGCGTGGTGGCGCCCGTCCTAGTCGGCCTGGATGGTGTCTTGAGTATGACGCTGGATCCAAAGTTGGCGTTGCCATTGGAGAACGCGTTGGCACCACTGCCATTCTGATTGGAGAACTGGCTCAATATATTCTGCCAATGCCTCTCCTCTTGTCTCCAACGTTCTATCAGTGTGTGCAGTGTTGATATCCTCTTCTCGACCTCCATGTTCTTGTAGTTTCTAAACATTGTCAACTGACTCTGTTGTTGTCTCTGTTGGTGTTGCTCATTGATATCGCTCACCTTCTCCACTGGAATCTTGGACACCTCAATCGTGAAGTTCTTACATATCTCTCGCACTTAAGAATGAATGAATGAATGAGTGTCAGTGATTGATTGATTGAGTGGTCGGGCGGCCGTGTCCACAGTCCAGGCCCAAGATTGGTATTAACATACATGTCTTCTTAAAGTTGGCTGGCGTTGTATTGAGTTGTTTGGTTGCGATACCCTTGATAATCTCTAGCATGTCTTTGGTGTCCTTGGCAATACTGATCTTGATTGATTCCTGTTGTTGTTGCTGCTGGGGAGGTGGCTGAGACAAAGGCATTGCCAACGGTACTATTATGTTGTTGTTGTTGTTATCGTTGCTGTTGTCAACGACATGATCAAGCTTGGCCTTCTTCTTGATTGCCTGTGGCGTTTTGTCGTTGTTGTTGACACTTGAAGATGATGAGGTATGGTCCATGGGTGGCAGGGATGCGTCGGCGAATGGCACGTCAGGTTGTGTCTGTACATTGTTGCGGCCTGGTGTTAATGTTGCTGTTGCTGCGGTTGTTGTTGTTGTAGTTGTTGATGTTGATGACGGTGATCCAGTTGGACTGTGAAGCTTCATTGAACCCATCATTGATATTGCAGAGTCTGTTGAGGCCATTGTTGGTGATGGTACACCAACTCCATCATTGTTATTCTCTACATTCTTTGATGATGGAGTTGAGGCCTGCACAGCGGTCGCAGCAGCTGCTGGTGCCATAGGTGTTGCAGGAGCAACCAATGGGGCAGGTTGTGGTTGCTCCTGTTCCATCTCCTGTGTCTGGTCTACAATCTGGGCATCAGCGGCACCATTCTGTTCCTGTACCTGTACCTGTTGTATCGTAGATGTTGTAGTTGTTGTGGTAGTTGTGGTCACATCCTTGTCAACCTGTTGCTCCTTCTGTTGTTGGTCTTTCTCCTGTTCATTCTGCTGTTGTTGTTGTTCCGGTTGTGAGGAGGATTCAGGTCCATCCTGATGAGTTCTCTTTCTAAAGTTAACTTGAACTAAGTATCATAGGTCAGTCAGTCATTCATTCATTCATTCAAAGATGGGATTGAGTACACACCAGTATCTCCTCTAACAGTGCTCTGTCTTCGGTTATATGTTGATGTCCTCTTCTTATAACTAAACATTATATTGATCTATCTATCTATCTGTCCTGTCTCTCTATCTGTATATATAATATAACAAGTAGTTATACTTGATAATGTATCATCTCAATATCAAAGTAAACTAATTCGAATTTTGGCGCCATGACAAACCCCCAACACCAAAATCAAATATTTGAAGTTCGAAAAAATCAATTTCCAATAAGGGGTGCTGTTTGGTACAACTATGTCAATCAAATTACCTTCACTTCACTTCACTTCATTTTGTTCAGCACAACAACACATAATATAAGATACCTTTATTTACATATCTTACTTATATTATTCATGAATATACATAGACTATTGACTTGACAGTGACAAAGCAAACTTGTCACAAGATCATTATCATGATAATGAATGAATCGATCAAGTATACATATCAGTTTAAAATCAACCTTTGTATCGACAAACAGACAAAACATACAACATGCAACAGATTCTCAATCGAACGAAACAGTATGTCCTTTCAATCGTTCAATCATTCAATCAATCAATCAATGATCCACTAACTCATTCATTCATTCATGATATTAGAATATGATGATGTATGCATCTTTACAAACAATTCAAAGCTGAGTCGTTCGGATATAGAGATATTACTACAGAACAATATAGCAAATATCATTTGTAATGAGAAGGAGATTGATGTTCAACTCTGTGCACCAAATTCATTGATGCTTGGTTCATTCACCATTGTGAAGGAGTTGTCAAGAGTACCAGCATCTGTTGGGCGTTCAATATCTGGCTTTCAACAACAACAACAACATGATGATCATATCACTCAAGAGAATATAGATAAACAATGGTCGGATATTAGCAATATACTCAAAGACTTGGAATATGCTGGTTATGTCGAATCTGATAAGTTCCCAAAGCACGTTCAAATATCATCATCGTCATCATCATACATTTCTCCCGAACTCGAGGACCCAATTGACAATAGCGACGATCAGATGAAGGACGGAACAAAGGCCATGCTCACATCAGATGAAAAAAGAAAGTATTTCTTCAATTCCAAGTCATCATCATTAGCATCGACATCCTCCAGCTCATCATCGTTATCAAAGCCATCTGGAGCTTCCAAATTCAACCTTGCCCACACTCTACTCCCTGGCCAAGTGAGACTGCCGTCCATTGGGCTCACAAAGTCATCACTCTCTCAAACACAGTTCCAATTCGGCGCCAACAAGAAAGAGTCATTGCACGTCACCAATCAAAGTCCCATGCACCCAGCCAAACCAACACGTCTCAACAACACTAGCAGCAGCATCAGTAGCAGTAGCAATGGAAACTCAACAACAAAAACCTTTGATCATTTCAGGAAGTTGGCAGAAGCGCCGCTGCCATCGACCAGGCCAGTCTTCAGGCAACCACAAGAAGATGAACCTGAGGATATTGAGAGTCTCTCTGGGGAATCAAAGGATCACAAAGAGCAACAAAACATATCATCCTTACGATTGGCTACAACCTCATCCTCCACTTCCTCCTCATTATCATCATCCACATTCAAGAAGGACAACACTGGTATTGGCTATGGCAACAACAACAACAACAACAAACCTCCAATAACGAATAATATCAGGAACATTGCAAGCAGTGTAAACAACAGCAAAAGGAAGTTTGACGATAGCCACTCGGGACCAGTCCAGCCATACAAATCACATGCCACATCCACTTCATCATCATCATTTTCTAGGGATGACTTGAATCTATCCAAGAAGCCTGACTTTTGGTCCACCTTCCTACTCACCAATAATGACAAACCAAAGAGAACAAACTTGCTCAATGAGAAAGGGTAAGTACCGTGTGTATTGCTCCATCTCCTTGGGCACTCTACTGACACAATCAATCAAACAATCAACACTAGCTTTAAGAACTTGGGCAACACATGTTATATGAATGCAGTGTTGCAGTCATTCTTTGGTATCAACTCCATCGTGATGGATTTGAAGAACAAGGATTTGTGGAAGTATCTGGATGCAGATGATACCTCCACGACAACTGCGACGACGACAACAACACAACAACCAACAACTGGCTTGTACTCATCACTACTGTCATTGTTGCAAAAGAAGGAGAATGGCAAAGAGTCGACAAAGACACTGTTTGATTTCGAGCGAGGCATCGATACCAAGTCATTGAAGCAAGTGATTGACTCTTTCAATCCATACTTCAAAGGCTATGCACAGCACGATGCACAGGAGTTCCTATTGTCACTGATGGACTTGCTGGAAAAGGAACTCAAGGATCAATTGGAGAAGGAGAATGGTCGACGTAGACAGGCGGCTGCCTCAACAAAGAATGACAACAACAACGACAACGACAACAACAACATTAATAATGATGAGCTGGTTAACGAACAAGGCGAACATAAGGACACACATGATGATGATAATCAAACAACAACTACTATCACTACTACAACGACAACGACGACCGACGACGGCGCCGCTACCACCGACAACATCAACAAGACGAACAATAAGTTGATCAATATCTCATCTACTATATCGAGTATATGTCCGATCGCCCGCAACTTTAGATCGACAATCACCAAGCTCATCACCTGTACAAAGTGTAAAGACATGACAACAACCCTAGAGGTTTTCACGGATATCTCACTTGATATCTTGCATTCACCGTAAGTACCCTTCATAGCTGACTTGGCCGGCCAAGACTGACTAATGACTAAACATCAACATCCTTCCAAACAGATCCAAAACCTACGACATCCAGGAGCTTTTGGATATTTATTTAAAGGAGGAGAGGATTGAGAGGAAGTGTGAGGTTTGCTCTCATGGCGAATCGATCATCTCCAAACACTTCTCTGGTGCACCCAAGGTGCTGGCGCTGCACATCAAGCGTTTCAAACGACATCCCATCACATCAACAATCACCAAAGATGCCACTATCATACTGCCAGTCGATCAGATATCAGTCTCCATTACTTCCCCTCGCAATACCAACGACATCGACAACTGCAATGGAAATGGCAATGGCAATGGACATCATTCAAAGTCAATCACTACCAATGGCTCAAACAGTACCAAATCATCATCAACGCAAAAGACAGCAACAAGATACAAACTGCAGAGTGTCATCCAACACAAGGGAGAGTTCAGTCACTTTGGTCACTATGTATCATTGGTCAGGAAAGATGAAGGCAATTGGAAGTGTTTCGATGATGACCAGGTCAAGGAGGTATCTGTCACATCGCTCAACGAGGAGTTATTGACCAATGGATACCTTTACTTTTACACACGAATGGAATAAATGTCATACAATCGAACAAAGGAAAGCAAGATATTACTTGTATGCGCTTTTTTTACTACATTGATCCAACTACTATTTAGTAAGTTCCAAACATTATGTCGAATATAGTCGATGTGATTCCAAAGTTCTTGGTGTCATCCTTGTAGTGATGATTGAGATGGTTGGACTTGAACTCCTTCAACTTCTCGGGCAACCAAGAGATGTCTCCATGATGGAAGTAGTAGTGCAATGTATCATAGAGCATGTAACCAAAGGCAATACCTCCATACAGTGCCCAATTGAATCCAGTTGCCTGTAACCAATCAGGGAATCCAAGGAACAATTTCCAAAATCCAAATGCTACTCATTGATTGATTGATTGATTGTTAGTGAATGGATGAATGTGTATTCTGATTGACAAAGACATACCAATTACTGCAGAGAACATTGGAGGGAATGTGAGTCTGGTGGCATCATATGGCGTGAGATGATGAATACCATGGATAAAGAAATGTAGGAAGTTGCCCATGTATGAGCTTGTTTCAATGTGAAAGATGAATCGATGTAATATATATTCAAAGAATGACCATGAGAATAGTCCAAATGTGAACACAATTGCTGAGAACAATACTGAGCTATTGGGTTGTGTGATTGATGTATAGAATGTAAGTGTGATAATTGGTATCCACTGTATTATTGATTGATGGATGGATGTTAGATATTGGAATGATTCCTTCCTTTCCAGCAAAAATTGTACAGGAACATACCAATGGGAAGATGTACCACCATGGCCACCTTGTGAACAACTCTAGGAAAGGACTATCAAAGATGATGATCTCCTTGAGACCAGTCTGTGAGTGGATCCACCTCAGGTAGGTCGAACCTGGTAGATTCTTGAGCTGTGGTAGGATGGCCTTTGTAACGTCGACCAGTCCTTCCAGAGACTGGTCCTTGCTAACGGTGTTTAGGTTGTTCAGTTGGCTCAACTTGACTTTGGAACGGATCAGTTCAGAGACGGATGGAGCCGACTTGCGATAACCGCGCAATGTACCAATCTTGTATCTCTGCAACATATTGTATGCAGTCTCTGAGTGTTCGTGCTCCGTATCATCTAGAAACACCTGTGAGATATCCTTTCCAAGATGAGGCGCCACTATTTCCGAGCCACCCGGATGATCATATATGAACTGGGAGACATCAAATACATTTCCATCCAATGTAACCCAAGCATCTTCTACAGTATCATGTTTGGCAACCTCCTCAACACTGAAGCTTTCGCTATCACAATTTGCAATCATGATTGTGACGATTCGTTTTAACTAAAGCTAGAAGAATTAATTTGACTTTGTCTTTGTCTTTGTCTTGACTTATATAAATATTTTATATATATATATTTATATATATTGTAAGGTGGATGATATGATATGATATGAACAACAACACGCGCGCAAAGTAATACGAAGCTAGCTATCTGAATGAATGAATGAACAAGTTGTTGTTGTTGGATTGGAATGTGAATGAGTATGTGAGTGCACTTGGGGGGTGAGTAAGTAAGTGAAGTTGATAATAAATAGTTGTGTGTGAATGAATGACACTAGTCAATTCTCTTGTGTGTATTTGAGTAAGTAAGAAGTAATAATTAATGTGTGTATATGTGTGTGTGTATGTGTTTCGTAAGAATGAGAGAGGTGGTGGGGTGTAGTCCCAAGATTGAATGAAGGGATGTATGAGTGATAGGGAAGTAAGTGTAAGGGGTAGAAACAAGATCGTCTTGATTAGGTAAATGTTTATCAATGAGAGTGCTCGAGTGTCAGAAGCTCTTGGAATGGAAGGTCTCTCCTTGTTCTGTTGACCAATTGAATTTAAATTCATTTAACATCACAATAACACCACAACATGTACCTACATACACACAAACAACAAACAATGACATTCATCATAATAGGTATGTGTGTCGTGTAGTGTCGTACGAATGATGGTAGATCATTGCCATCGACATCAGTGTCACATGGTTGGATGGGATGGGTTGTGTGTAGTGTGTTCTTTGAGTAGCGGAGAACGGTCCACCCCCAGGCCATCTGGCCCCGGTGTCATCACACCCCCTGGCCCCAAATAAGGTGCAAGGGTGCACCTAAAAACAATAATCTTTTGTGTCGAAGACGAGACCAAACAACACAACCATCTGTTTATCGCGACGACAACATCCCTTTGTTTGTATTAAATTATTATCACTTGATTCTTTTTCTGACTTTTTATTAATAAGATAGAGATTATTAGTTTGTTTTGACTTAATATGTTTGAAGATACATTAGATGTGACTTCACAGAGATTCATTGAACGTATATATATGTTGTTGTTAAAACATTTCAATCAAATCAATAATCAACAAATGTTTGAAGTTGGATGTTAATTCTGTTTATGGTTGAGTCTTGCCAAAATATCAATCAAGGTAATTGGCTGAATTTGAATTGCAGCGAGAGAATGAGAAAGACAGATATTAAACATAAAGTTTTATTCAAGATATATAAAAACTATTAATTTATTTATTTAACATCTATCAAACGAATAATAATAGTTAATGTCTCACGCCACTCGTGATACTGCTCACCATTTATGGGCAATTCGCGCATCATCCTTTGTAAATTTCAAAGTTGGTGGGGGTTGCCCAGTCCCCCTCCATACCATACAGTAAACGACCCATTTACACACACTAATTCAAACACTTAACTCCTATGCGTGCCATGCCCAGTCCAATCTGTATCTTAACTTAACCAAAAGATGGCTTGGCTTATCCTGTGTGTTGTCATGTGTGTTGAACAACCGCAAAGACAAGAAATGGATGATGAATGATGTTGGCATGACTCCTTCTTCGTCCTTCCTTTACTTTATTCATTTGCATTTGCATTCATTATCTATCTTCTTACTCTTCATTCATTCAAACATATACATACGTAATACATCAATCCATCAATCAATCATATATATATATATACATTATTTGTAATATTATTAATATCTTGTACACTTTATAAATATAATACGTTAACGAAATAACGAACTAATCAATCAAAAAGATGGAAAGTGCTATGGAAAGAATTAGATCCTTAACAGGACATTTGGGAGTTGATGATAGTTCATCACCATTGTCAACGAATGATACTGCATCGTTGGTCCAACCACTCAAGACTTCAACTCCACTCGAGTGGAGAATTCCAGTGTTGGACGATTTCAAGGTCGAGAAGTTAAAGAGTACAATCCTCGGACATCCAGACGAGGAGAATATCGAGAACCGTAGATTGTTGCTCGAGGCGATGAGAGATCCACTGTTCAGACCACAGCTCTATGCCACCGTGCCAGAGCAACGCGAGCTCACCCTCAAGCGTTTGAGAAAGGTGTCCGAGCTGCGCATTCTCAAAATGGGCGAGATCGCTCAAAAGTTCAAGCGCTTCGTCAGCTTCCAAGAGTCTTTGGTCCTGTGCGACATGTCCCTCTCGGTCAAGTCATCCGTGCACTGGGGTCTGTTTGCCGGTAGTGTCGTGTTCCTTGGCACTGAGAAGCATAGACAATACTTTGACGACATTGATATTTGCAATATTCTCGGTTGTTTCGCTCTGACCGAGATGGGACATGGCAGCAATGTCAAGGGAATCGAGACACTGGCCGAGTATGACAATCGCACTCGCGAGTTTGTCATCCACACACCAAACGATACCGCTCAAAAGATGTGGATTGGCAATGCCGGTGTTCACGGAACAATGGCCACAGTGTTTGCCAACCTGGTGGTCAATGGTGAGAACCATGGCCTGCATCCATTCCTCGTCCAGATCCGTGATCCAAAGACCAATGCCACAATGCCAGGTGTCACAGCCGCTGACAATGGCCCAAAGATGGGACTAAATGGTGTGGACAATGGACGTCTGTGGTTCAACAAGGTTCGTATTCCCTACGACAACTTGCTGGATCGTTTCGGTGGAGTCAACGAGAAGGGAGAGTACACCACCCCAATCAAGAATCCAAACGTGCGCCAGAACTCAATGTTGGAGGCACTCATTGGAGGCAGAGTCACCGTCGGTGCCATGGCCCTCCAGGCTGCCAAGCTTGGACTCACCATCGCCGTTCAATACGCACTGCAGCGTCGCCAGTTTGGCAACCCAGAGGAGTTGCTCATCGACTACCTCACTCACCAGCGTCGCCTGTTCCCCTTGATCGCCGCCACCTACGCCTACCAGATCACCTCGCATTACATCATCGACAAGTTCAGCACTCGTTCCGAGAAGGACGCTCGTGACGTCTTCCTGATGGCCTGTGGTCTCAAGGCCACCGTCACATGGCATCGTTCAGAGACCCTGCAGATCTGTCGTGAGTCCTGTGGAGGCTTTGGCTTTGCCGCCAGCAGCCGAATTGGTCTTTACAAGAACGACGCCGACGTCGATCTCACCTACGAGGGTGACAACACAGTCCTGATGCAAGCTGTCGCCAAGGCACTGTTGATGGAGTTCAAGTCCTACTTCACTGGCGCCAAGGCCATCACTGGCATGCTCAGCTACACCTACTCAAAGGGCCACATCGGCATCTTCCTGCGCAACAAGAACTTCTTTGTCAAGCGTCTTCACACCGAGGCACATCTCCTCGACCCAGAAATGCTGCTCGACGCCTTCATCTACCGCGAGTTCAAGGTTCTTCGCCAACTTGTCAAGTCACTTCGCACCAAGGTCAAGAGCGAGAAGATGACTGGAGCCAAGGCTTGGAACGCCTCTTTGGACTTGGTCATGAAGCTGGCCACCTGCTACGTCGAGCGTCTAACCATCGAGAGATTCCTTCAGGAGATCCAAAAGTCATCCGATGATGTCAAGCCAATCCTCAACCTACTCTGTGTACTTTTCTGTTTGACAAAGATTGAGCGTAAGTAGTACTGATCAGTTGATGACCAATCAATCACAAGTACTAACCCAAACAACCAATAATATAATATAGGCGACATGGGATGGTTCTTGTCCAACAAGTACTTTGCACCAGTCAAGGCTCAGGCTATTGAGAATGCAATCAACAAGGTCTGTGTGTCCATGAGGGATCACGCACTTCCCTTGGTTAAGGCTTTCGATATCCCAGACTACCTCATCAGTGCACCAATCGCTGGAGACTATGTTGCTCACTTCTCCGATCCAAAGAACTACTAAATCGATCAATCAAACAATCTAACGAACCAACGAGTGAGCGCAACCATGGATACGTATCCATGACCGAATCGAACAACCAATCAATCTATCAAATAATATCCACTATGCATGTATGCACTTCATCCTTTACTTGATAAGACGTGTTAGCTCGACTAGTGAGCTGCCAATCTGAATATCATAGACAGCCAGTAGGGCAGGTGTTGGCTTGAACTTTTGAGGCAGGGACTTGCGATTGACGACAACTTTGTAGAGTGATGGATGTGTCTCGAGGACGGTGAACAGTTGTTGGAACAATGGCAGAGTCAGATTGAAATACAACGTGAGTGTCTTGAGCTTGTTGTTGTTGGACACACTGGTGAACAGTGATGCCAGGTCGCTGGGCGACTCGCCATAGATGTTCGTGACGGTGAGATGCTCGATCGATCGATTGCCAACCAACATGAATGCCAAATTATCCAATCGCATTATATTGCTACTCTTGGCAATGGCCAGCGAGTTAAGACGCTCGTGCTTCTGCATGCCCATCATCAGTCGGTCAAAGATGGGACCATTGTCATCACGCTCATACAACACGGTGAGATGATTGAGTTGCTCCGGCAACATGAAGTTGAACGTCAACAGCTCGCTATGCGTACAGATGGACGATGGTGCCAACAGACGCAGCGTGAGATCCTTGAGTGAGCGCTGTCTTTGTATGTTTCGCGCGACCGACACAGTGGTGGGGAGGGCCGAGCCAAGGGTCCTGATTGTGTCGCTGCGGAGAAGGAACGACAGGAACTGCTCGCTGGCCTGCGGGAAAGCAGTCGACAGCCAGGCCAGCTCGGGGACCATCTGAAGGGTGGCCCACGGGTACTCTTCCTCCTTTGTGAACTTGGTCTGCAGGTCGACCTTGGTGAGCTGCGGGAATACTGTTGGACAGCCCGCCAACAATGTCGCGAGCAGTGTCGGGTGGATGTCCAGCACCATCTTGCGCACATTGGACAGAGAGCGCACATAGTCGATCGTGGGCTGGTACTCGTCCTCGGCCAGAGCACCAGTGTGTGACTGCCAATTGCTAAACACCAGACACACCTTGCTCAAACATCGACTGACCTCTTGAGGGATCAGGGCAAAGGTGGCCGCGGGGATGGGATGGGTGATGCGGATGTACAGCTTGTTGAGGTGGCGCTTGTACTGCGTGGATTGTACGCGGTCTAATGTTTGAATGACATGTTGGAAGCGTGGATGCAACAATGTAGCACTGTCAACAATGAGCAACTTGAGACGCGCAAAGCATTTGGAGTCGATCGTGTCCAGTTGTGCGGGCGAGTCGATATGTTGCATGGCTGAGATGCGTTTGTAGCGATTGTTTGACGGTTCGACCAACAGGCTCATTGTGTAGATGGCCGAGGTGAGCGAGTGTGCGCTCAGCAGGCTGTTGGTGAAGTTGGGCAGATGTGCGTTGTCCAGGTAGTACTCCCAATGTTGGGAGTCGTCCAATCTCGAATGGATGTTGGCCACATACTGAAGGTAGCTCTTGGACACCAGGCTCAATGTAGCCCGATCATTCTTTGAACAATGATACAAGTATCTAACAATCAACTTGTGCACTGTTGGTGGCAGGTCATGAAGTATTTGTGTTTGAACATTGACGTCCATCTCTCTCGGTCTCGGTTGATTGATGTGTGAGTGGTGGAATGATTCCAGGTATGAGTGTTTGAATGATTGGAGTTGTTTGGTATAAGGGCGTGTGTTCTATCTCTTATCTCTTTACATGGATTGGTGTCATTAACTGACAGTTGATCAAAAAAATATCAGCATTTGGGATAAAAACGAGTTTTGATCAAATCAAAGAAATTGATCGGAAGAGATGGTGAAGAGTGTGAGTTGTCACCAGCCCAGGCCTCAAGATGTGTCCTTTCAAGTACATTCAAACCTATCATACATTCAAACAATCAATTATTTTTATATTTGTTATTATTATTATTTATAAATAATGGAGGACAAGTCGAATGTACCAATGGTCCAACCTCAGGGCATTGTAAATGTTCCAGAGGGTCGTGTACTGACAGGTGAGGACATTGATACGTTCAAGATCTATCCGGATCATGATAAAGTAGTTCTAGAGTCATCCAGAGAGGATCTCAAAGTACCAAAGTCAATCGCCTTCTTAGTCAATGATCTAATGTCACGTGAAGAATGCGCGTATGTTCAAAGTCCGCTCACTCATTCAATCAATCACTCACTCACTCACTCAATGATACCTACATGCACACTCAACTACTATAGGTTCTACATTGAGGAGTCACTTCGTAAAGGATATGTTACCATTGAGAAGGAGTTCCCAAAGGAGTACAGGAACAACACAAGAACACTTGGCAAGAGCAAGACCTTGTCAGCTATTCTCTGGAGTCGTCTTCAGTATGTTTATATATGACGGGCGGGTCACATGTGATTGATTGATCGATCGATCGATCGATTGATTGGAAAGATTCCAGACCACTCAAGCCCCACCATCAGTCCACTCACTTGATCATCCTCACTCACTATATCACTCAATCAATCAATCATCATACTATAGACGACACATTAGAATGGAGGAGTTGGAGGGCATTAGACCTTATGGATTTGATCAGGAGGGAGTTTGGATTCCAGTGGAGCTGGATGATTGTTTCACGTTTGGTCGTTATGAGCCAGGTGGAAGGTTCAAGCCACATTTGGACGCGACGTACGCAGAGTCGCCAGACAGAAGAAGTATCTTCACCATGCAGATCTACCTCAATGATGATTATGAGGGTGGAAAGACCAACTTCTTCCTGCCAGCCAACCCATTGGAGGTCGACAAACATGTGTTGTCCGCATCGGTCACGCCCAAGACTGGCATGGCTGTGCTGTTCAATCACGACACACTGCACGAGGGTGCTATGGTGGACAAGGGCGTCAAGTACATCATGCGTGTGGACATGATGTTCTTGCGTATCGATAAAGGCTATAGATTGATGTCCGATGAGAACAAGGCCAAGATGATGCGTGCTCGTGAGCTCTTCTTCAAGGCTGACAGTCTCGAAAAGGACGATGGTGACCTTGAGGCCGCCATCGCCACCTACGTCGACGCTCAAATGCTCCTTGCGGCGTTGCCATCGATCGAAGAAGACACGAAACCCACGACCTCAACACCAGACGCAACCTCCACTTCGACCTCCACGACCACCACATCGACGGGCAAGCGACCAAAGACACCGCCCACACCTCGCCAGTTGACCATCTTTGACATACCCGAGTACATCTTGAATGATATGTTGGTCACATTGAACATGAAGGATCTGTGCAGCTTCCGTGGCTCATGCAAGGAGTACCTCAAGACATGCTCCAAGAACAGTCTGTGGAAGAACGTATACATCAAGCTGTTCTCGTATGAGGCCTTCAAGTTTGAGGAGCCAAACGCAGTGCTGCTCGACAAGCCCAAGACCAAGCTGAGCTTTGGCAGTATGATGAAGAGATTCAGTCGCGTCGAGGTCACCCTCGACCCACGCTGCTGGTACCTCACCGTGCAGAACGTGTACGCTGCGCTCGTCCAGCATCACTTCCTCTTCTTTGACGTGGGCCGCGAGTTCACCAAGTTCTGCGACCACAGCTCCGTCTACAAGATGATCCCCACGCGCGCGTCCGTGCACTACGAGTACGCGCCTCACTATGCCATGTCGTCGCTGGACCGCGAGTCCTGGAGCGTGGGCTACAACGCCAGCTACTCGTCGTACCAGCAGCCGATCGCCAGCGGACTGTTTGAGCCCAATCGCCTACAGTGCCTCAACGAGATCATCAAGCACTGCATGACCAACGAGGTCAGTCGCCGCTACCGTGCCACTGCGCCCTACATCTTGTGTCTGGCGCCGCCCATGATTGGTAACGTTGAGCAGATTCGCTTCCTCGGCTCCCTGCGCACCAAGCAGCACAACGACTATGTGCAATACAAGGCTGCGGCGCTGTGTGTCCTCCAAGGCTTTGGCCTGGACACGGGTGTCGTTGTGATGTGTGGCGCCAACACTACATTCATCGTGACCGTGGCTAAGACGCGTCAGTTGGCATACACCGCCTACCCAGTCCACGGTGGCACGGTTACCGAGTACCTCACCACCAAGTTCAAGGAGTATGGCGCACCAGCTGATGCCGCGCACCTGTTCGCCCCGGCCAAGGTACGCTACGGAGGCACGCAAGGCAATATGGAGTTGATACCCGAGTGGTACAAACAGTGTCGCGTCTCCATGAACTACAAGGTTGACGCGTCCAAGTCTAGCATTGGAGCGGCCATGCAGTACACTGCCGCTGAGCTCATGTTTGACCCATCACTCAAGAACATCAACTCTGTCAGTCTCGTGGAGATGACAGCTGACATGGTCACCAAGTCCGAGGCCAAGGATCTCCTCAAGCATGTCGTTATCACAGGTGGAAACAGTGTAATTCCAAGTATGTATATATTGGTTGATCAATGGAATGATTCCAATATGACCATCACCCACTCACACTCAATCAATCAATCAATCAATCAATCCAATCAACATAGACTTTGTTGAGAGATTCACAAGGGACTTCCACGTGCTAATGCCAGATATTGAGGTGTTGGCAAGTGATGACCGTATGAATGACGTGCTGAAAGGTGCCAAGGTAGATCAAGCTCTGTCCAAGTCACTCCACGCCGACATGAACACTCACATCAAGCAGCCAATTCTTAAGAAGAAGAAGTAGTGGAAGTAGTTGATGTAGTTGTATCTAGTTATGTGATCTTATGTAGTAGTTTGACACTCACTTCAATCCAATCATTGTTGTTGGGTCCAATCCTTTTGGTCGAGTTATTAAAGTCAAATTTCCAAAGTGATCGAGTTGATCGCGATCCATCAGCCCCCCTTTGCATGTCGTTTTCAAGCCGGTTATCTGAAAAGCCCTTATTACTGCCTGAGGCAGGTGTTGACCCAATCATTCAAAGCAATGTAGACACACATACGCACATCTGGACCTGGGATAGATGGATGGAAGGTACTATCCTGCTCCCCTCAAACACACTCTCACAAGTGCTCATGACTTAGTCTCTCCCTCATTAATATAAGGTCCTTCTTACTTGTGTGACCATCTTATATATTATACAAATATAACAAGGATACAGATAATCACCACTGATGATGGATCAGCTACAACTACCAGATAGTAACAACAAGTTGAGGTCAATGTCCACTGGCTACTTGATTGGTAGGAGTGCTGGAAATGTTGCCACGGCCTTGCTTGTGCCCAATCATCAGTCAACAGAGCAACCTGGATCAGGATCAGGATCAACACAATCAACAATCAACAACAACAACAACACAACAAATACAGATGATGATGTTGATGGTGTCGATGATGGTGATGCCTCCAACACACTTCCACAACAACATACACCCGCCACCATTACATCACCATTGGTCATAGGATCAGTGATGGATCAGGGTGATGATGACAAACCAAAACGACCATACTCCATGCCACAACCATTGGACCCAAGCAACCCTGCTGTTGCCTCCATCATCCCAACATTCAAACGTCCACCCGTGCCCAACTCAAACTCTCCCCTCTTCTCAGTAATATATGACAAGTATGTACTCACCCTCTATCAATCACTGGAATCATTCCACTCACAAAACAATCAATCATTCAATTAGGTCCAGCTCTGAATTGAGCGAGGTGGATCAAGAGGACATGTTGGTGCGTACCAATCTCCAGAAGATAGTACTGTCAAGGAATAGGCTGACGACAATACCTGAGCGCATTGGAGAGTTGCTCAAGGTACACACATTGGACTTCTCCTACAACCTGCTCCAACAACTGCCTACAACTATATCATCGCTCAATCAACTCACCACTTTACTGTTGGCTGGCAACCAACTGTTGGTGGCCGCCACCGATGACTCGTACAAGGACTATGTGGCGGCTGGCAACATTGACACCATCGGCGATGATGATGACGACGTTGTGAGTAGTGACACAGATGCTGAGGAGGAAGAGGAGCTATGGGTGCGATCAAAGCCTCGCAAAGGATTCATGAGTAATGCCGAGCGAAGAAAGTCAATCAGATTCCCAACTGTCATCGACTTTAAGAAGTTGGCAGAGAAGATGGAGCTGGCCGCGGCAGAGAAGACAGAGGTGGCTGCGTTGAGCCCAGAGAGCAGCCCACAGCCAGCGCCATTCGAGTCGTTGCCCACTGACCTCAGCTACTTGCCATCGCTCACAAAGTTGGATCTGAGCGCCAACGTAGCACTCAACTGGCAGGGCATGACATACCTGCCACCAAGTATCTTTTGGTACAGCCAGATCACGACACTGCTAGCCACACACTGCCAGCTGTTCTCAATCCCCTCGGACTTCCAGCATCTCACAGCACTCACTCAATTGGACCTCAGTCACAATGAGCTTATCGATCTGCCGCTCGAGCTCGGCCTTCTCAGCATGCTCAAACACCTCTCACTCCAACACAACCGTCTCCAGAGCGTACCTGGCGACCTATCCGGGCTGTCCAGCTTGATGTCCCTGGACATGTCACACAACGAGCTTGTCGACATGCCAACTGAGCTTGGATATCTCTTCAGCCTTGAGACCATCGACTTATCATTCAATCAACTGGCGTGCATCCCCGATCAGTGGTTCGCTTCACCCGACCCCAATGTGGCGCTGTTCGCGCTCAAGGATCTCAAGGCGCGACGCAACTGCCTTGACACACTTCCCGCCAACTTATTCCAGTGTGGATGTCCCTTTGAGAGACTCGACCTCTCAGAGAACAGACTGATCAGTCTACCGGACATTGTGGATGGCACTTCATTGGAATCATTGTCAACATTATTATTGTTTGGCAATAAGTTACAACAACTACCCAATGAGTTGATACAGTATGCAAACTCATTGTCCACACTCAACTTGTCGGACAACTCACTCACCAGTTTGCCAAGTGACCCGTCTATCTGGCTCAATTGTCAATCATTATCACAACTCTACCTTGGTCACAACAAGTTGACTACAATCCAATTGCCCACGGCTCCCTTCTACGCATTAGAAGAGCTATATCTCAATGGAAATGACTTGGCCAGCTTTGATCAGAGCGCAGAGGTCATGGATGTCGATGGTGGGCTGTTCCCGTCCCTACGTGAGCTCAGTCTAGGCTCCTGCTCACTGACCCAGTTGCCAACATTCATATATGCATGCCAGTCAATCGATAAGTTGGACCTGTCCAACAATCAGCTTAACGATCTAGACATGAAGTTGGCAGACCTCACAAGTCTCTCGGTGCTGGATCTCTCGAACAACATGCTCACAGATATCACAACAGAGCTACTCAATCAATTACTCAAGAGTCTTACCAGGCTTGATCTATCATTCAACTCAATCACTGAGTCTGGCGTGGACCAGACCAAGTCCAGCTGCACTGCCATTCAACTCATTTCACATCACAATCAATCATCATCATCTCCAACATTGGACGAATGGAGTGGCAAGTACCGTGTCTTCCATGCAGAGATGAAGGGTAGACGACCGGCAATGGAGGATGCGTATACCATCCAAGGCCATTTCCGAGGTGATGGTACTTTGATCGCATTGTTTGATGGACACGCCGGAGCCAAGGCAGCAGACTTTTGCTCAAGTGTGTTCCCCGAACAACTTAAAATGGCAATGGGACTCCACCCCGCTATGTCCCCATCTCAATGGTTGCAGCAAGCCTACACACGCACCAATGCCAAGTTCAGACAGCTGGTCGAGTCCGAACGTCCTGACCTCAAGTACTGTGGCGCCACAGCCGCCGCAGTATTGATCCATGGCAACAGCTTGCATGTGGCCAACATTGGTGATTCACGAGTTGTACTATGTCGCGATGGCAAGGCAATGCGACTTTCACTGGACCATAAACCCAGTGACCCTAAAGAGGACTGTCGCATCAGGGAGCTTGGTGGATACATTGTCCACAGCCAACATACATCAAGAATCAAGGGCACGCTGGCAGTGTCTCGTGCAATTGGTGACTTCTACATGGAGCCCTACGTGATTGCCGACGCACATCAATCATCCACAACACTCGACCCTAAACACGATCAATTCCTAATAGTAGCGTGCGATGGAATTTGGGATGAGGTGGACGATCAGCAGGCATGCGACCTGGTTCTCCGCTCGCCCTCAATCAAACAGGCGACACTTAACCTTCGTGACTATGCCTATTTCAAAGGTTCAGACGACAACATAACAGTTATAGTCGTTGACCTTACTACACAATCATAAAGACAAAAGGGGCATGCAATGTGTGTCTTGTTGGATGGAGGTTGTTTTAATTAATGCGGCCACAGAAGTGGTAACTGCTGTTTCCGGAAACACGCTCCAGGAACTGAACAGTTTACTTGACATTCTCCAACTTGAAGGTGTAGGGTGGTGTTGGATACTGGGATGGAGTGAGCTGGGGCAACTTGATGGTGATACCTCCCTTGCTGTCGTGGGAGAAGGACATTGGCTCGTCATAGCCCAAGAGGGTGATCTTGGTCTCGCTGCTGCCGACTGGTGTTGGCAACACAAGGGTGCTGTCGATTGGCCAGCTGTAGCTCATGGCGTAGACGTTGGTGGTGGTGGTGTTCCATGTGTACCAGATGTCAGCAGTGTCGTTCTGGGCTCTCCATGGCTTGCTGCCGTAGATCGCCTCGCCATTGACGTTCAACCAGGCGCCAATCTCAAGGAGACGGGTCTGCATGATGATGGGGATGATGCCCTCCTTGGTTGGTCCGACATTGAGCAGCAGGTTGCCACCGCAGGCAACGGTCTCGATCAGAGTCTGGATGAGAGAGGTCGAGGTCTGGTAGTTGCCAGCGTCCTCATATTGGTTGTAACCCCATGAGTAGCCGATGGTCATGCAGCTCTCCCACTTGTGGTCGCTGAGATGGCCTGGAGTGAACTGCTCGTCGGTGAAGAAACCACCGTCGACGCCACGTGTCTCTGAGCCCCAACGATCATTGATGATCACGTGATCCTTGACAGCACTGTCATTGTAGAGCCACGAGATGAAGTCTACCGAGTGGAAGTAGCTCGATGGTTGCAGCCAGTCACCATCAGTCCACACTATGTTGTTAAAGGGTAAGGGATGGGTCAGTTTGGGGATGATCATTCCAGTGGGCAGTGCAATAAATCAAACTTACGAAGGTCTGGCTCATAGCTGTTGATGAGGTCGTAGAGCTGGGGCATCATGACATCTTGGACGTAGACGTCGGTGGTGGGTGGGGAGCCAGAGTTGGCATCAGCAATGTACAAGGGGTTGTACCACTCAAAGAGCGAGAAGTAGAGTCCAACGCGAAGACCAGCCTTCTTGATGGAGTTGGCAAACTTGTCAACGAGATCCATGTGTGGACCGACATCGACGGCATTGTAGCCCCAAGCCTGTGCACTGGGCCAGTTGGTGAAACCCTCATGATGCTTGGTGGTCAGCACGACGTACTTGGCACCGGCGCGGACAAAGAGGTCGGCCCATTGATCTGGGTCGTACAGATGAGCGGTGAACATTGGAGCGAACGATTGGTAGGTGAACTCCGGACCGAACGAGCTGTTGTGGTACTGGCTGACATAGCCACCGTCGTCTCTAGTGTTCAAGTAGTACCAGTACCATTCAGCGGTGGTACCATTACCAAAAGCAGGCACAGAGAATGTTCCCCAATGAATGAATATACCAAACTTGATCTCATCATACCATTCTGGAAGTGGTCTACTGTTGATGCTCTGTCATTAATTGATTGAGTGATGTGGAGTGGAGTGGATGTGTCAGTGTCAATCACATTATGATTGATTGAATGATTGATTGATTGAACATACCTCCCAGTTTGGCTGGTACTGAGCAGAAGTGTAGAGTGCAAAGCAAGATGCAATGATCAGTGTGCAACACAATATTCTATTGATTGAAACCATTGTTTTATATCTATGTTTGATGCAAACGAATTGATTAGGGAAAAAAGTGATTGATCAGTGTGAACAACTACAAAGTAGTGTTGGATTAAACAAATATATATTCAATATTGTTTTACGATATTTACTATGTTATGATGATGGTTCCTCAACAACTGGAATCATAGAGTAAAGGGTGGGTTCAAGGCCTTGAACCCGAGATATTTCGGAATTGGAATTGAACAACAAAAGGCATTCATTGACATGGCTCAAGGCCTCATTTTGAGACTAAAATTCGAAAAACTAAAATGCAGTCATCAAACATGTTTGATTGGCTCTCAACTTGGCCCATTATGGTTATCATGACCATCACAGTACTCCATACTAATATGTGGTATCCAAAGATCAATGGTATGTATTGTTATTCATTGTTATTGTCGTTGTTGTTGGTATCACCAGTTGTCAAAGTATCTTGATTTGTTGTTGTTGTTGTTGTTGTTGTCGAGTGCTCGGTAACATCGGATGCCTCTCCGCCACTGGCTGACTCTTCTTCAATTGTGCGTGATAAGTTGCATGTGTCATTGGGATTGACAACGTTTGACATTGGTGTGCTGCAATTTGTTGTGTGCAGCGAAGATGACATTGTGTTCTTGGAGGACGACAGTGACAGATTGATAGAGTAGAATCGGTTGTGAAAGAGGAATGATGTCACCCAGATCTGTTTGGCACGACCACTGATGCCGTAGAACAACAGCATCTCAATGCCAATGAGACGCAGGAAGAAGTAGTACATGAACTGTGCGCCGAATGGAATTGGATTGAGCACGCACTGGTCGCCGCCGCCCGCCAGCAAGCACGTGACCCACACAATCATCTTGTCAATCACAGTAGATTTGATACCCTGCAAGTAGAAGTGGTAACAAAACATAGATATAAACTCCACAGACACCAACAAGATAATCAGGAATGGCTTCAAATTGTACCTGATCAATCTGATTGACTTCTTCTTTCCAGTGTCAACTCGTTTGACAACCTGTTGTTTGTGTGTGTATGGTTGGAGTTTGTGTTTGAGTTAGTTGGAATTACTGCCTGGATTCGTTCCAAGTCAATCAATTTTGTACTTACATTGAAGACCTCATACAAGATCAATATGATAAAGACAATTCCAACTAAGAGAAAGATTGTGAGCGGTCCCCAGAAGACTCCATTGGCGTAGTTGTAGTCACCTATCCAACATCTGATATGATTAAAAGGTAAGTATATGATAGATTAAGTTGGATGTGAATGAATATATACTTACCCAATTCCTCCAAATGTGGATGTATATTTGTTCATTCCAGCTGGAAGGACTGTGAGGAAGACAGAAATCAAAGTGATCACTACAATATAGTACTTATGATAGGACCTTGTCTTGACTGTAAGTGGATGATGGAGTGATAATGGATTAATTATAATGATCTGATGTCACGTGATTGATCATGTGATCAGATTTCAATGTCACGTGATCATGATTTGGTATCAGCTGATATTTACCTCTTCGCAATACTAACCAGATATCAAAGGCCATGGTTGACCACCAGAGGATGGCCGTGACGATACCAAACTGGAAAAGGACTCCTTGAGCAGCGCACCTTCTATCAGACTGCACACCTTGACGACCAGGTTCGGGACATTGCAACTCCCAGCCTGCATTGAAAAATATCATGTTGGCAATATTACTTGTCCACAACCCAAATGAGATACCAATGATACAGATGGCATGGCGGTCATAGTCCTTGTTCAGTACGGCGTAAGTGAACAACACTATGGTCGTGCAGATGAATGATATGGTCGCTGTAATCTCTACGGTACTCTTGAATATTCCCCACTTATGCATTGAGAATATAGGCGCTGGACATGGGAATACACATGGCATGGCATCACCCACAAATATATAACCATTCTCTTCATCGATCTGTCTCTGTCTACCAGTTGAGTTCCTTCCAATCAATGGACTTGGGCAAGCTAGAGTTTAGCCGAGAGTGTAAGCAATTAATATTATGATATGTCAAGTGATATATAGATGTCACGCTATCGATCACTTACTAAACTGCTCAGTCCTGTTACTGCCGATGTCATTTATATCTAGACATGGGATGGAGTATGATGAAGGACCACCATAGTATGAGAGGTCATATGTGTTGGCAACCTCTGGGAACACCACAGCATTGGAGTTGGGATACTTCTCCTCGCAGTCCAACAAACCATCGAGTGAGCAGTTGGAATGGATGTTGGCACAATCCTTATGACAAACGCTGCCATACATCGACATAACCGTGTAGTTGGAGTTTGAGTTTGGCATCAACGACGTTTGATTACAAGGTCTGAAAACTCTATTACAGACGAATTTGGACAAATAATCAAATGGAATCGTTGGGCAAAGGCCTCTCACTATCAAGCCATACTTTGCCTTCAGAAGTAAATCATCTTGAGTTAATCCAATTGGAACATATATCCATTCTGTTAGATTGATTCATTAAGTGATTGATTGTTAGTTAGAAATTGGGAATTTCCAAGATTGATCTCGAGCTGTCAATTAATAAATGACTTACGAGATACTAAGTAACCTTGACACTCTGTGAAGTTATTATAATACTCGCATCTTGCCTCTGGATCAACTGCACCATCTTGTCCATTAACTATACCAATATTAAAATGACAAATTATAATAAATACTAATAGGATAACAAAAGTTGTAGTTGAATATATATTGACGCTGCCCATTCTCTATCTCTTTCTCTATCTTTCTATCTATCTATCTATCTATGTCAATTTATATCTCCCTTATAATAACGTAATGTAAGCATTGTGGTATCAATTGATATTGCACTTCGGCAATTAATTCTGTAATCAATGATTGATTACTTTGCCTTAAAAGTAAGTCAACTTACCGGATGGACTATCGCCAACTATTGAGCACATCACAACACAATGTGGAAGGAGTTTAGAAACTGGCAAAGATTGTCCTGATACCGAGATACCTCGGAAATGGAATAAAAAGTGTGTGTGTTTGATTAAACAAGGAACACACTCGGCTCCTCCATTTGGTATTAAAAAATCTGATCAATCAAAAATTTGCAGGAGTGAGTCGGATGGATTGATTGATTGGAGATCGAATTGAATAATCCAGGCCTGGTTGTTGTTGTTATTAATGCCCAACCTATATATAGACATATGGCTATCGAAGTGTGATGAATGGTATACATGGATATATATTATATTTGTTCGTTATTGTTGTTGTTGTTGTTGGAATTGCTAGTTGCCAATGTGACAGTACGTGATGGCTTGTTGTCGCGCTCGACAACATCGGAAGCCTCACCACTGGCCGACTCTTCAAGGGTGCGCGATAGGTTGCTGGTGCCATTGCCAAAGTGTGACATACGTGTGCTGCCAGTAGTGGGCGCCGACGATGACATGCTGGTTTTGGAAGACAGCGACAGATTGATCGAGTAGAATCGGTTGTGGAAGAAGAATGACGTCAGCCAGATCTGTTTGGCACGGCGGTTGATGCCATAGAAACAGCAACATCTCAATGCCAATGAAGCGCAGGAAGAAATAGTACATGAACTGTGAGCCGAATGGAATGGGATTGATCACGCACTGGTCGTCGCCGCCCGCCAGCAAGCACTTGACCCACACAGACATCTTGTCTACCACGGTGGACTCGAGTGTCTGCAGGTAGAAGTGGTAACAGAACATATAAATAAACTCCATAAACAAGAACAAGATAATCAGGAATGGCTTCAGATTGTATCTGATCATTCTCATTGACTTCTTCTTTCCAGTGTCAACTCGTTTGACAACCTGTTGTTTGTGATTTAGTTTGAGTTTGTGTTAGTGAGTGTGGGGATGTCTGGATTCATTCCAAGTTCAAGAACATACCTTGTAGACTTCGCGTAAAATCAATATGATAAAGACAATTCCAACTAAGAGACAGAATGTGAGTGGTCCCCAGAAGACTCCATTGAGGAAGTTGTTGTCGCCAATCCAACATCTGATATGTGTGATCAAGGATCAAGGAACAGGCTGATGTGAGTAGGTATGATCATGTTGGACTTGTTAAGTGATTGAATACATACCCCATGCCTCCAAAGGTTGATGAATATTTGTTCATTCCAGCTGGCAAGACTGTCAGGAAGACAGCAATCAGTGTGATCACTACAGTATAGTACTTCTCATATGACTTTTGGGTCTTGACTGTTAAGTTGGATTGTGATGATGATGGATTAGTAAATATTATCTGATGTCACGTGACTTCCAATTTCAAGGTCACATGACTTTGAAGATTCAGCTGATATTTACCTCTGCGCAACACCAACCAGAGATCAAAGGCCATGGTTGACCACCAGAGGATGGATGTGATGACACCAAACTGGAATAGGATACCTTGAGCAGCGCAGATTCTATCGGATTGAACACTCTGACGGCCTGGCTCGGGACATTGCAACTCCCATCCAGCGCCAAACAAAAGGAAATCGGTCATATTGCTTATCCACAATCCAAATGAGATACCAATGATACAGATGGCATGTCTGTCATACTTCTTGTTCAGTACGGCGTACGTGAACAACACGACCGACGTGCAGATGAATGATATAGTCGCGGTAATCTCTACGGCACGCTTGAACATGCTCCATTGACGCGTTGAGAATATAGGAGCTGGACATGGGAATACGCAAGGCATGGTGTCACCTGCAAACGTGTATCCATTCTCCTCATCGATCTGTCTCTGTCTACCTGTCGAGTTCCTTCCTATCAATGGACTTGGGCATGCTAGAGTATGTCAGAGAGAGTATTAGCGATATGTCACGTGATTGAAGTCACGTGATCGATCGATCACATGATAGTTTTGAAAATACATACTAAACTGTTCAGTCCTGTTACTGCCGATTTCATTGATGTCTAGACATGGGATGGTGTAGGCGGACGGACCACCATAGTAGGCGAGGTCAAAGGTGTTGCCCACCTCGGGGAACACCACAGCAGTGGAGTTGGCAAACTTCTCTTCGCAGTCCAACAAACCGGCTAGAGAGCAGTTTACATAGACATTGGAGCAATCCTTATGACACACACTGCCATACATCGACATTACAGTGTACTTTGAGTTTGCGTTTGGTGTCAAAGATGTCTGATTGCATGCGCTGAAAGCTCTGTTGCAGACGAATTTGGACAAGTAATCAAATGGAAGTGATGGGCAAATACCTCTCACTATCAAACCATCCTTTGCCTTCTGAAGTAGATCATCCTGTTTAAATCCCTTTGGAACATATATCCACTCTGTTTGTTTAAATATTGATTGATTGATTGATGGTTAGCATTGGAAATTTCAAAATGAAGGGGGAGCTCCTTCAAGATTGATTTCGATTTACGAAATTCGAATTGAATCACGTGATCAATCAGGTGAAACGTGTCAGCTGATACCACTGTATCAATCAATCACGTGACACATGGTGACCGCCAAAAGAGGTAATGTATGACATACGTGATACTAAGTAACCTTGACACTCTGTGTAGTTATTATAATACTCGCATCTTGCCTCTGGATCAACACCGCCGTCTTGTCCATTGACTACACCTATATTAAAATTACAAATTATAAACAATACAGATAGAACAACAACTGTTGCTGTATATACATTGATGCGCCCCATCCTCTTTATCTCTTTCTATCTTAATGTCTATCTTACTATCTATCTATCTAAATATATATATATTATTAGTTATTATTATAATAAAGTATGTTAGTAAGTAAGGTTATTGTCTTGTCTCTGGAGATGATGCATAAGGGCAATTAATTTGGTAATGTGGTCTGAATTAGTGCCTCGATGTTTGGTTTTGGATTGGCCTTGGAAGCCGCGCTACTCACTTGCAATCTTGGAAGGCAAAGCCTACTGAAGGTAGATAGGTAGAATCATCATCTGCACAGGTATCGGAGTAATAGTGGAGGGGGAGGCCCTACCCTGAGTGTAGTAACTGACACTTTCTCAAACACACTAACACCATAATGCAAACATTCACGTAACTAGCTTGATCAGATGGCCCTACTGCGCAATGACGGTCGACGGTTGTTGATCAAAAATTTTATTGTTTTTTTATAGCTTTGTGCCAAAAAAATCGAGTGATTAGATCGAATGTGATTGTCGTGTGGAGTGCACTGATGATGGGTGAGGACCATTCACAGGGCCGATATCATTGACCCCCAAACCTCCCAACGGCCGAACATTGGTGGGGGTGCACCTTGAGATGGGCACCACCGAGATTACGGGTTGGCGGGCCATCATTACCACATGATGCCCTTCTTATTCATTACAATAGATATTTAATTAACAATGAATGGATGATCATACTGAAGTTGTTAATACAGCAAAGCAAGATCAAGAGAATTGATAGACGGTTGTATGTTAACATGTAATGTGTATGTATGTATGTACAGAAGTGAAGGGAGTTGTTCATGTTTATAAAGTAGATATATTATCATATCGATCGGATGGGAGACCGACATTATGATGATGATGACGATGGTCAGGAAGGCAGGCTTGACTAGTGCTCTTGTGATGTGATGTATGATGGAACCTCATTGTCTCAACTCCGGAACTATGTCGGCTTTCAATGTTGTCATACTCTTGATCACACTCCATTCCAAGGTAATGTCTGTGACCATTGCCAGGACTATCCAGGATGATGATGTTGTTGCTCAACAAACACAGGTATCTAGCTGCTGGGACTTGTCCAACTTGGCACCTCCGACAAAGTTGATACTGGGGAACTCCTGGTTGAGTTCGTGTATGTCTCGATCGGTGAGTGCAACACAGTTGTGGAGATAGAGGTTCTGAAGTTGGTTACAGCGAGAGATGAGACAGGGTATGTTTCTTCTTTCGATGTTCAATCCAGAGAGGTCGAGCTCCTTGACATTGTGGAAAAGTGGTCCAATGGCTGCCAGTATCGTGTCGCTGACCTCCACTACTTGGTTCTTGTCATTGACCAACTTCATGTTGGCCAGCGAGATGGACTCCATCATTGGCATCAGTGCAATGATGCTGGTTAGTGCAGACACTGACTGCAGGGTGGTGGACAGATCGATGGTTGTGAGCTCCGAGAGGGGCAGCTCAAAGGCGTCCTCGATGGCCTCTTGCATCTGCTCCTTGTACGTCTGCATCACCATGTGCATGTTGGTGTTGGTCGGCACCTTGAGCTTCTTGAGTTGGGGCAGCTTGCGCAGCAGGTTCCAGAGGATCTGATGGTCTTCATTGTAGTTGGGCAAGTGCAGAACCTCGAGCTTGGGCTCGATCATTGACAGCGTTTGGATGGGGTTGGTCTCGGTGGACAGGGTGTTGGTGTAGTCGAGCTTTAGTGCAGTGAGTGCCTTGGCACCATGGCTCTCCATAGACTCGAGGATGGACGAGTCGGCGAGCGTGCTGGACAGGTTCAGTACACGGAGTCTTGGCGCATTCTTAACGATCTCGCTCAGACGTTCGGGGGCAATCAGGTTGCAACCGGAAAGGTTGAGGCGCTCAAGGGAGGATGCGTTGGCAGCGATTGCCTTGGCCGACTTGCACGTGATTGATGGCTGTCTGAGTCGGAGCGATGTCAACTTGACACAGGTGTTAAGCATCTGGATGACACCGGCATCACCAATGGCTGCGCAGGAGCGGATGGAGAGTGACTCGAGGTCGGACCAAGTATGGCGCAATCTCAGTCAGACAACCATCGGTAAGATTCACGTGTTGGAGATGCAGGTTCTTGAGTCCTCTCATCAATGGGGCCAACACTTCGATTGAATGGCCCTCCAAGTTGGTTGACTTGAGTTGCAGCTTTGACAATGATGGCGAGCTGTTAAAGACATTGATCAACAGTTGGTTGAGGCTGTGAGTGGTGCCCTCGGGAGCGTCCTCATTCGACTCGGTCGATATGGTAACCTTGTCCAGACGCAACATCTCGATCTTCTCAAGCTTGGACAGCGACTGGAGCAGTGCTGGAGTGATGGAGATACCTCGCAGCATGACATTTGTGAGGTTGGGAAGGCTGTCAAACAACTTGGGCATGATTGTGTCGTCCAGGACTGAGCTCAGCTCCTCGGGCGTCTCGTAGCAACGGATGAGAGTGATGTGATTGATGGCCTTGGGAATGAGACTCCTGATTAGGCTCTCGGGCTTGGAGCGCTCCTGCAGGTAGATCAATGTGTACAACTCGTACAACATCACCACGCTGTTGCGGTGCTGGTGCTCCTGTGGAAGCATGAGGATAGTTTGCTTGAGGTGCGAGGCCACGACATCGGGATCGATGGCCAGGGCTGTGTCCAGCTTCTCGAGTGCCAGGTCGGCGTGGCGTTTGAAGTTGTCGACATTTCTCGTGAAGAATAGGTTGTTGGTGGCCATCTTGAGATGTGTGATGCCCCACATTGCGCACAGGTCGGCGTTGTCCTTGTGGTAGCTGCTGGCCTGTCGCAGCAGATTGATGGATGTTGACAGCAGGGCGATGGAGTCCTGAACGTTTGGCGACATGTTGGCCTTGAACAGATAGGTGAATGCTTGCTTGGAGATGATCTTGGCGGACAGTGGCATAGAGCGCAGTGCAGATTGCATCTTCATTTGAGCAGTGTCGACCCAGCGCAGGGACTGTGGCGCCTGGTGGCTGTTGTAGTTGGACACCTTCTTGATGTCCTCAATCAGTTGTACACCAGCGGCATAGTCGACCACGGTTGGATACTTGACCGAGGACTCGACGTCCTCAATGTCATTCTTTGTGATCACATAGTTTGGATTGGCAATGAACTCTCTGTATGCATCTGGGTTGATTCTGACCCTCATGATGCTTACCAACCTCATTACCAACAACTTCAAGTCGATTGTTATTCTAAGATCGAAGCTGTTTGTGATAGATTGAGTTAGTATGTTTGTTGGTGCATGCGCCCTGGCTCATGTAATGCTTACTCTTCCTTCATCTCGGTCTTTGATAGACAACCGGTAAAGGCTTGCAACGCGGCGTTCTTGAAGCCACCTGGGTTCATGGTCGACCAGAAGGTGAGGTGCTGGGCACGCTTGTGCTTGTTCATTAGGATGTCAAAAACTTCGGAGATGATGCGAGCGGGCTCTTCAGTGGGTCTGTTGGACTTTTGCATCGACTGTCTCATCTTGGCCTTGATGATCTTCTTCCAGACTCGTGCAACCATCTCGGTCATCAACATCTGTTTGAGTGGACGCGATGTAGTCTTTTGACAAATGAGACCAATGTAACGCAGATTGATGCCACGGGAGTGGATGATGTTGATGATGCGCGCCAGACTGACTGCGCTGCGTGTTTGCTCGCTCTCGAGACCACCCATGTTGAACTTGAGCAGGTTCCTAATGAGCAAACGCTCAGACTCGAGGTCGCTCTCGTCGTCCAATGCGCTCTGCAGATGCTTGACGCAGTCGGGGATGGTTTCGTTGTGCAGCTTGGCCGACGCTTCGATCACCTCCCAGTTGGACAGCTCCTCGTCCTTGCCCGTCTGCCAGCCAGAGAAGGCGTCGGGGCTCAGCGACGTCTCGGTCTTCATCACAAACTCGGGACGCAGCATGTAGTAGAAGATCTCTCTTCCGATTCGGTTGCCAACGATCTGGGGATACTCGGGTGGGAAGGCACGGGCAAAGTCGATCATGTAGTAACGTCCATCGGTACCCTTGTGCACCTCAATGTCACCAGGGCCGTAGATCAGCGTCGGGCTGGTCAGACCGACCAGATGACCTTTTATATTCATCTTCTTGGCCAGTCGTCGCATCTCGGTGTCGACCTTGGTGTCAGAGTTGTGCACGGTCTTGCCTCCGTCGTTGGAGCCATAGACGATGGTCTTCTTGTTGATTGGCAGCCTGGAGATGGCCAGCAGACGGTAGCCACCATAGTCGATGATGGCAGCCAGTGGGAATCTGATGATGCCCTCTGAGTGCTCCATAAAGTGGTTGAGTCCCTTGAGCTCGTGACCGGCTGACTTTTGGGCCTTCTCATCTGAACGCGATTGATCACCATACATCCAAAGGCCTGGTGCGATCTCGACGTCCATCACAAACTTAAAGATGATGTCCTTGCACAAGTACTTTTGGCCTCCAGCCACACCACCAAGTTCCAAAGGTTTGATCGTCTTCTGCTCATCAGGCAGGTTCCTCTCTGATATAATGATCTTTCCAAATGTGTTGGCGCAATATACAAAGTCTTTTGATTGATTGATTGGTTAGTATGAGAGGTACCAGGTCATTCGCGAATGTTGAGATGTAGACTTACCAGTTGCTGTCTTTGCCATCAGTTCATACTTGTACTCAGAGGTGTCGGGCTGATCCATGAGGTATTGGAAGATCTCGTTCCAGGTGTGCTCGTAGTACTTGCTCTGACACTCGGTCTCGGGCTCAAACACTTCAACCTCGGGTATGTTGTGCTGGCGTGGCTTGGCCTCGATGGAGGGGTGGGTGGTCGTGTAGGACAAGTAGTTGGACGAGCCACTCGTGGAGCTGTCATCGACGTATGAGCTTGCGCCACTGCTGCCCGAAGAGAAGGTGCCGCTCGAGTACGAGTACTCGTTGGACGAGATTGAGTACAGCGAGTAGGCCGATATGTCTGTGGTGGTGAGCTCCTGCTCGAGCGTGTTGACGGGCTCGGGCTTGGGCATGCCAAGGCTCTCGCTGATGGACATGTACGGGTTGGTTGGCTCGCGTGTTATATTGGCCCAGTTATTGCTCTGGCGCAGATTGATTGTGCTCATTAGATTGTTGTGTGGCACTACCGAGTTGGAGAGTGCTCCAGCCGTATAGTTGGTGGAGGATCGCAGTGGTGGAGGCTGTTGTTGTTGTTGTTGGAATGATTTGATGGCATCCTCCATCTGTTGCTTCTGTTGTTGATGCGACTTGTCCATCGCCTGTTGCTCCATCTGTTGTTGTTGATGATAATTCTGTAGCTCTTGAGGGATTGTATATGTCTCGGTTATAATAACTGGTATTATCTCAGCTTCCACATTCTCTGGAGCTGGATGTATTGTCTCTATATGTTGTGGCTGTGACTGTGACTCTGACGACATATTGTTGTAGTTGTTATGTAACAGTTGTTCTGATGATTGTGAATGTGATAATGATTGGGCAACATGTTGTTGTCCTCCTCGTGGTGATGTGATTGATGATCTAAGAGAGACTCGTGGACTCGATGTTGGACTTGGCTTCTGGAGTGGTTCCTTTACATGCCAATATGAAAGTATCTCTCTGAATGATTTCTTATCCTTTGGTTGCTGTTTGCTATTAAGTTGTTCATCAAATGATTGATGTTGTGGTTGTTGTTCTTCTGTTGACGACATTATATTCTTGATGTTGTATGAATGAATGATGAATGTATGTTTGTGTGTATGACGATGACGTATCTGTTACCGGAATACAGTGATTGAATGAATGAGGAATGATTGAATGAATGATTGAATTTTGTGAGTGATGTTCTCGAAGTTGTTGTTTGGTGTCCTTGGTTTGTTAACAAGTGCGAGTGAGTGGCGGGTGGGCCAAAAGAATCGGTACGCGGCAGTGTTGCGTTGATGATCTATGATGTCTGAAACGAAGGAGAAGGAAGCACTCTCTCTCTTAGTTGTTGTTAGTGTGTGTATGTGTCTGTTGTTGTCTCAATGTCAATACCAAGTATTCACAAGATCTATCGTTCTTTGGAATGATGTTTGAGTGTATGTGTGTGTGTGTGTGTGTGTATGGAGAATAGAGATGATGCCCAATAATAATAACAACAACAGCATCAACAACAAACAAAACATACAGTACAGTCAGCAAGGAACAGAACATTGTCCAGACTGGACCAGACAGATGACACCTTATTCAGTCACCAAACATTCACACACATAATCTACTCGAACCCCCTTGCAGAACGCTATTCCAAAGCAGTTCACCCCACGCATAAAAAGTTGTTTGCAAAACTTGAAGTTTGCAGAGGACCAGGACACACAACAATCCATCCGTTTTCGAACTTTGAACACGCTTTGATAAACAAAGACGACGAGACATAGTCAAAAGACGACGGGAAAGTAATAGGGTGATGAACATGGTGGATGTGGCGTTTCGGAAACTTATTGATATTTTTTGAATTATTAATAATCCCATGCAAAGAGTTAGTTGGAGTATCCTATTTCCAAGGATTTCTGTACAATTCTATTTATAAATATAACCTTGTAAGGTCTGTTTGTCAATCCGTTTTGTGTGTCAAATTGGTAATTCATGTCGACTTGATGGGGGCCATGTGATATGTTTTGATTGAGGCCAGGGGGGTGGTAGAGACTGGGGGATGGCTTGGTGTGAATGGGGAATCCAAGTTCCGGAATATTCGCATGTTCCGCTGAACTTTCTGTTTAAAAGACAGGTGATTGTCCAGCAAAGCCTTGTTCTCCGATAAAGTTGACATGGGGATACTCGAGCTGGAGCATGGCGAGGTCATTCTCGGTGATCTTGGGACATCGACGAAGGTGAACTCGTCGGATGGACTCGCATCGCGTCAGTATACATCCAATGCAATACTTCTCCACTGGGAAATTGCTAATGTCCAACTCTTTCAGATTGAGGAAGTATCCACTGAGTATAACCATCACATTGTCATCTATGATCACTGGTTTCTTGGTGTCCTGGTTGACAAACTGCAAAGAGTCCATCAGCAGTGACTCGACCAATGGGCAGAGGTCCAAGAGGTAGCTGAGCGACTCGAGTGACACCACCATCTTAGACACGTCCAGACGCTGGAGAGACTTGAGCGGAGCCACCAGTATCTGGTCGTTCTGCTCGAATTGCGCGCGATAGATATCGATGAACGCCGGGAGGTACATGTCGGACGGCATGCGCAGCGTCTCGAGGTAGGGCAGCTTGTTGAACAGGTTCCAGAGCACGGCGTACTCGCCACTGTAGTTGGGCAGACGCAGTGTCTTGAGCGGGCTGGAGATCATGGACAGCGTGGCGATGGACGACTCCTCGACATTGTTTAGACAACTGTCCCACACCAAGGTGGTCAGCTTGCGCGCTCCATGCATCTCCAACGCCTCGAATGTGTTGGCTTCGATCTGTGTTCGTGTGATGTCTAGATGCTCCATGTCCTTGTCCGCGGCCAGTATATCTGTGAGCACCTGAGCAGTGAGTAGCACACAACCAGAGAGGTCCAGATGTTTGAGGTTGGCGGCGATGGCAGCAATGTTGATACCCACTGCATCGGTAATGTCGGGCAGTGAGAGGGACAGGCTTGTGAGTGTGGGCTTCATGAGAGCATTGACTCCCGTGTCGCTCACACCAGAAAGTGAGCGAAGTGACAGTGTTTGCAGATTGTTGACGACCTGAGCGATGGCAATCAATGTCTTGTCGGTAATGCTGGACTCGGCCAAGGCCAAGTTCTCAAGGTTGGCCATCAGGGGGATGCTCTGCTCCAGTGTCTCATCCTTGAGCCACGCAGCACCCAGATGTAGAGTTGTAATAGATGGGCAATTGCCCAGCCATGAGAACAGTAGTTGGTCCAAGCTGTTGATCATGGACGTCTGAGAGGGGCGTGACGCCACATTGACGTTCTTCAACTCGATGGACCTGAGCTTGGTGAGCAGCGCAGCGGCATTTGCCGTCTCTGGCTCAATGATTGTGTCGGTGAGGACGATATCTGTGACGTTTGGCAAGTGTGTAAAGAAGCTGGCCATGAATGAGTCGTCCATGATGTCGCGCAGCTGCTCGGGGATGTACAGGTGACTGATGACAGTTATCGACTCGAGTGTCTTTGTGACAAAGTTGAAGACGGGCGTGTCGGGAAGCGAAGTATTGAGAAGATAAGCGAATGAGAGCAGGTTGTATACCTTGGACTTCTTGATCGAGTCGATGTACTGTGGGTTGTCCTCCAGACATAGGTCATTGGGCAGCGACATCTTGAGGTAGGGCGTGGCGATCATGCTCAGATCAATCTTGTCCAGCGACTCATTGAGCTTGTTGATTGAGAGTTGGATGTTCTCCTTGAACTTGTCCTTGTCGTAGCTGTAGAACAGGTAGTAGGTGGCTATCTTGTGGTACATCATGCCCCACAGCGCCAGGAGTGGCGGGTCGTTCTGGATGCAGGGGTGGCGCATCAGGAAGGACATCATGCAGATGCCACGCTTGAGCATGAGGTAGGCCAGACGCACTTGTGGGGAGAGGTTCGACATCATGATGTAGGCAGCCGCCTTCTTCAAACAGATGCTGGCGGACATGGGCATCTTGAGGTGTGCGTTGTGCATCATGTCCTGGCCCATCTCGAGCCATCGCATCAGCTCTGGTGGTGGTAGCCTTGGCTGCACCATAACACTCTTCACCTGGTACAACAGTTGAGAGCCAGCGGCAAAGTCAATGATTATTGGGTACTTGACCGTTGACTCCACCTCAAGGATGTCTCGTCTCGAGATGACGTATCGTGGATTGGCTAAGAACTGTTCGTAGGCATCTGAGTTGATTTTGACGTTGAACAATCTGATCAAGCTCGCTACCAAGAATCTACAATCAATAGAATTCCTAAGGTCGAAGCTGAGGTTGGTTGAAGTGATGGTCGTCGTTAGTACGTGACACATCTCGAGGCTCACAACCTAACTAAACTACTTACTCGCTGTTCATCTCAAATTTGGATAGACAGTTGGGATAGGTACGCATGGCCGCGAACTTGAAGTTGCCAGGTGCCATTGAGGACCAGAATTGGGTGTGATCGTGGTAGGTGAGAGGGTTGAGCAGGAAGTCAAACACCTCGGCAATGACTTGGATGGACTCGTCTGATGGCCTGTTGGTCTTGTCCATCATATCTCGCAGACGGGCACTTATCAGTCTCTTCCACACTCTGGCAATGACCTCTGTGAATACTGTTGTTCGCAAGTCCTTCTCTCGAATGTTTGAACATATCGATCCCAAGTATCGCAGGTTGACGCCATAGCTGTGCAACAATATCAAGCACCTCAGTACATCGAATGTCTTTTGTTGGAAGTCATTGTTATGCGTGTTGGCACCATGACTGCCCAGCTTTTTGAATGTTAAATGATCAAAGAAGTTATCTGATGATTCCATCTTTGTTATTGAGCCCTGAATAGAGTGATTGATTGATTGATGATGATGTTAGGAGGTGCATGATCAATCAATGTCGTTGATGAGTACTCACAAATGTCTGTTGGATGAATCCTGCCACCTCTGGAATGAGCTCATTGTGATACTTTGTCGTGATGTCAATGACATCTTGATTGTTTTGTTCTTCGTCTGCGCCAGTCTGCCAGCCAGAGAATGCATCTGGACTGAGCTCAACATTGAACTTGAGCAATAGTTCAGGTCTTAGCATCGAATAGAATATCTGTCTTCCAATCTTGCCATGTCTAGTAGGTGGTCATTTGTCAGCAATCAACCTTTCATCCATTCAAACAAACAAACGACAACTTACATGTGAGCTGGATATTCTGGAGGGAAGGCACGGGCAAAGTCTATCATGTAGTAGCGACCATCGGTACCCTTGTGCACTTCAATGTCGCCAGGGCCAAAGATTGTGACTGGAGTGTTCAGGCCCACTGTATGTCCCTTGATGAACATCTTCTTGGCCAGACGCTTCATCTCTGCTTCGATGAGAGGATCTGAATTGTGAACGGTCTTGCCACCATCGTTGGAGCCATAGACGATGGACTCCTTGGTGATGGGCAGATTGGAGATGGCCAGCAGACGGTATCCACGATAGTCAATGATGGCCATGAGTGGGAATCTGATCAATCCATCTGAGTGGTCCATAAAATGATTGAGTCCCTTGAGCTCGTGACCGGCCGACTTCTTGGCCTTCTCGTCCGAGCGCGTTGTGTCGCCATACATCCACAGACCGGGCGCGATCTCGACATCGACCACAAACTTGAAGATGATGCCATGGCACTTGTACTTGGTGCCGCCAGCCACTCCACCCATTGTCTTGGGCAGGATGGTCTTTTGCTCGTCGGGCAGACTGCGCTCTGATATGATGATCTTGCCATAAGTGTTTGCGCAGTATACAAAGTCCTTGGCGACACCAGCCATGTATTGGTACTTTAGCTCGCTCTCTTCCATGTCCACGATGTACTGGAACTTCTCATTCCACATGTATGACTGGCGATGCTCAGCCGTGCATGTCTGCTCCGGCTGGAACACATTTACACTTGGTGTGTTGTGATCGAGTGGCACTGTGACATCGATGGGCTCAGTGTTGTTTGTCGTGTAGGCCAGATAGGACGAGGCCGAGTGTGCCGACTCGGACAGCGGGCCGTGCGAGTGAGACGCCGACGATGCGGTCAACTCGCCATTCATAGTGTCAATGTACATGTTTGCGGGTGAGTTGTACGAGGTGTAGGCATGGTTGCCATGAGCAGTCATTCGCTTGTCGGCCATGTTGCCCACCATGTACAATAGGTATGAGTTGCCACGCTTATGTGAGCCCAAGCTGCCGACGCTGCCATTGCTGTCTGTGCTCTTGCGCATCATATCGCGTTGCTCCTGTTTAAGACGTTCGTCATATGCTGATATTGGTGGTGTTTGTGCTGATGATGTTGATGATGATAGTCCCTTTCTTGTATTGTATCCATTCGATAATGATGGTGTAGTCGGTATCTCCTGTATTGGTGGCGGTAATGACACATGTAACATTGGAGCAGGTGAAAATGGAGGTGTAGATGTAATCTTATTGATATTTGCCCAACTAGATGCACTCTTTCTCAAATCTATATGATTCATTACATTATTATTATTTCTAATGTCATTGTTGGCAGCGTTGTTATTGTTATTGTTGTTAATGTTGTTATTATCATTGTTGTTGTCGCTATTGCTGTTATTAATATTATTATGTTGTTGATTGACTTGTTCATCATGTAATAGTGTAGCAATAGTTTGTGTAACAGGGTATTCAGTCTTCTCCATCGCCTTCAAAGGCATATGTTGTTCCTGATGTATCAACTTTGTTGTATTATCCTCCATTCTTTAAAGTATGATTGTATGTATGAATGAATGAATTGTTAAAATAATAAATATAATATATCTACAAATAATGACAACTGTATAACTAACTAACTAATAGTTGTTGTTGTTGTACAAGTTATGTCATCTTTGTGTGGATTCTTCTACTTTCATATCTCGCGACACCATTCTGGGTTACATTGACTTCCGAACTTGGACCGCATTGAAAACTGTGCTTAGCTGAGCGGGGTGACTGAACTACGACTTAAGTCTCTTCAAAGTCTGTTCATTCTATCATTTACAAGTTATCATTAATACATATACATACATATTTACATACATATTTAAATATGAGCAAGAAGTCATCGACAACAGCATCATTCGTATCTAAAGATGAAGAGTTACTGGTAGCATACTTCAAAAAGGTAACCATGACACTCATTCAATCAATCAATCAATCATTCATATTAATGCATGTACATTACATTAGAATAATAGACCATTCAGTCCTCAACAGATTGAACTTGCTCATCCACAATATGGAAAGACAAGGGTGACAAAGATGTTAAAGTTGTTGGCAGACCAGGGAAAGATTGTTTGTAAGGAGAGTGGAAAGTCATTGGTGTATTGGATGGATCAGAAGGATGAGTTGGATGAATATGGTCAGCCTGTGGACGGTCCAAAGCCACGTCCAGACGATGTCACTCGTCAAAACACAGCTTTGAGAGCAGAGCGAGAGGATCTGGACCAGCAGCTCAAGTCGCTGCAGGCCGAGTCCAAACAACTGGAGGCGCAGCTCACGGATGACAAGATTGATGAGGAGATTGAACGTTTGACAAAGGATACGGCGGACATGTCGGCCAAACTCAAGGCATACAAGAGCAAGAATACATCATTGACGGCAGACTCAAAGAAGACACTGGAGGCCAATCATGCCAAGGCCAGACGGGAGTGGATCAACAGACGAAGGATGTTCAAGGAGGTTCTAGACACAGTGTTGGAGCGATCAAGCAAGAAGCGAAAGGATCTACAAGAGGAGGTTGGATGGGAGACTGACGAAGACCTGAACATCACACTGGTTGAGGACAGGTCAAAGAAGTCTTCTTCTTCTTCGACGTCCTCATCATCAAGCGCACCAGAGTACAAGAGGCCAAGAAGATGAGATCGTGTGTACAATATTGCGTGGGCGACCCAACTCGTCTACTCCAACGATGGAGTGTTTATGAAAGAATGAACAAATGAACGAATGAATACAGGCAAGGCTAGGTTGGGCCATCCGGACAGGGCATGTCCATCATGTAAATATATACAGACATAGACACAACAGACTCTCTTAGAGTACACTCTCTTCCTTTCCAACGGCACCAGTCACAGAGTCTGCCACTGCCAGGTTCTTGGCGATCTTTGCAATCTGATTATCCAAGAAGTTGAACAATGGTCGCGACGAGATCTTCTTGACTGCCTCATTATCATTGTTCTCAAAGGCATGAATAAGCTCAAGAGCATTAGTGCCCTCTTGGCTGTGAATGAAACTTGGATTACTGTGAAGGAGGGAGAGAGAGCTGTTAACAACATGATTGAATGAATGAATTGATGGATATACACATACATCAAGAACTCTTCGTATCTTCTCTTGGCACTGATTACATCGTCCATTGCAAGGTTGATGACGATTGCGCCGAGGCATGACTTGTGAAGATCGTGTGTCTGGCTCAACTTGACAAACACTCTGTTTTGAACGAGCAAGAGGTCAACAGTCTCTGCATACATCTTATGCTTCAACAACAATGATATAGTGCTCTTGAAAGTATCGCCAGAGTAATGTTCCTTGTCATCCAACTCAAACAACTCGCAACAATCGTTCAATAACTCAATTGCTCTCTTTAGGTCAGTGTCCTCCAACATCCTTAAGTGATTGATTGATTGAGTTAGTACATGATTGATTGAATGATTGAGATAGAGTGTACATACTTTGCAGCCTTGGCCATTGCATCAGCAGCAGCGTATGAGTTGCCGTTTGTTCTATAAAGTTTGCTCGCCTCTATCAACAAGTCTGTCGTCTCTTGTATGTTTCCTGTCTCTTTTGCCATTGCAGAGGCTGATTCAATACTCTTTGCAGCAAGGTAGAAGCTATTAGATGTAGGATGTTAGTGAATGAGTGCGTGAATGTGCTTGTTGTTGTTGTCAGCTAGACAGACACCTACACATCGGAGTTTACTTGACAGACTGACAGTTGCTTGAAGCAATACTTGGCCAAGTCATAGACCTTGGCAGTTCGATAGTATTTAGCTGCTGTTTCATAATAAGATTGGGCGGCCATCCAATCAGGCTTCCATCTAAACAATGTCTTTGTAATCCTATATCATAATCATCATAGTATTAGTTCACATCATTCAAACAACCAAGCCTCACTCAAACATACAGTTTGTCACCCTCCTTCATGGCAGCATCTGCCTCCTTTCTCTTTCCATCTGATGCCATATCTATCTATCTATTTATAAAGTCCTTAGGAATATAGTAATGTATGTATAGTTATAAATAACTTTTGAAGTTATAACTTGTGAATCGAATTGTGAAAAGTGAGTGGAACTAACTAAAAGTAACAAATATTATCTCAATTGTTGTTGGGAAGTGGGTTGGTGTGTGTGTCGCGTGGTTAGATGATCGAACGATCGGTCTTGCATTGGGTTAACCCAACACTTAATGCTTGTCCTTGGGTAATACAAAGTAGTACCAATTATTATTTATTTCTTTATTGCCTTAGCATATCTTGTCCCATGACAAATACACTTGAACATTGATTATTATTATTTGGATCAGGAGTGAAGTATATCAACTCATAATCCTCACCATCAACAATGTTCTTACATATCTGATCATCAGGATTGGAAATCATTAGTCTTAGTATATATGATGTGTCCATGTCAATATCAATGTACATGTCCATGTCCATGAAGTTTGATGCGGGCACTTGAAATGTTGTCAGGTTGTACAATGGTGCGGCTCCATTGAGTATGGCAAAAAGGTGTCCAAGTCCATCTCCATATACTTTGATTGATGGTCCAGTGTTTGAGAGATATGTACCAATAAATATGTTTGAATTTGGTATAATTATTGATTGATCTTGATGTTGTTGTTGTTCCAATAAGTATTGATATGTTGGTAATAGGATATCAAGTGCCTCTTGTGTGAATACATCTGTTGTGTCAAAGTTCATCATGGCGGCAAAGAATACACCAAGTTTAAAAGGTCGTGCCATGGCCACCTGTGCACGGAATCCATTCAATATTCCAAGTTTACAATGTAACCATACTTCATTGTTCGTGTCATAATACATCTCGAATGGTGTGCCATAGGCCATCGCGCCATTGCTAACCACTGACACTGGTTCCATCGCCTCATTGACTGTGGCAGGGTCCAGGACTGATGAGTATTGCGTGCTGTTGGCCGTGGGCCATGGTGCTTGGAGCTCGCCACCATTCAGCCAAAATGACATGAACCGTGACATGTCGCGGGCGGTCGAATAGAGACCGCCAGATGGATTGCCCCATCCATTGTTTGATGGAGCGATGGCTTGGTACGACCCATTTGGCAACTTGTTCACACCAATTGCCAACTGATCAGAAGCATAATCTTGGTAATCAAATGTACTGTTGATCATACCCAATGGTTCCAAAATTGATTGAGTGACATACTTCTCGTATGATCGGTCATCACCATCGTTGATCGCGCTCTCCAATGCATGTCCAAGCAAGGACACTCCCAAGTTGCTATAATGTGTGATTGAGTATTGTGGTACTACGAGGTATTGTCGTGCCACTCGGGATAGTACCGCCTGTAGACTACACTCGACAGGATCAGTCATTTGACTACAAGGTATCTCACGTGCCAAGCCTGATTGATGACTGCTCAGTTGACGAAGTGTGATTGGCCGTTTGCTCGTAGCAACATAAGGGTTGTTCACGCTAAAGTTGGTGAGATACTTGCTGAGAGGGTCGTCGATGGAGTCAATGATGTGGGCGTCTCGCAGTTGGTACATCATCAGATCGGTGAACAACTTGGTTACACTGGCAATGCGAAGGCCGCTGTCTAGTGTGAGTGGTGGCGATGATTGAGGGTTGGCAGGGTTGAGCAGGCCGTATGCCTTGGACCACACAATCTCATCACCATAGACAACAGAGGCTACAAAGCTTGGTATGCCATATTGTTCCATCTTGGACTGTATCATATCATCTACAGCCTGGTAAGTCTTGATCAACAAGCTGTCTGATTGGTCCAAGTATGTTGGCTGAGGGTAAGTTGGACATGGCCTGGTCAACTGAGCACATGCCAACATGATCAATATGATTGTTATGTTGTGTGGATACATCCCTATTATAATTGATTGATTGATTGAATGAGTGTGTGTGATTGAATCTGAAAGATGTCCCAATTTGGACTTGATTATTATCAGTGTGCGTGTGTTTGAATGTGTAATTGATCGACCATCAATGCGCAAGTTTAACACATGTGATGATACTTAGTTCAGTTAAATCAAGTGGTGCTACTCCAACACAACACAAAGAGATACAACCAAGGATGCCATCACCATTCTCATACTCACCAATCAAGTTGGAACTCAGTTTGAGTTCATTAGGATTATTAACTTCATCAGTATTGATTGCATCATACTTATACTTGCCAATGACTCCTTCGATCAAGTTGATGCTCGAGACGGGCAAGAGTAGTGGTGCGACGGACCTTGAGGTCCGCTTCATCATCCTCGGCACACTGACCTACCTCTCCCTCCTTGCAATGGCACTTATATTCAGCAAGGGCATCACCAAACGTATACCAAGGAACATTGCACGATGTACATTCGGTGCACTGGGCTTACTGTCCATCATCAACTTCTTCCTCGTGTTCATCATGGACCTGCCCTACCTCCAACATGGCAGTGACCTTGCCTATGCCAACATCACTGGCAATGGTACCAGCCACTTCCCAGTCATCAATGATCGCCAACTTCACTTCCGATGTTACAGCAACCCTCAGTCATGTCTGCAACATGATGGTGATGTTGAAGGAAGTTTGAGTTGCAACAACTCCAAGACCCTTGTATTCGATGCAGGTATGTGATCATCATTCATTCAATCAATCAATCAAAGACTAAAATCAAACCAAAGGCACACCATTCTTTAGTACTATATGGGGCAATGTATTGGAGACGCTCAACCAAAGGATGGACAACAATCAGGGTGGTCTTTCACAAGTATCTGATTATTGTGTATATGACCGATATGGTTTTGGATGGAGTGATTATATCGGTGTGTCAGTGCCCGTGGTACAGACCGTTGATGACCTCAAACAATCATTGTCCCAACTTGGTGTTAATGACAATATAATACTAGTTGGATGGTCATATGGTGGAATCATTGCACAAGTATACGCATCCATGTATCCCAACAGCATTGATGGTGTCGTCCTCGTCGACTCCATGGACATCTACGACATCAGCGTCAACATGACCCAAGGTATCGAGCATGGTAAAATGGTAAATAATAATATTTATTCGTCATGATCAATCAATCAATCATGGAATGGTTCCACCATACATACTAATCACCCAATCACTCTATCAGTCATTCCATATTTTGACATTGTTGGAAGTTACTGGAATACCAAGATTGATCAACTCGTATCCATTGGAGAGTGGATATCTGGGGAATGATGTGACGTTGGACAAGAACTTGAGGACGTACTCCAATCATGTGTATCATACTTGTAACTTCCTTCAATCATCATGGTTCGAGTTGAACACAATACTTGGTGCATTGGCATACTTGAAGGATATGATGTACAATTACAATCAAGGTGGTAATAGTATGCCATTCTTGGGTGACATGCCTTTAGTTGTATTGACAGCAACAATTAACTCACAGGACAATTGGATAGAGAGACAGAATGAGTTGGCAATGTTATCAACCAATCATTTCCACATCATTAATAACTATACAGATCACTTCATTCCAGTACATAATTCATCGGCAATTGTAGAATCGATAGTAAAGTGTCTAGAAATGTAATAAATCAATCAAATATTAGTCTTTTGATCCATCTTCGGTCCATTTCTTCACCTCAACATTCATTCTATGTCTTCGTACAATAATTCACCATTGACGGTCTCGAGTTCGCAGTATCTCTTCATCAGACGACTACGTCAAAAAAATTAGCTCATTAAGTCATGGCGACCTCGTCAAGAGATACTGCGAAC